TTATGCTATGGAGGCTCTCTTTTTTTTTTTGCTAAAATGTTTGCTAAATGTTCTGTAATTTGTTAGTAATTATATAGCCTAATACAGCATGTAGGCCTATGCCATGCCTCATCTTATTCATTTTTGTTAATAACGTTTTTGTAAGCTAGTTTGTCATTGAATCTTACTGTTTTATTGTTGTTGTGCATTTTAATTAAAAATAATGAATCCATCTTTTTTTTTATTCTTAAAAGGTGAAAGGTGTGTAGATATAAGCAAAACAGACAATTATATTTTATTGTAAACCCTGACAAGTTCGTGAAATCGAAAGTGAAAGCATGCGAAGCCCGACTTATAACATGGCAAAAGAGAAACTCCCATTCACAAAATTAAAATCACAAATAATACTACTGATGAAAAAGAACGGGTTGAATGTTAACTACTTTCGTTTCCATATAACTATAAACTACGATAAAAGTTCATCAGCATGCATTGATTAATAGCATGTTGTAGCACAAAAAAAATAAATAAATAAAAATAAAAAACCGTGCTGTGCAACCAACTGAGAAAGTTAATCGCAAAAGAGCGACCAGTGGGAAGAATGAGTCTGGAGCGCTTATGAGTCTGGAGCGCTGAATTGCCCAAGTCCCCAAGTAAATTAGGTTATTAAATAAAAAACTAGCAAAACGAGTTGCGCGGTGTCCCCACCACTTTTCAAAGCAAAGTTACGCCACTGTCTTTCCGTAATGTTGGGATCAGAAGGAAGACCATGCAAAGATTGTGTTTTTCCACAACTTGGCACTGCACAGCGTCTTGTTGTCTTCTGAGCCATCTTTATCGTTTGGTTTCTGTGTAGACCTGCATTTACGTCTCTTGTTATTTACACTACATGCGTGAATCGGTGGGCGGAGCTAAACAGGCAGTGATGTAGAAGCAGACGCTGATCTTCTTCTGTGGAGGCGGGGTTTAGCCACACTATTACGTCATAAAGTGGCACATTCCACAACCTGTCGTTTTGGCAGATTGGCTTCAATACAAGACTGACGAGAAAGTTTGAATTCTGAAACTTACAGGATGTTTTTATAGTACAGTGACCTCTTAAGTGTCAAAAGATTAAGGCAATTTTGATTTCTCAGTTCATGACCATTTTTTTTAAAGCTTTAGCAAAGACCCTGTTTTAGGTCCAGTCCAAACTGTCTGTTTAGGTCTGCTACATTGACATAAAAGAGGCTCCTCCTCTGTTTTACCTATCTGATCATCCAGTACCCTTTTAAAGCAGTAGGTCCCTCAGGCAAGACTGTTAATACATTTTAAAATACCAAAGCAACCTCGTTCAGTCTTATCTGTTGATGTTCTAACATTTATTGTAGGGAATGGAGATATCTCGGGTTAAATGCATGATAACTTAACTATTTCCAATGGCCTTGTTTGAACAGTTTCAGCTAGGAATTTCTAACAAATACAATAAAAATTCTGAAGCTGTTTTGAAAATTGACAATTGTGAATGTTTAGTAAGAAAATGACTTTAGAATAATTATTTGAGCTTGGACACTGATCCCTCTGACTTGTTTTTATGTTGTCATCTCCAGATGTTACACTGTCAAGGTTTTGCTTTTTAATGCCGTGTCATTCCCAACGCATGCATCATGAACTGAGAGATGATGGCATTTGGTGGGCATGGATTTATGTCTTTGTACTTTTCTTCCTGTTATAGAACAATACATCATGGAAACCAGACACCTGTCAAGACTGCATCTGCTACAATGATATTGTCATCTGCAAACCCACTCGCTGCCAAAATCCCCAGTGTGACTTTCAGAGGGTAAGAATTAAGTATTTGATAATGAGCCTTTAAAACAGGGCAATAACACTGCTTGGGTAGATTAATGCATGGTTAGCTTTTTAGGAATGAAAGTGGCCAGTTAAACATTAATGCTTTTGGTCCAATTTATTCATTCAATAAAGCCACTGCTGTGTGTTAGTTCTTTTTGTTTGGAACTATTTCCTACAAAGTAACTGGCAGTATTGTGTCTAAATGTACTGTTTTAACCTCTTGTTTATTTAATAGTTCTTTCAAAAGCAGTCACACATTAACAATCATGCTGTTGATCTAAATATCAGCGTGGCTGTTTGGAATCAGCAGTGCTCTTGCGTGTGTGATATTGCTGAAATAGCATTGCTGTGATACTTAAGCTATAGGGATAAAATAATATTGGCTAGAGTGTTCATCCTGCATGGGCATCGGAACCACTGTATTTGAGTATCCATTTCGTGTTTTAGCTACAGCCTTGACTTCCACGCTGCTGCTTCCTCAAATCCATTCCACTTGGCTCATTCAGAGTCCATATAAATTAAAGTCCATTCCATGTTTTCACTACTCGCGTCTGCTGCACTCCCACGACACAGCAAGGTAAACAAAGCATCTTAGCATATCTGCTGCTCAGGTGTGTCTGGCTGTGTGCTCGCATAAAACATATCACTATGCAAATGATTAAACTGAATTTAATTATTTAAATAGTTTCACAAAGAGCTCAAAAGAAAATACACAAGTTTTGTCATTTTCAAAGCTTTATATATTAAAGTTTAATATTAATCGCTAGTTTTTCAGTGAATTCAGTGAATATATTATACGAGTTACAAGTAATTATAATTCATAAAATATAAATATATTAAATAATTAGGAGTAAAAGACTGGCAATTTTGTCTCTAAACTCCTTTCACTGTAAACTGCTTTAATTTGAAGCGAGTTTTTCCAGTTTGAGTTTGCCCGAAGTAGGCCTGAATGTGAACTTACCTGGGAAAAAAACAAACAAAACCGGCTTCATGCAACAGGCCTCTGCTGAGATGTCAAGAACATTTTGGTGTTATCTTATTGCATTAAACATTGCAAGAAATGTGTAGCAGTAAGAACAGTAACAGCGTTGTTATTATTAACTAAAAACTAAAACAACAGAAAAAGTTGTTAATTGAAATAAGGCTGAAATAAAATTAAGTAATAATATTAGATGAAAAATTCAAACTTGAAAAACTTGAACATAAATGAGAAATGTTGCCTTGGCGACTAACTGAAATAAAAATAGGTTGCAGGTGAAGTACTGAAATTACTAAAACTCAAACTGAAATAAGATTAAAGCTAAATATAAAGATTTATAAAAATAGCAAACGCACATAACAAAATTAATAAAAACTTAAACCAAATTTAAAATAAATCTGATCATTTAAAACATAAATATCAAAGCTCATTTAAATATTAAATAGTATCTAAATAACGCTAAAAAACACTGGTTGCAAATGCCAATATTTTTGAGTCCGTATTATGTCTCATTGCTCTTGAGTCCTAATTTCTTTGAGATGCTAATGCAACTGTTTAAATGTTTCTCTGGATGTTTTGCTAGGGTCAACGCTTGAGAATCCCACCCAACAAGTGCTGTCCAGAATGTTTTGCACAGTTGCCCGGGGTCTGTCAGCATGAAGGAATGGTTTATGGGGTAAGTAACACTGCTTATTATGACACCGCTCCAATGAAAGATGCTAAAAGCCCCTTTCTTCCCACTTTTGGTCAAGCAGCCAACTCAATGATTGCTTCGTTTTGTGCACAATAGCGTTTTTGGTTGTGTTCCACTCTTCCCTGACAGAGCAAGCTTCTTTTTTTGTCTCAATCATCCCTGCTAAAGAGCCACTTGGTGCCCTGTTTAAGATTCTAGCAGTGTAGCTTTCAAGTCAAGTAGCATTTACTTTAGGGAGCAGGCTGTGTTGGTATTGGGGCTCAGAACAATAAGTGATATTTGTGATATTCTGTTTGCACAGATTTAAAGATAACTGTGTTTTAATTAATTTTTGCAATCAACATTTCTCTTCATCCATGTCCTGATTTACCTCTCTCCTGCTTCCACTCACTCAGCATGACAGTCAGTGGAGTAATTCCAAATGTTCGGTGTGCACATGCTCTCATGGCAAGGTGACCTGTGGGCCACGTGCTTGTCCTTCTCTTAGTTGTGGGAAAGACCAGAGTCCTTTCATCCCAGATGGAGACTGCTGCCCTGTATGTGCTCACAATGGAGGTACAGTAAGCTGCAACTTTTTTCATGCACAACATGATGGGCTACTTGCAGTTGGTGAAAGTGATTGCTTTCCTCAACCATTGCTTCTGGTTTTAGTCAGTCATTGTATTTTACATTATGGAAAAAATTGGGTAACACTTTAGAATAGGGAACACATATCTATTAAGTAAGAGTTTTCCCTCAATAAACTCCTAATTTGCTTCTTATTAATGATTAGTAAGGTAGTTGTTAAGTATAGTTGTTATGGTTAAGGTAGTTGTTATGGGCATGCAGAATAAGGTATTAATATCTGACTAATCAGTATTAATAAACAGCCAATATGCTAGTAATATGCATGCTAATAAGCTACTAGATAATAGTGAGAATTGGTCCTTAAAATGAAGTGTTACCAAAAATTGTGAAAGTATGTTTAGGACTTTATGGTCCTGTAGAACACGAGACAACACATATCTTTACTCTTTATCGGTTCCTAAAGAACTACAGAAGAAAATGAGAATAAATTACTGTAACATAATGATATATATATATATATATATATATATAATGTTTTTTAAATTATTTATTATTTATGGAATACAGAAGAATAATATTTTCTTTTGTTTTCTCTAATTCTGTAATACTTTAGTTAATTTTATTATTTTATATTAGTTTTTCTAGGACAAATACACCAGATATTTGTTTATATCAATATTTATATATTTGCTCATTGATTGATCTCTGCTAATTTATAATTATAGTGAATCTGTTTATTTATAATATATATTAAAACAATATTAATGGTCACAGTGAAGCAAATATAAGCTACACCAAAACTTAATTTTGTCTTAATTTGCATGTTAAAGTCAACATTAAGGGGGGGGGGGGGTACAATGCTGTTTCATGCATTCAGAGTTGTTTACACTGTTAAAGAGTTGGATTCTCATGCTAAGCATGGACAAAGTTTCAAAAAACAATTTGGATGTATGACAGAGTATTTCTGTGCCAAAAATCGTACTTCCGGGTTCGTACAAGTTTCAGAGAGGTTTCTTCATGACGTAGACGAGGGTGGAACTCCTTATATGGGCATTTCTCCCGGAAGAGCGCGCCCGTGCACGCATCGACCAGAGCGAGAGCGAGATCGCGCCCATCAACTCGATTCATCCGGTGGCAGCGCTGCGCGGGACTTGCTCGGGAAGAATGTCTCCAATCCAAAGAAGTGTGTTTTTGGTTGTAAGGGAAAGATAACTTTATTCAGCTTCCTAAAGAACCCAGCGTTATATAAACAGTGGATCCAGTTTGTTTTTCCAGAGCAGCAACGGAGTTTCACAAGTGTGTTTGTTGACGAACGTTTTATAAGCAAGGCCCAGTTCGATGCTGGATTTGCACATCGTTTGATACTGAAAGATGGAGCGGTCCCAGCTATAAAAGATCCCGGTCATGATTTAGAACTGTTTTGTTGACAATCGGCGCCCAAGTGCTCGTCACTCTTTAGCTCCGCCCACGGCGTGCCTCCAGGAGCTCGGCTTTTTCCAGAGAGAATCGTAAAGCTGTATCTTTCTTTTATAAATATGATAAAACTAAAGACTTTTTGGAGATATGAAGGATGCATTACTACTCTAAAGGCACTTAAGATTAACATGAGATTGGGTGAAACTGTGTGTGTTATGCCCCCTTTAAATGGAAATTAACTAATTTCAAAGTGCATGTTACTGAAGTTACTGTAAACAAATCATCCATGCTTATGGTTTATTTTTAAACGTTTTTGACCTTATAAATTTTTATCAAAATGTAACAACAATAGACTTCTCTCTGGTCATGTATTCTCCAGTCGTTTCGTCCACTTAAACCTTGTACCTTTCTCAAGCTTACATTTAGATCTGCCTCCATCCAATCAAAAACCCAAGGAGAGAGCCAAGTTCCTGCTCTACTTTTTTTTCTTTTCTTTTTTTCCTCGATAATTCATTTCACTTGGATATACATCATAATACAGAATAAATTTTTAAAGATGTGTGTAGTTTCTAGTGGCCACAAATGGAATTGTGTCTGTTTGAGTGGATATAATGGCATGGGTTCAACCAGTGGAGTAAATTTGGGGCATGAATTTGCTCAAACGATGGCAAACTGGGGTACGGTCTGAAAATCTTTGAAAACAGCTATTGTTTCTGCAGTTTTTTTTGGTTTCACTAGTGGCACAGATATTACACTTCAGCTTTTACTCGCGTGCTGTGATGTTAGTAGCAGTCATCTGTTTGCCTCTCTTTTTTGAATGCTTTGCTGATTGCTTTTCTTAGCTATATGGGTCCCAAGAGGGTTTATTCTGCTTCATACTGTCAGAGACCAATGATGTGCTGGAAATTCTTGTTCAGTTTTGCAATTAAAATGCTCTTTTTGATTCCATAGCCTCCTGCTCTTGGGAAGGCCGTCAGTACAGAGATGGGGTGGAATGGACAACCAGCCCCTGTGCAAAGTGTCGATGCAGAAACGGTCACACTGAATGCCTGGTTGCAGAGTGTCAGCCTGTTACATGCAAAGCGGTCAGTAACAGCCCCGAACTGTGCCTTGTGTTTTGATCTGTCATGTCAGTAATAGTCAAGGCAAAACACAGTTCTGTTCGTCTTAATGTGTAAAACTACCACATTATCTCAAGATCAAGACTGATTAATCCTGTTCAGATGTTATTATGAATTGAAAGAGTTGTTCTAGCTGTTAAAAACAGCATGTTGATGTGCTCATTTGACATACAGAGTGAGAACCTGGTGGTCCAGCCAGGACAGTGCTGTCCTCAATGTGAGCCGAATCCCTGCATGGAGGCTGGGAATGAGTACAAGGTAAGCCGGAAAAGAGATTAGAGAAAGGTGAAATATGCACAGAGATCCAAGGCCAGAGATAGATCGAGAGTGACAGATGGGATAATGCATGTCTGTATTACGGAAGACCTTTTGAGGGAGGGGATGGTAAGTGTGGGTTAAAGTGGTGTGTGTGAAATGCTTGTCACTCTTGCTTCTGTCATTCCTCCATACTTCTTTCTTGCCTCATATCATCTCTTGTTCCTCCCTTCGTTGTTCACACCCATAATACTCATCATTCCCTCAACTGACTTTTCATCCGTTTGCGCACTCTCTCTCAATTTGCAGTTTTGGTCTGCTTCATTAACATAAAAAAACTCTACATTTGTATCGCCAAAACATTTCCAGCATAGCTGTATACAATGGAAAAGTCTGCAATATAAAAGAAGAAGTGTGAATACACATAGAATATTGAAATATTAGCAGTGCAAAAGTAAATAGTAGTAATTAATATTATATATATTTATATTCCTTGACCAAGTATTTAAGAAAGGTAAAGATAAAGTGTATGACTAAATGTGCCAGTAATACCAGTAATTAGCTAAAGTTTATTGTTGAAAACATGCATACAGTTCCTTTATAATACGGAGTTGTCAAAGCGCCAATATAGGCTCAATATTACTAAAGACATAGCATATTCAGATGATGGATAAATCATGTGGGGTTTTTTAATGGTTGATTCTTAAATTATTCCATTTGATCCCCTCAATCTGGAATATATGGTTTCATCCTTCCAGTAGTGACGCCTCTCTTTAGACACTCAAACTTCACAAGCGTCCCCGAAATCTCTCATCAGCATGTCTTTTAGGGCTGTTTCTCTGTTCACCGTGCTCTCAGCGATCACGTCCTACTCAGTGGAATTCAACTCTTTTGATCACAGTGGATTGTGTGAAAGCAAAGCAAGGATTTACAAAGGATAACATTCACCATTCTTTTCATCTCCGTCTAGTACTTGTCTTGTTCACTACAGCACTGGCTGAATTTGTCATTTATTTTAAATTAATTATGTGCTGTAATGTGTTCTGCTGCTAAAGCTTTGAACAGCTTTGAGATGCTATCTGAATTTTGAAATTGAATCGAGACATTGGTGGTGTAGCTTTGGAATTTTACATGCATTTAAAAACATAGTATTGATGGCATACAGTAGATGTTCCCTTCTCTCAGAACTGTTTTATTGTGTACGTGTGTGTTTTTAGCACGGCAAGCAGTGGCAGAGGGGCAGCTGTACCACCTGTGTGTGCGATCGCGCTCATTCTCGCTGTCAGATGGAGAAGTGCCCTCCTCTCCACTGTGATAAGGTCAGCAGAAATCCATTACACCCCATCACTTCATGTCAAAGACCTTTCTTGACCAACAAGCTTACTGAGAAGATCACAAAAGAGAAGCTGTTGGCTCACTGACTGTTGCCATTTACAATTTAATACAGTCTCACTTTGATTCTTGCAGTTTATGCTTCTTTGGTCTGAAAGTGACAGTTAGGATTTTTCGTCATCCAGGATTGTTTGCACCATATATTTCACATTTTGTCTGTTGCTTCGGGGTGTTTTCCGTCTCAGTCTTTTGCTTTCATGCAAAATTCATGATCTTATGTAACTGTGCTTTAGAACAATTCTCAGCAGGAACAGACATTTCATTTTTATATCTCACCTTAATAAGTGTGAATGCTTAAAGAGTGTGAAATCACCCCATTAAATGAAAATGAGGCTTTTATGGTTTTAGTTCATATAGCTAGAGTCTGTCTATATGTTAAAAGTTGGCCTAAAACAACAGGGACAAGCCCTTCAGTAGGTCCCGTCCAAACTCCTAATTTCTAATTTCTGAAACTTCCAAATATTTATTTATTTAGCCGGGACAGTGTTCATTAATCAACAGTAAAATACTGTAAATAAGCCAGAGTTAGCCCCAATGGCTAATTTTCATCTGTTGCCCCTTGCCAGATTTTAAAAAGGCAACCTAAAAATCTAAAATACAGTAAATTATCATACATAAACATACAATAACATTTACAATTAAACACTAAGGATAATAATGGTAGTATCATGAAGGAATTTTTTTACACATGATTACAAATATGAATTGCTTTTAACAATTTCTTTAATTTATGTTTAAATGTTCAATAATTTGTACTACTCCTTAATTCAGTTGGTAGAGTATTCCAATAATTAATGGCTCTAATTGAGAAGACTGACCGTCCAAATGTTGTACAAACTGTACAGCACAGTCTCCTCTAGTAGTTGCTCTTGTTACTCTGCCATTATTAACCTTCTGCATTATAAACTGGCATAGTGGGGGAGGTGCATTACCGTTTAAAATCTTAAAAATCAAGCAAGCATCAACCAAATGTTTAATATTATCAAAACTCAATAAATGATGTTTTTGAACTATATTGCAATAATGATAACTATTAGTCCTCTGATCAAATATTTTAAGCGTCTGTTTGTAAAGAGATTCAATTGATTTTAAAACTGTTGTGCTTGCTTGTGACCAACTCGTAAAACAATATGTAATATGAGATAAAATCATAGAGTGCATGAAGAGTTTTGCTGCTTCTATTGTTAAGCATGGTCTTATATGCCTGAAGTTAGCCAAATTAAATGTAATAATTTTGGCTACCTTTTTGGCATGCTTTTGAAATGTCAGTTGGGAATCTAAAATTACTCCTAAGTATTTAAAATCAGAAACAACCTTGAGATTTTCTCCTTTAACAAATAAATCAGGATGGGGAATCACTGTCGGTTTTTGTGAGAAATACATACAAACAGTTTTGCTTATGTTTAAATGTAAATATGAGTTACTCAGCCAATCTGAAACATGGACCAATACCTCAGTTAAAATGTTCACTGCTTGTTGTTTGTTTTTCGCATGCACATATAAAACTGTGTCATCAGCATACATTTGAATACTAGCAGATGAACAGACTAGCGGCAAGTCATTAATATACAAACTAAACGAGATAGGGCCCAGAATTGATCCTTGAGGAACTCCAATATTACAATTTCGGTACATTGATTGACTATTACCAAGACGCACACTTTGCTTCCTATTTGCTAAATAAGAAATCATCCATTTAATAGCTTCAGCAGAAAAATTGAAAAGTGTGAGCTTTTAAAGAAGTACCTCATGGTTCACAGTGACGAATGCCTTCTTTAGATCCAAAAACACTGCTCCCATTACTCCACCACCATCAAGTTTAGATTTCATGTTCTCAAGAAGATAACAATTAGCCGTTTGAGTTGAATGATTAGAACGAAATCCAAATTGCATTGAATGCAAAGGAGTATGTCCCTCATTCAAGTAAGTAATCAACTGTTTTGCGACACTGTTTTGTCAACACACTTGTAAAACAATTGTGAGGTCTTTAAATAAATATTCTGGGTTAAAAACAAATCAGTCTCTATTAAATGGATCTTGTCGTTTACAACTGATTTTTTCTTATCACAAACTGAGGCACAAGTAAAAATGATTTGATGTGCATTATAATAAGTGTGACATTTTATAATGTGTGCTAACGTGTGTTGTTCTCAGGGTCAGATGAAGATCAAGCGACCTGGGCAGTGCTGCGAAGATTGTGTCTCGTCTAAAGGCAGCTGCCTCTATGAGGGCATCGTCCATTACCATGGCGATATGTGGAATGGCACAGGTTGTGAGTTCTGTATGTGTGAACGGGGTCAGGTGCTGTGCCAAAGGGTCGAGTGCGCCAGAATGGAGTGCCCACAGGTATGTGTCCAAATTTTATAAGGATCACATTTCTGTGCAGAGCCATCAGCAGGGACACATGCTTATTCTACTCATTAAAAGACACAATTAACAAGCTCAGCTGGGGGGATGCCCTATATACTGCCATTACAAATGTTGATAATTATTAGGGCAAAATATGCCAGGCGAGTTTGAAACCTGGGGCACATTATCTCTGTGGCCATTTGTCCCGTTATGAATTACACCTTTATTCAATCTATATGTTCTCCGCTTCTCCATTAATCATAAGGAGCTTTGAAAGGTTGAGCACTGTGGAGATTTATCACTTAGTAATTGTACTTTTGGCCCAAATCCAGAAGTGTCACTCTAAAGGTTATTCTTTAGAGAGGAAACTCTGATTTTCACTAGGGTCATGGTAGAGTTCATAATGGAAGTTTGAAGGAGTAGTACACAAGTCTGAACAGAAAACTCTCAGGTTTTAAATGTGACATACATTCTGGTGTGTAAAACTATTACGCATGCTCTAAAAAGTGGTAACATGCAGTTATTTGGAGCTATTTCTACTTGTTTTTATACTAGTGCCATTTTCAGGATAGTTCTGTCATCATTCACTCACCCTCATGTCAGTCCAAACCCATACAATTTTTGTTCATCTTTGGAACTCAAATAAAGGTATTTTTATTATGATTAGAAGCCTAAATTAAATATGTTCATCATATAAAGCAATCATGTCTCTTCAGAAGACTTGGATTAAACTGCTCAAATATTTTACTGTGTCTTTTTGCATTTTTTGAGGCATGAAAGTTTTGGTTGTGTGGATAACCAATGGATGGGCAAAAAATATAAGAGAATATTAAAATATCTTCATTTGTGTTGTGAAGTTGAATGACATGAGGGTGGGTAAATGATTACGGAATATACATTTTGGGGTGAACTGCCCCTTTAAATTTATTTTTATTTTATTTTTTTGGTGATGTTAAATAACTTTTTTTTTTTTTACTTGAATTTAAACAATTTTAATTAGATGTTCTCACATGGAGTACATTTTAGGTTACTTTTTTGTTTCAGTGCAGTGGTTTTAAGGTCCTGCATTAATTAAAATAAGAGCTGATGTTCACTGGAGTCAGAGCAGTAGAGTGTCTGATTAAACAAGAAACACAAAAGATGCTTCTGTATCTTTTTGAAAACATTGATCAAACCTTCTTTCCCATCTGTAGCATATTTCACTGACATCTGCTGATTCGTCTGTAAGACCACCATGACTTTGGTGATCAAACTGTGTTACACAGAAACAACTAAAGATTCTCTCATGAATGTAAATGACTATTGATAATGGCCCCCTATAAAGAACCTCAGAGGTAGAATTGGAAATGTTATGTAATTACAGATTTGTGGCTCTGTGTCAGACATCTAATCATTCCCCTGGGGGTGTTTTCATGCTGAAATTAAATGAGCTAAAATTTCACACCTTGTGCCAGGGAGAAAAACTGGTCCATTTGCCTGGGAAATGCTGCCCAGAGTGTAGGACAACAACCAGTTCCTGTACATATTCACAGCCACATCAAAAGGTACAAAGCATGTTTCTTTAAATATGGGTTTGGTAAAACATACATTGATCTTATCATGCTTTATATCCATGTTCACATGTGAAATACATATGCTACCATTCAAAAGTTTGGGTTCAGTAAGATGTTTTTGAAAGAAGTTTCTTATTCTCACCAAGGGTGCATTTATTTGTTCAAAAATACAATAAAAACAGTAATATTGTGAAATATCTTTACAATTTGAAATAACTGTTGAATATATTTTAAAATATAATTCATTTCAGCATCATTTCTCCAGTCTTCAGTGTCACATGATCCTTCATAAATTATTCTAATATGCTGATTTGGTGCTCAAGAAACATATCTTATTATTAATGTTGAAAACAGATGTGCTGCTTAATATTTTGTGTAAACTATGATACATTTTTGCAGGAATCTTTAATGAAGAGAAAGTTCAAAAGAAATACATTCGTTTAAAATAGGCTTTATGTAGCATTATAAATCTATTCCTGTTACATTTTATCAATTGAGTGTCCTTGCTGAATACAAGTGTTAATTTCTCTCTCAAAAAATAAATAAATACTGAACCTAAACTTTTGAACGCTAATATACAAATAGCTTTTGATGGCAATGAAGAAAAAAGACAAGCAAATCAATACCACCACCATTCAAACTGTCTTTGTCCATTTAGGGGCAGAAAGCCAACATCAAGAGTTTTAGACGCCTCACTGTAAGTAAACATGAGAACTTGGTTTATGGTTTGCAAAAATTAATAGATGCTATTATAACCAATTTTTTTGTCTGAGCAAAAATGTCTGTTAACTGTTCTTGTGTCTCTGGTCTCAGAATCTAGAGAGCATCAGAGAGGGGCTGTGTCACGAGTGCCAGTGTCAGGAGGGTCATGTGACCTGTTACCAGCACTCCTGTCCCACCTGTCCGTTGGGCACTCTAACTATACCTCACCCTGAACAGTGCTGTCCGGATTGCAATCCAGGTGAGACCTGCGCATCTATGTTGGTGTTCATTTCCCAAACAGCAATGATGTATGAAGCTGCTGTAGTTAATTACCATGCTCTCTTGTGAATATATTCCAATATAATCAGTGAAATTGGGGTTATACTTTGATTTATTTACTTCAAAAGAACATTACATCATTCTATTCCCAGTTTAAAAGCATTTTTTTTATATAATAAAAAAAAACATTTCTGAATTGTTCTGAAAATCTTTCTTTATCAGCCCTCCAAGGAACAATTCCTGAACCATAAAGGCAAAACATAGTTGATCTCAGCGGGAGAGAGATGAGACCTATAGTATTAGATTATATTCTGGTTAGATAATGTGCTTATTTAGCTCTCCAGCACCCATGAGACTCGGGTCTGCTCTATATACTAAATTTCCAAGGTGACTTCAAGAGATGCTGCAAGAAGGAACATGAATCTTTCACTCTCTCTCTTTCTCTTGGAAAATACCATAGAGAGAAAGAAAGCATAATGTGTTTGTGTTTACATTTTGCTTTTATATAGATATATACTGTATGTTTATCTGAAGAGACAGGGTAAATTGTTTGGATGTTTATATGTATGCGTGTTGACCGTTTGGCATCTCTGTGTTTATGCTTATTAGATAATGCTAATGTATCTATCCTCTAAACGCAGCAGTCAGATAGTATATTTTCTCTTAAACTTTGGACAGAAATACGACTGTCCTGTTTACCAAAAACAAAAAAAATTTCTCTTATATGTTTATCATAAGCACTATTAATCACATATGGTAAGTAACATCTTGCGTGGTGATAGTGCTTGTTAGCTGGTTAATGTCCATATTTGATCAATACGGCAAAGACCGTGCGTATGCGTTCACAGCCACATAACCATTTGTTAACTTGTCTGCCTGTTGTGAGGAACAGAAGGAGCCCAGCATCAGTGTTTTATCAGCTAGAATGTCTGAGATATAATGACTTACAGTGTTACTGTGAGAAATGCTGTGATTCGGATTTGCTAGCTAGTGGCCGTATTATAATGCATTTGCACTCGAAACAAGTAGATTTTTCAAATCGATGGAAAGTCTCAAAGGTCCTTCTGGTAAAAAATGCTTACTTCAACTGGAAAATGGAGAGTAGGATAGTTTTTCACCAAGAGTTATTGATTCACACACCAAAGTATTTAATTAAAAGTGATTTATGAGGGAATGTCAGAAAATAATAAAGATTTAGAGGTTTCCTTTTCTCCCTCTGGATATGAGTCTGGCCTTGTGCTTGTAGTCCGGTCCAAAAATTGGGAATGACCATCAAATAATTACCATAATGCACCTTTAATATCCTACATTGCCCTATTTCCATGTCTCTTGCTCTGGCCTCATGGACAGAGCCAGAAACCTGCAGCCCAAAGTCCTTAGCAAGGGATTTACCAGCTCATTAGAGACTATGTAATTAATTCTTGTGCCAAGTAATGGCGCCAGAGAGAACTATAGGCTCAGGTTTCAGTTGGACCATGTGGAGAAGTTTTGAGTGCCTTATTAGTACACTAAAGACTGGGTGGGAGATTTGATGGTTAATTTGCATGACTATAGATTAAATTACCATGACATCACACAACCGGCAACTGCACTTCCAGGTTCTTTAGGCTAGCAGTTGTGATGGTCTTTTAACCATTATATGATGTAATAATATTTGTTAATATTAAAACAATACATATGGTTTAGAGTGAAGAAAAGCATGGTCACTAACTTTCAAAAATTTGGAGTCTAAGTTTTTTTTTTTTTTTTAAAGAAATTAATACCTTTATTTAACAAGAAATCAAAAGTGAGAGTCAAAACATTTATAATGTTACAAAAGATTTAGAGGTTTCCTTTTCTCCCTCTGGATATGAGTCTGGCCTTGTGCTTGTAGTCCGGTCCAAAAATTGGGAATGACCATCAAATAATTACCAATGCACCTTTAATATCCTACATTGCCCTATTTCCATGTCTCTTGCTCTGGCCTCATGGACAGAGCCAGAAACCTGCAGCCCAAAGTCCTTAGCAAGGGATTTACCAGCTCATTAGAGACTATGTAATTAATTCTTGTGCCAAGTAATGGCGCCAGAGAGAACTATAGGCTCAGGTTTCAGTTGGACCATGTGGAGAAGTTTTGAGTGCCTTATTAGTACACTAAAGACTGGGTGGGAGATTTGATGGTTAATTTGCATGACTATAGATTAAATTACCATGACATCACACAACCGGCAACTGCACTTCCAGGTTCTTTAGGCTAGCAGTTGTGATGGTCTTTTAACCATTATATGATGTAATAATATTTGTTAATATTAAAACAATACATATGGTTTAGAGTGAAGAAAAGCATGGTCACTAACTTTCAAAAATTTGGAGTCTAAGTTTTTTTTTTTTTTTTAAAGAAATTAATACCTTTATTTAACAAGAAATCAAAAGTGAGAGTCAAAACATTTATAATGTTACAAAAGATTTAAAATTCATATACATGCTGTTCTTTTGAACTTCTCATCAAATACTCCTAAAAAAAATGCATCACACCTTCCTAAAATATTAAGAAGCACAACTGTTTTGAATGTTAATTAGAAAAAAAATATTTCTTGAACACCAAATCAGCATATCATAATGATTTCTGAAGGATCCTGTGGCACTGAACGCTGGATCAATGGCTGCTGAAAATACAGCATTGCCATCACTTTAATAAATTACATTTTAAAATATATGAACATAGAAAACAGTTGTTTTAAATTGTAATAATATTTTACAATATTACTATTTATGCTGTAAATACCTTTGTGACCATAAAAGACCTCTTTCAAAAACATTTGAAATCTTACCAACCCCAAACTTTTTGAACAGTAGTGTATATGGTTTAGTGAAGAAATAAATGTAGATTAATTTCCACACTGTCCACAAAGCCAATTTTAACTTTAAAGGGGTCATGAACTGAGAAATCAAAATTGCCTTGATCTTTTGAGACTTAAGAAGTCACTGTTCTATAAAAACATCCTGTAAGTTTCAGAATTCAAACTTTCTCGTCAGTCTTGTATTAAAGCCAATCTGCCAAAACGACAGGTTGTGGAATGTGCCACTTTATGACGTAATAGTGTGGCTAAACCCCGCCTCCACAGAAGATGATCAGCGCCTGCTTCTACATCACTGCCTGTTTAGCTCCGCCCACCGATTCACGCATGTAGTGTAAATAACAAGAGACGTAAATGCAGGTCTACGCAGAAACCAAACGATAAAGATGGCTCAGAAGACAACAAGATGCTGTGTAGTGCCAAGTTGCGGAAAAACACAGTCTTTGCATGGTCTTCCTTCTGATCCCAACATTACGGAAAGAATGGATGAACTTTATTTTTAATGAAGATCCAGACGCCTCAGGAAGAACTTGGTCCTTTGTTCACTTCATTTTACCATAGGTTCGTTTAAAAACAAGGCACAATTCGATGCAGGTTTTTCACAAAGATTGACCATTAACAGACGATGCTGTGCGACTATATTGGATCCAAGAGAATGAATGAGTAATGTCGCACCACACAAGTGTGAGTAACTGTTTTTTATTACGTGGTCACTAGTGCTTTGTCTGTAATTACAGTTCGTTTGATATGTACTGAGTATTTATGTGTTTTTAACCACATCAGCGTCCATCTATGAAGGATTTGGCTGTCAAACATATACAACTGTTAGCCAATCATAGCAGTGGGCGTTTACTTCTGAGCTCTACAATCTGCCACACCTATTCAAACAGAGCGTTCTGATGAGGGGGTCAAAACAGGACAGAAAATAACCTATTACTTCTAAATAATGATGTTTTTTGGTTTAATTATAAGTGGACCTCAGAGAACAGTACAAAATAATAATAAAAAAGGCAGTTCATGACCCATTATCCCTTTAAATATTTTAATTTGTTGCAAGTGTGACAGGTTTTGAGTACTCATAATTGCTTAAATGCCCTTTTGACAGTGTGAATATTAATAATGTGATATTGGCTAAGATTAATAACAGCGTTTCTTGTTTTGTTTGGTTCTTTCTCTGCGTGTTACCCGTGAGATGTCTATTAAAGTTGTTTCCTGAATGTATTCCTTCGTCATGTGATTCCTTACTACAACCAAACGCATGACAAAAGCATTCACAATAAATGGTTCTTTGATTGTTTTGTTTGTTAGGTAAATTTGGGTTTGTGTAATGCCTTAGTAAAAGGAAAATGCACTGTCACAGCTGCAGGGCAACTGGCTCATTCTCATTAGAGCAGAGGTGATGTTAATGATGATCATAATTTAAGTTTTTAAACAGTAACTTTTTGTTTCCTCTGAGGAGTTTGACTGTTATTTGTGTGTGTCTGCAGCAGTGCAGTGTCACGAGGACTGTTTGACATGCTCTGGCACACCAGATCACTGTGACAGCTGTCAGGATCCTTCTGCCCTGTTGATGAATGGACGCTGTCTGCAGTCATGTCCTGAAGGCTTTTTCGCTCAGGGCAAATTTTGTGCAGGTATAAACATACTTTTTTTTTTTTTAATTGTGTTTTACCGTTATACTTCTACAGCCCACGCTGCTTTTGTTACACAAATTCCTGTTCACCTCTTCATCTCACTTCCTTTTTTTACTTTATCCTATTCCTCCTGTTTTCTCACCAACATTCACACACGTCTGGCCTAAACATATTTTTACACCATGGTATTTTAAATCCTCAAAACGCCCAGTGCTTTGGGTGACTTCCACAAATAGCTAATCCTATAGCTTTGTTGGTGTGTGTGTGTTTTTGTGTGTACTGTATGTGGATGTGCATGTACATGAGTCATGTTTGTCACAGTCATTTCAACAAGTCAAAACACAGTCCGAACCCTACACTGGAATGTCCCCTCACTTTGGAGGGCTATAGCATCATTTGACAAATTTCTTTCAGTCACTCTTTTAAACCTGATGTACAAACTCTCACACACCCAATTTCAATTAATGTATCAGTGTTTGCATAGTGTAGTCAATGCAGCCACAAAGTGAATCCCCCAGCCCCTATCACCCTTCTCTTTCTCTTTCTACCAGCCTGCCAGCCGTCATGTGCCACCTGTGAGAATGACTTTGAATGCACAGCATGTGGTGGGTTCTTTCTCCTCAGTGGCAGGCAATGTGTGACCACCTGTGAGAGAGGTCTGTTCCAGGACCACACACACTGTCTCAGTAAGTCAACTGCAGTTTACAGTTCATTCACTTTTATTGTCTTCACTTTCTGTGATACCGTTTACTTATGCTGTACTTTTATGATGCTTTCTTACCAACCTTAAACAAAGTGCATATATTGCATCTAACCAGGTAGCTGAATAGGAAAGATGGCAGTAATACTTAAACAATACAGTATCGATGTGCTTGTGGAGCTATCATAGAAATATTGCCCAAAATCATGTTATACATTGATATTTAAATATGTCTTTATAAATAAAAAAAAGTTAAATAGATATTAAATATAATGATGTATGTATATTTAATAATCATCTATATTAAATATATATACCATACTATTATTATTTTTAATTTATATAGTGTATGTAAATATATATTGACTACTTTTCAAAAGTTTAGGATTACTATGATTTTTTATTTTTTTTTTCAGCAAGGATGCATTAAATTGATCAAAATGAAAGTAAAGACATTTACATATTATAAATGATTTCTGTTTCAAATAATTGATGTTCTTGAAAGCTTAATCATCGAAGACAACTATTTTCAACACAGATAAAAATAAGAAGAGCAGCAAATCAGCATAATAGAATGATTTTCGGACACTGAATCCTGGAATAATGGCGGCTGAAAATTCAGCTTTGCTATTACAGAAAAAAGTGACATTTTTAACAAGTTAAAATAGAAAAAAATATTTTAAATTGTAATAATATTTTACAATATTACAGTATTTATGAACCTTTGAATGGTATATACTGTATATATAATTTATTAATTCATTTTTATTTATTTCCTCATTTTGATAGAATTTCATTGTTATTTATTAATTTATTGTTCATTGCTATATGATAATTGCGAAATGAAGCTGTATTTACTTCCTCGATAAACAAAAGTGCCCATTTTATAAATTTAGATGTGTACTTCCTGTTGTACAACATTTTGCGTCATGTTATCTCTAAAAAGTAAGTTTTTTTTTTGTTATTAAAACCAGATGGAGCATTACTGCACCTGCAGTGCATTCACTCCTTGCATAAGAATCAACCTCAAGACATGGGTACCTAGTCTTGTCAGGCAACCTGACTATAGCAATCCAATCTGGAGGGAATCATGCATTAGTGACCTGCTAACTGGTCTGTGACTGGGACCACTAGACTGTACAGCAATTACCTCAGTCCCCACTCTCATTCAATTTCACACTTTAATAAGCCTCTCCCACAGATTGGACCGCATTGTTCTACAAGGGACAAGATGGGAAAGAAATATCCAGCTTAGGTTGAGCCCATTATCGTGGATTTAGCGAGAATGAGAATGTGGAAGGTTTTTATTGTGGCCAAACGATAACAATTCATTCTCTTGTTTTACTCTCTGATTGAGAGCAAAAATTCTAATGTTCAATAAGTTAATTAGCTAAGCTAAAAAATGAGGGAATCTTAGAGGAAGCCTTTAGATGTTCCTTCATCATCTGTTCTCTTCTCTGTCTCTGTGCCTTTCTCCCTTTCTCATTTACATTTTAAACAATGTTATAATGGAGTACAATTTTTTGTTTTTAGTATATCTCATGTAACACATTGCTATTTGGAAACAAACCACTAACAGACCTTACCGAACACTTCTTACATGCCACAACTTGGATATCTTAAAATGTATCCTTTCACATCCGCAGCGTATCAAGAAGTCATGTAAAACCTTAAAGAGTTGTGCTAACAGACATGCCCAAGTGTGCTGTCATAAATTTTTCTAGCATGGCAAGCTTTTCCAAATCCACTAAACATGGTTACCTATATCTCTTGTTCACACTCTGCTGTTGGCTGTCAAAATATTTGGTCCCATTCCAGCTACTCAGGGTTCTGGGCCAGTTTGGTGCCATTGTGTGTGAGTCTGTGGAGAGGTGCCATGTAGAACCGTGAATGTTTCACACTGGGCGCCGTGCCCAGATTCGTAGTTTAATCCTGAGCACTAAACTCACACAAAGAATCTAGAGTCTAGTGACCTTATTGCTGCACAACATAATTAGAGACTGTTTTCACAAATTCTGTGGTGTTTGTAACAACTTATAATAATTGATTATTCATAAAAAAAAATTTTTTTTTAAGTATTTAACAGTATTTGTACATAAATCTGAAAAAAATTATGACACAAGGCATAATAAAATATTAGATATGAAATAAGTGGTTCTTACTAAGGAAAAGTATCGGTATTTCTATTTTAAGTCTTTTGCTGTGGACATGAATGATACCAACTGTGTGACTTAATGAGAGGTATGATGTTACTTTTCTTAGTAAAAGCTGAATTTTCAGCAGCCATTACTCCAAACTTCAGTGTCACATGATCCTTCTGAATTCATTCTAAAATGGTGATTTTGTGCTCAAGAAACATATTGAAACATAACATATGTTGAAAACAGTTGCACTGAATAATATATTTGTGGAAACTTTTTTTTCAGCATTTAACAACATTTATTTAAAATGCACATTGTTGGAAATACATCTAAGGACCAGAATATCAGAGTGACTTAGTGGACTTTGGGCAGGAAGTAACTACCTAGCAACCACCTATAACATCCTAGCAATGGCATAGGACCTTAAGAACCATTCAGAACACCTTATTAACCACAAAGCAACTCCCTGGAAACCACTAACAACACATTAGCACAGTGGCAGCAAGATTCACTTTGCAAGAAATGTTCAAAAACTAGAATAACAGACATCTTCTATTGTTTGTTATATTCAGCCTCATAACCAGAAAGAACCAGAAGGTGATTTTGAAGGCATGCACAGCTGTTAATTTGTCCCACATCTCTCTCTCTCTCTCTCTCTCTCTGTCTGAAGGAGAGATGGTAGATTGATGAGATTTTAAGGCTTGTGTGATATATTTACGTGGAGCAGTTCAGTAAATTTGCTAAAGGGAGACTTGAGTTAGTGCCCTGACTATTAAAATTAGGTCACTTATTTTACAAAGTAAATATCCTGAACTCGTACCTTATGGGAAAAACTTAGAGAAAACCCTCCTTCCATGTTTACTCAAAGCCCAAAACCTGTAATAAGGACTGTAAAAAGATGGACTAATGAAGCATTAATAAGCCTGCTTCGACTGCACTGATTGGAGTTTTTTTTTTAAGCTGCTGCCACTGATCTGGGCGAGCTCACGGATTCTGTAACATCATACATCCGTTTCTGTGAGGATATGTGCATCCCTACTAGGACTCATTTAACTTACAACAACGACACACCATGGTTCACTGCAAAACTCAGACAGCTCCGTCAGGCCAAATAAGATGCTTACAGGAATGGGGACAAAGTCTTGTATAAACAGGCCAAAAACATTCTGACAAAGGAGATCAGAGTGGCTAAGAGGAACTACTCCGAAAAGCTGAGAAACTAGTTTTCTGCCAATGACCTTGCATCAGTGTGGAAAGGACTGAAAGACATCACCAACTACAAGACACCATTCCCCAGCACTGTGGAGAATCAACAACTGGCCGACGATTTGAATGAGTTTTATTGCAGGTTTGAAAAACCCTGTCTCACAGCCCACACCGATTCTGACCTTCCCTCTATGGGTCTATTAACACCTCCAGCAACCTCCCTTTCCCCCACCTCCTGCACTTCAGGTCTGTGAAAGAAATGTGTGTCAGGTCTTCCGAAAACATCAGGCCCATATGGTGTTACACCAGCCTGTCTAAAAACCTGTGCTGACCAGCTGGCCCCCATCTTCACACAGATCACTGGAGCTGTGCGAAGTCCCTTCATGCTTCAAACACTCCACCATCATCCCCATCCCAAAGAAACCCCAAATTACAGGACTAAATGATTACAGAACTGTAGCTTTAACATCTGTGGTCATGAAGTCATTTGAAAGACTGGTGCTGGCCCTCCTGAAGGAGATCACTAGACCCTTGCTGGACCTCCTGCAGTTTGCTTACCGAGTAAACAGGTCTGTGGATGATGCAGTCAACATGGGACTGCATTATTTCCTACAACATCTGGACAGACCAGGGACTTACATGTGGATCCTGTTTGTGGACTTTAGCTCGGCATTCAGCGCTGTCGTCCCAAACCTTCTCCTGTACAAATTAACTCAGCTCTCTGTGCCCACCTCCGTCTGTCAGTGGATCACCAGCTTCCTGACAGACAGGCAGCAGCTAGTGAGGCTGGGAAAATTCTCATCCAGCACCTGCACCATCAGCTCTGGCGCCCCCCAGGGATGTGTTCTCTCCCCACTGCTCTTCTCCCTGTACACTAACAACTGCACCTCTAAAGACCCCTCTGTCAAGCTCCTGAAGTTCACTGATGCCACCAAACATGTTGGCCTCATCCAGCACAGAGACGAGTCTGCTTACAGAATGGAGGTTAAAGAGCTGGCTCTCTGATGCAGTTATATCAATAATATATTTTTTGTATATTGTTATTTCTTATTTACTTATCCTATTTTATTCTTTTTATTATCAGTTTCTTGTCTTGTCACTGTCATTCTGTTTGTGCTGTGGAAGCTTCTGTCACCAAAACAGATTCCTCGTATGTGTAAACATACCTGGCGATAAAGCTCTTCTGATTCTGATTCTGATAATTTGGCCTAAAGCTACATTTATTAGCAATGATTGTATTTGGTGTTTATGCTTTAGATATATTGGTAGGCCTTTGAATAGATTGTGCAAGCGGCACAAACATCTTACCAAGGGATGATTATAAAAGAAGGTTATTGTTAGTGAAGATGCATTTGTGTTATTGTGTGTTTTAATGCCATATTCAATTACGTATGTGTTTTAATGCACATATTCATCTTACGTATGTGCTTCTGTATGTGTCTTTCAAATCGTGGGACTTTCTTTATATATGCAAGTGTGGTGTTCTGTCTTTTTTGTACCTTTTACAAGCTCCCTCAGAAAGGTCATCTTTTGTTCTTGTCTGACTGGCATGTTTTCTCTCACTGTCAAAATAAGGTCACATTATTTCCTCACAGAAAAGCCACAACACTAGAGCATAAAGTAACCTTGTAATGCCAGCGTATGCAGTTTTGTGTGTGTGTGTGTGTTGTTTAGTTTGATTTTGAACACATTATTGTCGTCTTCCTCTTTAGGTTGCCATGACTCCTGTTCATCTTGCCAGGGGGCGGGGCCTCAAGATTGTTTGACATGCTCAGACCCCTCCCACTTACTGAAGGATGGATTCTGTGTTTTGGATTGTGGTCCAGGCTTTTATGCTAATCAAGGCAGCTGTTATGGTATGATGGGCAGAATTCACATCTTAGTTACTCTGTGTGGTTTGTTTGTTGGTCAGTAATAAAATTAAACATTTTAACAAATATTTTAATTGAACAAAGATTTGCTTAAAAGGTTTAAAACAATGTTTGAGTAAAATGTTTGTTTGAAATTCATCTTTAAACTAAGCTGGAATGCACTACATTTTGCCCAGTTTTGCCCAAATTTTGTCCAGATTTGCAGTCTGAAGTAGTCGTCGCTTGTTTTGGGTAGATGGAGTTGATAGATTTTACAGAAAATTGCCAGTGTATGATGGGCACAGATTTTGTTTTTTAGCTTCATATTATGACTCCATCCAGTCAGAGGATATCAAGCACGGAACACATATTGTTTTTATTTGTCATACGTCTCCTATAAGCAACGCATATGTTTCTGCGTGTGTTAGTTGTGTGCAGAATATTGCGAATGTCCCGTAGTGTATGTGACCCACAGTCGTTTTTCTGGGTGGCAAGTTTATGATCCCTATTTAAAATCTGTTCAAATTGTAAAAGGTGTATAGTGTATTCCAGCCTTACAGTGCACTCAATACTTTTTTTAAATATTATTTACAATATATATATTTACTAGTTAGATTGTCAATGGCCTTATTCGTTGTCTTACCACTGCTGATGATAATATCTTGGCAAGTAGAGACAAAAGCCTGCTTCAAAAATGTCACCTCGAATACATTTAAGCTTCAACTTGACAACACTACAGCAAATGCAGAATGACACTCTAAATGTCTATTTTACAGTGAAAGAACTTAAGCTCCACAGATCCAGCTTGTCTATTTAACATAAGAGAGAATTGTGTTGCTGGGAGGTTTTTTTTGTGTTTCTGACTTTGGGTAAAAATAGCTCGTGGTTTGAGCACTTTAAATTTTGCATCGGCTTGCTGACTTTGAAAGTCCTGAGGCTTTTCTGCATTCATTTGTTCTTTTTTGAATGTGATTGTTTCTCATTTTGATTGTGATGTTTTAGTCATGAGGTTTTAATAGTTCTTTAAACAATGTTAGTCGTCTTCTTTATATATCTATATATACAATGTTTTATAACATATTTTTTATATCCTTTTGAAGCTTGTGACGCTTCCTGTGCAACGTGTCAACCTGTCAACCCCACTTGCATGAGCTGCCCCCCTGAACATGCACTGCATCAGGGGAAATGTGTGCCACAATGTCCACCACAGTATTACAAGGATGACCATGGCCATTGCCAAGGTGAAAAGTTTTCTTTTGCTCATTTAATATGTTTTTCAACACCACCGTGTAGGTTTACTGGCAACCAGAAACTCATCAATCTCTTTTCTAGAGAATTGAAAAACCATTCATTCTGAAACTCATTTTCTTTGCCAGAGAAGATTCTTTGGAAAGTTTCCCTGTCATTTGGAGTCAGTCCCTTGAAATGTCTTACCTACGTTTTCTCAGCAAAACCACATGGGTTAGAAAATTATCACGTCTGGATGTTAGTTTGATGCATGATTTTGAGTTTAAAATGATATATTAATACAGTCAAGCCTAATCCTCTGGTGTACAGGCCATTTGCATTTATGTTTTTGGCAGGCACTTTTTTACCTAACCAGCTCATAAGAAAGTCCATGCATTGTGGTAGCTAATGATTGCAGTTGAGTGCTGAGAGGACGTTCTGAAGTAGCAAAACGACCACAGTACCAGTACTTGAGATGTGTTAAAGTACTCAAACAAGACAAGTTGCGTTTTTTGCTAACCGACTTTGATGAAATTGTACCTGAAAGGTTATAGGTTACAAGAGGTCCAGGTTGGTTATTTTTGCTGTCACCTCCTGAACTATGCCTCTGTTGTTCTTCCAGCCTGCCACAGTTCGTGTGCATCCTGCTCAGGGCCAGCTGTGTCTCACTGCACCTCCTGCTCAAAGTCTCTCATCCTGAACCAAGGCCAGTGTGTGGAGTCCTGCGGAGAGGGCCTGTTCTCCAGAGGGGGACACTGTCACAGTACGACTGCATTTACAAAACTCTGATATTCCTCCCACTGTTACATATTTATGTGGTGAAAACTGGGTCATGATAAAAGAGGATAGATCATAGATGAGCTGTCCTAAAGAATTCTAGGGTAATAGTTTGATTCGATTTGATTCAACTGCTCACTAAATGATGCAATGCATCATTAAAAATGGATTTAAAATTTGGTCCGAATTTTAAAGAGACCCACAACTAAATGGAGGGACAAGTTGCATGTAATTGAATATAGATAGATAGATAGATAGATAGATAGATAGATAGATAGATAGATAGATAGATAGATAGATAGATAGATAGGTACATTTCTGACTTTGGGTAAAAATAGCTTGCGGTTTGAGCACTTTAAATTTAGCATCGGCTTGCTGACTTTGAAAGTCCTGAGGCTGTTCTTTTTTTAATGTGATTGTTTCTCATTTTGATTGTGATGTTTTAGTCATGAGGTTGTAATAGTTCTTTAAACCAAATGTTAGTTGTCTTCTTTATATATCTATATATTAGGGCTGCACGATAAATCGCATGAGATATTTAATGCGCATCTTATCAGTAAAGCCGGTTCTGTAATCAGGGTAAATCTCCATCACCTGCGGGCTTTCACATTGAGCAGCATTAAATACACAGAGCCGTTGTTCACTGACGAGCTGCGCAAAACCACGTTCATATTTGCACGATTTTTAGGTTTAGTTTTATGAAGCATAAATTAAGGTCAGTTAAAGTCAAAGAGACATTCCTTTTAGATGCAAAGCTGTTTGTGCATTCATGCGTGTATGAACTTTACTTTTTCAACTCTTTTCAGCACATTTCCTTCTCTATTCAGGGTGTCATGCATCATGTAGGGTCTGTGTGGGTCCGGATTCCTCAGACTGCATGCAGTGTGTCAAACAGGAAGAGGTTATGCAGCCTCAGAATGGGCATGTCTCTCACGGGTCCTGTATGTCTGCCTGCAGACCACAGCATTACCTTGATGCAGATCAGACCTGCAGAGGTGAGCAAACAAGAAGACATATTCTTATATTTTTCTCTGAAGATGAAGACACATATGCTATCATGCTCAGTAGCAACACAATGTGCATACCATCGTGTTGAGTGACACACTGCAGGTTGTTTGCACTAGTTATTCCCAAAGTCTTAATCCTTGATGACTGAAGATCTGCAGTTCACTCCAGATACACCAGGGCTGTTGTACAGGATGTTAAACACCCTGTGGAGAACGCGGTTCGTCTAAAATTTAAATCCTGACCAAATCCTGCCAAAAAGGATTAAGAATGACATTTTTGCAAATTAAAAGAATAAGCTGATCTTTCGAAAAAAAGTGCGGGTGTGAGCTATCATACAGGAACACAAAAAATTAATTGCACTAAACAGTATGACATCATCTGCTTGTAGCATATTCATAAAGGACTGCAGGCTTACTGTAGTACCACCAACACCTCACCCCCACAGCACTGAATTAAATTTACAGTTGAATAGTGTCTGAATTTTGCACTGTGAATCATTTCTGTATTTATGATGTTCCCACATGCTGAGAGCTTCACAGATATGGAACTGGCTCCAGTCCATGTCAAATATAGTGTATAAAACTAACCGTGAAATGCTATGCATTTTTATTTGTCAGAATACTCTCTATTTAAATTTTTTTTTTTTATTCATAATTAAATATTTAATTAGATAAATGATTTTCAGTTGGTTAATGTTATCATTATTTATATCATTTAAGCATGTTTAGGTTAATGTTACTTTATAAATATACTGGTGTTCATTTTTAAATACTTTTTTAATGTACAAATTAATATTAAACTAGATTAATACATGCTTTAAAATTATTGTTCATTGATAATACATCATACAGAATGCATTAACAAATTAAAGCTTATTGTAAAGTGTTACCAATTCATTTAAAAATATTACTGTTTTAGTTGACTTAGAAGCAGTGAGAACGTGGCCAGTGGGCTGTTCATTCAGTGGGTTCACTGTCATGAAGCTTACTGCTAAAATAATGACAAGTGCCTCTTTCTTCAATGAAGACCTTTGTGTTGAGCCAGCATGCTCAGACAATGTTGAGCTTCCTCAGGGCTACTTGTCTGGAGTGTATGTGAATGAGTGTGTGTGGATCAGATATCATGCAGAGGAAATTCCAATCTGTAAAACCCTCCAAAGTCAGTCTTTCTGCAGACCTCTATATGTGTCTTTGTGTTAGTCTCACACAATAGGGTGATGAGAACCATAAATAATTAAATTGGATCCTGAGGCTGTTCTTTTTTTAATGTGATTGTTTCTCATTTTGATTGTGATGTTTTAGTCATGAGGTTGTAATAGTTCTTTAAACCAAATGTTAGTTGTCTTCTTTATATATCTATATATTAGGGCTGCACGATAAATCGCATGAGATATTTAATGCGCATCTTATCAGTAAAGCCGGTTCTGTAATCAGGGTAAATCTCCATCACCTGCGGGCTTTCACATTGAGCAGCATTAAATACACAGAGCCGTTGTTCACTGACGAGCTGCGCAAAACCACGTTCATATTTGCACGATTTTTAGGTTTAGTTTTATGAAGCATAAATTAAGGTCAGTTAAAGTCAAAGAGACATTCCTTTTAGATGCAAAGCTGTTTGTGCATTCATGCGTGTATGAACTTTACTTTTTCAACTCTTTTCAGCACATTTCCTTCTCTATTCAGGGTGTCATGCATCATGTAGGGTCTGTGTGGGTCCGGATTCCTCAGACTGCATGCAGTGTGTCAAACAGGAAGAGGTTATGCAGCCTCAGAATGGGCATGTCTCTCACGGGTCCTGTATGTCTGCCTGCAGACCACAGCATTACCTTGATGCAGATCAGACCTGCAGAGGTGAGCAAACAAGAAGACATATTCTTATATTTTTCTCTGAAGATGAAGACACATATGCTATCATGCTCAGTAGCAACACAATGTGCATACCATCGTGTTGAGTGACACACTGCAGGTTGTTTGCACTAGTTATTCCCAAAGTCTTAATCCTTGATGACTGAAGATCTGCAGTTCACTCCAGATACACCAGGGCTGTTGTACAGGATGTTAAACACCCTGTGGAGAACGCGGTTCGTCTAAAATTTAAATCCTGACCAAATCCTGCCAAAAAGGATTAAGAATGACATTTTTGCAAATTAAAAGAATAAGCTGATCTTTCGAAAAAAAGTGCGGGTGTGAGCTATCATACAGGAACACAAAAAATTAATTGCACTAAACAGTATGACATCATCTGCTTGTAGCATATTCATAAAGGACTGCAGGCTTACTGTAGTACCACCAACACCTCACCCCCACAGCACTGAATTAAATTTACAGTTGAATAGTGTCTGAATTTTGCACTGTGAATCATTTCTGTATTTATGATGTTCCCACATGCTGAGAGCTTCACAGATATGGAACTGGCTCCAGTCCATGTCAAATATAGTGTATAAAACTAACCGTGAAATGCTATGCATTTTTATTTGTCAGAATACTCTCTATTTAAATTTTTTTTTTTTTTTCATAATTAAATATTTAATTAGATAAATGATTTTCAGTTGGTTAATGTTATCATTATTTATATCATTTAAGCATGTTTAGGTTAATGTTACTTTATAAATATACTGGTGTTCATTTTTAAATACTTTTTTAATGTACAAATTAATATTAAACTAGATTAATACATGCTTTAAAATTATTGTTCATTGATAATACATCATACAGAATGCATTAACAAATTAAAGCTTATTGTAAAGTGTTACCAATTCATTTAAAAATATTACTGTTTTAGTTGACTTAGAAGCAGTGAGAACGTGGCCAGTGGGCTGTTCATTCAGTGGGTTCACTGTCATGAAGCTTACTGCTAAAATAATGACAAGTGCCTCTTTCTTCAATGAAGACCTTTGTGTTGAGCCAGCATGCTCAGACAATGTTGAGCTTCCTCAGGGCTACTTGTCTGGAGTGTATGTGAATGAGTGTGTGTGGATCAGATATCATGCAGAGGAAATTCCAATCTGTAAAACCCTCCAAAGTCAGTCTTTCTGCAGACCTCTATATGTGTCTTTGTGTTAGTCTCACACAATAGGGTGATGAGAACCATAAATAATTAAATTGGAATATTTTTTTTTTTGAATACTTTTTTATTATTATTATTTATTTATTTTTGTCGGCAACCATTAAAACCTTTACTAACCTTTGCTAAGCATTATTGCACTATAACAGAGCCTTAGTTAGTATGTATTGAAATAGTTAGAAATATCACGGAATGTTGATTCATACAATTCTATAAACTGTGACCGTAAAAAGTATTTGGATGCTTAAGTTACATTTTAAAATATGTGAATGTTTTTGCATTAACATATTAAATCAACTGGTTAAAGGTTATTGCAAGGAGCCTAGTTGGTTACCGGTTGGAGTTGGAGACTAGTTGATTAAAGGTAAATGCAAAGATGATTAGGAAATTTGAAGTTAATATCTAATGACATTTTAAGTCTGTTTTTGAGTGTCCAAAAGGATCCAAATACCTTTTAGGATTTTTCATGCAATAGTTTGTTAATGAAAGTAGAAATAGTTGCTGGAATTGTATGTAAATGTGAGTAAAATAAGTCAACTATTTTAAGCACAAATTCAACAGTATCATATCTCAGACTCCAGAATGGTGTGAGTTTAAAATCGATTAAAAGTGCATTAAAGAATTCAGCCCATCACTGTGAACGCTCACCTCAAAACTGATGTACCATTCCCAATATCCTGACTTCATTTCAAAACACACCCCATGGGCTTAAAATGTCATAAAAAAAGATCAATATGTGAGGCCTTTAGGCATGTTTATTGTGTGTCTGAATTGCATTAAAAGAAAGCTTAGCCCTGTCTCCCATTCACTCAATTCTACAGATTGCCTGGGTTAGTATTTAGCACACCTACTATTCTTCTTTGGGGAACGTACTGAATCACGGGGTAGACAATCCCTTTTGTTCTGATTGACAATGAAACCTGGCTGAACAGACAAATAATTTAAAGACAATCAGATGATTTGGGTCACAGTGGAGGATGACTGTTGACACCTGTGTCCTAAGGGCTTTACTCCAAATCGAGAAGATTGTCAAGGGCTTCTGCATGTTTGTGTTTTCCAGTGATTATGTGTGTTTGTGCATGTGTTGTCTGCATGTGTCTGCCAAAGTCTCTCACATTTAATCTGGTAGAGTAGTGGAGACGAGTCCAGACTTCACACCAGAAGCTGGCTTTCTTTTTGGAGCCCACTGCTTTCATTTAGCTGTGTGCACATGGCTCAGCTCTCTGACTGACAGCCTTTTTAGAGCAAATGCATTTTGTCTACATATACAGCTTTAAGGCAGATTGAGCATCATTGCTACAAAACAGCTGTCCTGAGCCCTGTGATGTGTGATGTGGAATGCTCACTTATGAAAGTTTTATGTATGTCAATATTTTACATTTATATAAACTTTTATTAAAACATTTTAATCTTTAAAACTTTAAATTTTGGGGAAAAGTCTTATGCTCAACAAGGCTGCATTTATTTGATTACAAAACAGTTAAGCAATATTATTTTGAAGTATTATTACAATATAAAAGCCCTTTGTATTTTAGTATAATTTTAACATTTATTCCTGTGATGACAGCTGGATTTCATCAGCCATTGATCCTTCAGCAATTGTGATGTCAATTTTGTGATTATTATTATTCTGATTATTAATGTTGAAGACAGTTGATTAATATTTTTGTGGAAACTGATATATTTTTTTTCAGGATTATTTGATTCCGAAAGGTCAAAAGAAAAGCATTAATTTGAAAACTAAATCTTTTGCATCAATGTAAAAGTGTTTACTGATATTTGTGATCAATTATATTATGTTACGTTACGTGATGTTATGTTATTTTATATTATATTCGGGTATCTGGTACAGAGTTTAAATTTGTTTAAACTATGGAAAAAAAGACTATGACTAATATCACTTTCTCCCTCTTTTTCTCTCTCAGAATGTCACATCTCATGTTCAGGCTGCTCTGGTGGAAGTTTCCAGAATTGTACTTCCTGTAAACGCCCCAGTGTCCTTCATCAAGGGCAGTGTCTCGATAAATGTCCCCATGGTTTCCATGTTCAGGACCGTACTTGCCAAGGTGGTTTTGGATGTTATTCTGTTCTGTTGTGAAGCCAGTTTCCCTGTGGATTAATACAATTCAATAGATACTTTTTTGAATGTAATGTTGTGCTCATTATTTTGTCTCCTTTCAGCCTGTCATTCATCATGTAAGGAGTGTACGGGCCCGTCTCAGGCTGAATGTTCTGCTTGTCCGGCCCACGCCAGTCTACATAACGGCTACTGTCGAACCAGCTGCCCTGAGGGCCAGTACCTGAATGCTGTAGGTTACTGCATTGGTGAGTGAAAATCAGTCTTCCCAGGCCATCACCAAAACAAATTCTTCCAAATGACACCTTTGATCTCAAGACATTGCATCGGTTTGGGTTTAAGGTGTCAAATGGACACATTTTGCCTCTAGGAGAGGATTTGCTGTTCAAAGGGCATGTCAGCTATTGTTGTAAAGTCAATGCCAAGAGTACGGTCAAATGTGCTCCCGAGCGTTTTTATTTTTTTTTTCCTGAAACTGGCCAATACTGTTATCCTGTTATTTGGGTCTTAATAAAATGTGGTTGAAATTCCAGTCTGTGTCTCATAGAAAGAGGAGGTTTTGTGCAATAAAAATGAGGAAACAAATAGGAAGCAGTAAGAGGTGAAATTGCTTTAGAAAGTCCTTCTACACTAGAAGATAAACGTGAATATCAGTCAAAGCAGGCACAAACACAGTTTTAAAAAAAAATTAAAAGAACAAATTGCGATATATAATATTTAACAATAAATTTTAAATTCTTCTTTAGATTCAGTTTGACTTTAGGGCTGAGAGCAGTCATTTCTTAAGATGGATTACTGGATTTTTGCCATTAAAAGGTGAGACTTTCAGAGTTTCATGACCGGATTTATTTGATCAAAAATACATTAAAAACACTAATATTGTAAAACATTATTAGAATTTAAAATAATTGTTTTCTATTTTAAAATGTCATGTATGACTGTCATGACTAATGTTCAGTAGCCATTACTCCAGTCTTCAGTGTCACATGATCCTTCAAAAGGCCATTAGGCCACGACTTTCTTTGGGGAATACTTTGGGTTAGAGAGTCGGACTCATAACCCAAAGGTTGCGGGTTTGAGTCTCGTACCGGCAGGGATTGTAGGTGGGGGGAATGAATGTACAGTGCTCTCTCCCACCTTCAATACCACGACTGAGGTGCCCTTGAGCAAGGCACCGAACCCCCAACTGCTCCCTGGGTGCCGCAGCATAAATGACTGCCCACTGCTCCGTGTGTGTGTTCACTGCTGTGTGTGTGCACTTTGGATGGGATAAATGCAGAGCACTGATTCCGAGTATGAGTCACCATACTTGGCCACATGTCGCGTTACTTAAAAATTATGCTGATTTGGTGCTCAAGAAACATTTCTTACATATTATCAACAGTTGTGCTGTTTAATATTTTTGTGGAAACTGATACTTTTTTAAAAGGATTCTTTGATTAATAGAGAGAAATTAGAAAAGCAGCATTTCTTTGAAATAAAAATCTTTTGTAACATTATTAGAACATTATTACTGCCACTTTTGTTTATTTTAATGCATCCTTGCTAAATAAAATGTATAAATTTAAGTCCAACTGACCCCAAACTTTTGAATGGTAGTGTGGTTGCAATAGAGATATTGACAGCTATTGCGCATCTTAGATCAATAAAACATTTTTCATCATGAAACTTATTTATGCTTATGTTACCGCTCTTTTTTTTAGAAAATATGGGTCATTTAAAATCATTCTTCATAAGGATCTGATGTGAAACTTTCCTAAAACTGGTGTAAACCTGTATTGTGATGTGTTGTTATAAGGTGACCTGTATGATTTATATAACAATAAAAGGCTCTTAAACGGAAGCTTGAGGACTAATATTGAAATGGCTCAGGTTGGGTGAGTTTATGTTCTATAAATATCTGCTTGCTGTTGTGCTAAAAGTGCTAGTGGAATCATTCAGAAAGACTTTGACATTGAAATCTAAAAGTATATGTGGTTTATCTGAAAACATGAAACATCCACAGACAATAGTTAGAAGGATTTGTTATTGTCAACAATTGAAATGTACTCTGTTTCCTATGTTATAACATTTATAATAATAACCTTATTCTCTTTTTTGCAATTTGTCAGAGCTCCTATTTTTATTATGTGGTGAAGGTTACAGCATCACTTATTTATTGTTTGAGTAACTGATTTTCCTCAGAAACATTTCACAGGCCTACTTTTTTGTTTAGATCTTGTTATATGAGTCAATAAGAGTCAATAAAGCATGAACTATGTGTATAATTCAAAGAATCTGTACCATTCTCTCATAGCCTGCATATCATCAGTGAGCCTGAGAGAAGAGCCATCGAGGATTTTCGTTGGTTGATATGCATCTCTTTATTATCAGTGACCTCAGCGTGTCCATGGCAATGAAGCCAGTCTATTCTCACAGCTGATAAGGAGTGAGAGAGGATATACAGATAACAGTGTTTACTTTTACACCTTTAGAACATTTTCAGGATAAGAATCAGATAAGATCTTTTTTTCTTTCATTTCACATCGGGATTTTCTTATGGATATGCATAATGATAATACAATATATGCTCTCCGTCTGTTTGTTTCTCTATCAGAGTGTGAGGAGGGATGCCAGCGATGTGTGGCAGACCTGCATTCTGGCTTTGGCACTGTGTGTTTGTGGTGTAAGTTTCCCAGGATGCTGCTGCTGGGAGATCACTGTGTACCACAGTGCCCACCCAAATACTACCGGTGGCACAGAGCTTGCAAAAGTAAGTTAAAATGAATTCAGAGCAAAAAATTAAGCACGTTCCCACAACCAGATGCGTACAGAATTTTGATCTCACCCTCGTAAGGCTACATATGACCCACTGCATTATTATGCAGAACAATCCTAGATCAAGCAACAACACACATCAAATTTGTTACTAAGAAATATTACTTATTCTGGAGTCACTTATTAAGTTTATGTTCTAATATATAGGAAATCATGTTGTATTCTATTATTATAATGTACAAAAAATGTGATTTGCAATGAATTTGTGAGATAATGCAGTGGCAATATGTGATGCTATAAACATACTGTAAGATTAATGCATGAAATCAGATTTAATTATTTTCAAGTAAAAGTTAAGAATCGACATGTTCACATGACATCTAGAACATATTTATACATAAATAATGGGAGCAGTGAAGCTTCGCTATTTATAGTCATAAATTAATCTGAAAAGTAGGCCTTCTGAGCAAACGGTAAATTGTACGGTAACGGTTGCAACTAATGACTATTTTGATGAATTCATTGTGATTTCGCAACCTTGGCAATAAGCTTTTCAAAGTATGTTCAAGCGCATCCCTAATCTGCATTACACAATGATAATTCATTCCATCTTTCAACATCATCTAACTGTCTTCCTCTGAGAAAACTGTGTGCTGCTTTATTTCCTGCATTAAGTTTCATTATGTAGATTGAGCATCATCAGTCTCACACAGCGTCTTATCTTAGCACCAGCATCCTCTTTATGCACTAGTTTGTCATTCTACATGATCTCTCAATGTGATATAGCCGGAGCCTCTGTTTTCATAACCCTGATGCAATTACCTGTGATGCTTTGAAAGTGGCTCCTTTGCTGACAGTGTAGATGAGACGGTGCATTTGTTTTTATTAGGGAGTATGATATAGTGCTCAGCTTTAATGCAGAATCTTTTAAGATGCTGATGTGATCTATAAACTATTATGACCTTCTTTAATTGCCTGGTTCTTGCACAAAAGTGTTTACACGCAAATGTGCATATATAACGCTCTATGTGCATTAAAGGCAAAAGACCATTAATGCAATTTACTTGCACTTAGCATTGTCAAATGTCTTTGGCCTGTTTGAAGGTGATATGTCAAGTTGACAGCAGACTAAAAGTCATATGTGAATGGGAATTTCTGAGTACAAGTGTAGGATGTCAACAGTATTCCTTTTAAGTCTTCTGTCTTTATAATGCTGAAATGTGAATGTCTTTGGCAACAGCACTGATTAAAATGTCAAAATTAATAGAAGTGTTGCTCTGTTTTTCAAGATTCTAAGGTTTTAATAACCTTTATCTGTCCTGTCTAAATCAGTTGTTTGGATCTTTTACACATATTAAATACAACACCAGTTCACAGTTTATTTATAGTACACCTTTGCATAATATAGTATTATATTAAGGTGTAAATGAAGCCTTGCTTGCTTTCCTTATATCCAAATTTGAGAAACATTTGACATAATTGTCTAGTCTTCATTCTTACTGTCCTGTGTCTGTGCTCTCCAGAATGTCATTCTTCCTGTGAGGAGTGCAGTGGGGATGGTCCTCACTCCTGTACTTCCTGTTTGGCCCCTGAGGTTCTGGCCCCATCAGGTCTCTGCAGCCCTCGCTGTCCAAATGGATATTATGCTGATGAAAACAGGGTGTGCCAAAGTAGGTACACATTTACTTAAAGTGCATCTGTCTGTCTGATAAGTATTGATTAAATGATTATTGTGTGTGTTTCAGTGTGTGACGCTCAGTGTCTGAGCTGTGAGATGGCGGGTGTGTGTACGTCGTGTAGCGATCCAGCTAAAGTGCTTCTGTTTGGGGAGTGTCAGTATGAGAGCTGTGCTCATCAGTACTACCTGAACACCACCACACGCACATGCAGAGGTGAGTCTCAGCCCGGTTGCACTGTCTAATCTTCATTTAGACTACCCCTCATTTCCTTCCCGATACAGTCATCCATTATTTAAATTACTGATCCTGTATTGTTAAACTACACTATTAGTTTTACTTGTCCATAAGCATGATTCTTTGATTTGTATGTTTGTTGTAATCATTGCCTTTGAACTGCTCAGAAATTTTTTTAGACGTAGAAATAGACGTTAAACGTTCCTCATATAAAGGCTGGAATACACTTCACAGATCTCTCAGAAAGTCATAGTGTGTATGATGGACCCAGACTCTGATTTTTTAGCTTCAGACTATGAATTCAAACATGTTTGATATTTTGAGGTGATTTTAGAACACATATTGTTTTAATTTGTCATGCGTCTCCTTAGCAACAAGGCGCAAGTTTCAGCATGAGTTTGTTGTGTTCGGAATGACTTGAAAGTCTGGTAGTGATGCCCAGTTTTTCTCTGTAACCACTTACAAAGTTGGCAAGTGTATGATACGTGGTGTTTTAAAATCTGTCCAGTCCATCAGTCCATTATATCTAACATACATACATAAACTCGCACAGAACAGCTGGGAAAAAGAGGATGCATCCAATTCTAATAAATAAGGTCAAATATATTTCACAGAGGATCATTATGAAGACGCTAGCAAGAGTAATTGCAGAGAAGATTATTTGTTAATAATTGTGAGTGTGTTCAGATCTTAATACGATGTGGTTTGGGATTTGGATGTTGAACATAGACCCCATACCGTGATACCTTTCTTTCATTTTGATGGGATTTACAGAGGAGATCAAAAGGAGATAGAGATTAGTTTTTGTCCCTTGAGTATTTGGGTGTGTGTGTGTGTGTGTATGTGTAAGTGATCTCGAGTGAAGCAGAAAGAAAACATTAAAGGGGTCATATGACGTTGCTAAAAAAAAACTTTATTTTGTGTATTTGGTGTAATGAAATGTGTTTATGCAGTTTAAGGTAAAAAAAAAAAAAAAACATTATTTTCCACATACTGTACATTATTGTTTCTCTTCTATGCCCCGCCTTTCTGAAACGCGTTGATTTTTACAAAGCTCATCGATCTGAAAAGTGCAGTGTGCTCTGATTGGTCAGCTATCCAGTGCGTTGTGATTGGCCGAATACCTCAAGTGTGTGACGGAAATGTTACGCCTCTTACCAGGTTCAGGAAACTTTCCTCCGTAAAATGTGCTGCACACATCTGAATATTTGGGTTGTACTGTTCTGGAACAGTGTTGTAAATACAACTTAACCACTGATTTCTAGTTGTGTCCTCTTTTGGAAGACCAAACAAAGTAGTTTGGCTTTCGCAATGAAACACAGCGTCTCCACGACATGGCGGCGGCGGCAACAATACTACAGCGAGAAGAAAAGTTACGCCTACTTTGTTTGTGTATACATTTGGGCGGCGTTATGCAAATCTTCCCACACAGTGATGTAGATATGTGGCGGCGTGTTTGAACGAGGCGTTTTAGGAAGGTCATGGCTGAGCGTTCACTTTTATAAAGAATATCTCTTTGGGTTTGAGACTTTAATCTTTGCGACTTTACATATCTTCTGTATGCACGAACAGCTTTTAACACTCCAAAGACAAAGGAAAACATGAAATCGCATCATATCAAACAAAGTAGTTTGGGTTTCGCAATGAAACACAGCGTCTCCACGACATGGCGGCGGCGGCAACAATACTACAGCGAGAAGAAAAGTTACGCCTACTTTGTTTGCGTATACATTTGGGCGGCGTTATGCAAATCTTCCCACACAGTGATGTAGATATGTGGCGGCGTGTTTGAACGAGGCGTTTTAGGAAGGTCATGGCTGAGCGTTCACTTTTATAAAGAATATCTCTTTGGGTTTGAGACTTTAATCTTTGCGACTTTACATATCTTCTGTATGCACGAACAGCTTTTAACACTCCAAAGACAAAGGAAAACATGAAATCGCATCATATGACCATCATTATATGAATGCTTTACAGATACTGTATGTAAACCTGTTTACCCCTGCAGCACTGTGAATGAAGGTTACTTTGACAATATTTTAATAATGCAAGACATTGTTGTTTTTGTCTTTATGGATGGGTAATGTGAAAGAAGGACACAGTCTCACATGGACAAATGAGCTGCACAGACGTTTGAATTGGATGTAGTGTTAAATGAAGTTAGCCACTGTTCTTTTCATGTTTGAAATATTTTGGGAGGATGGATTTGGTGAATGAGGGTAGCGATGATGAGGTTATATAGATACAGTGATGACAGAAAGAGCATGATGGGGCTTTTTAATGAGCTGAGCTGATTTAGCCGATTTAGAGAGCGGAGGTCTGCTGGTGAGTTATCAAATGGTTGGCTAGCACTCTCTTTAATAGATTATTTGAGAACTGAAACTCTCTTTCTCATTGAAAGTCAAGCGGCGTATTGAAATCCCTCATATTTCTTTTTTGTACAGACACTATTCAAGCTTGGTTTTGCAAGTAATTTCAGGCTTAGGTGCACTGTCTATTTTTGGTTTTATAAGTGTCACAGTTTAACATATTACATATTAACCTTAAATTTAAATCAAATGTCCCTCATAAAATGTGTTGTTGTGTTAATAGCTTTTAATTGGTCAATACATTTTTGCCGCCATGCTAAAATCAACAGTAAAGTAACAGCTAATGGAAATTCATCCTGTCTTTTTTCTAAATGCATCATATTGATCTTATTTTGATTAATGCATATGGGTTATTTTTGTGAAACAAATTTAGATTTTGTAACTTTTAATCAAAATGTCTTTGAAACAGTATATATTTCTCTGCTGACATCTCCAATCCACTTAAACCTGTCCCTTCTTTACAGTTGACTGCCAAGTCATATTCAGATCTACCTCCATCCAATCAACAACTGATAGAACCAAGTGCTCAATCTTTTTTTCTTTTTTAATAATCGCTTTCTCTCAGATGTACATACGTTACAATACAGAAGAAAAGACCTGTCACTACTTCCACTACAGTAACAAATTTGTGGGGTATTTAAGCACTTCACTTTGTTGAACACTATTTACTTTACAATATAATCACTATAACACACAGCCTCTATTGGCTTTATTAATGAACATTTCTAGAAAGTTCTCCATTCCTGTATGCAATAATGTTGGTGGAATTTACATAAAGAATTGAAAGTGATTGGTTTTTATCATGCATTGCCTTGAAAGCGCTGGTATTTTCTTCAACAGATGCAAATCTAGTTTCTTCATGCTCTCTCTCATCACTGTGTTGTGGCCTTGTTTTCTTTCTCATTTGCTCTTATTTTACTCTCTTCCTCGATCACACTCCAATTTATCATATTTTCTTTTTATATCCCTCCCACTCACTCTTTCTTTCTCTTTCTCTCAGAGTGCGACTGGAGCTGTAACGCGTGCCGCGGACCCCTGCGTAGTGACTGTCTGCAGTGCATGGAGGGATACGTCCTGCAGGATGGCATTTGTGTGCCGGGTTGCTCACCGGGATTCTACCAGAATGCTGAGAGATGTCTGAGTCAGTCATCAACAAAAATAACAACCTTCATTATGAGTCCATCCAAGCAATTTTCCAGCTCAATAAACTTTGACATTTCAATCTCTCAGTCAGTTGTCACAGTTGGGGAGGGTGAGAGGACCACTAATGTCTGCTGTATAGTGCCAACATCAGGCGCTGCTCCATAGCTGAGGTTTAATGGCACTTTAATGGATTGATTTCAAATGAGACTGAAAGACAAGTCTATCAGTAATGTTGTAGTTATGGACTGGATTGAAGAAGCTTCTAACTCTTATTTAAAATTCACTTTCTTCAGTCTTAGATTGACATCTAAGAATTTTTAAGTGAATTTTAATTAACCAGCATTATCCAGTTATTGTAGCATGTAGTATTTAACTCAATGATATTAAAGCAATTTAGCTGAATACATCGGAGGAACCTAAATTTATTTAAGATGCATTATATTTTAATCTGTTTTTAATGTATTATAAATTAATAGTAATAATAAAAATTAATTATATTTTTTATAATAAATGTAAAAGTCTGGGGTCAGCAAATAAATAAATAAATACTTATATTCAGCAAGGACATATTAAATTGATCAAAAGTGAAAGTAAAGTAATTTGTAATGTTATAAAAGATTTCTATTCCAAATGAATACTGTTCTTATGAACTTTCTATTCAAGGAATGCTGAAAAAAAGCATCACAATTTCTACAAAATTATTAAGCAGCACAACTGTTTTCAACACTGTTAATAAGAAATGTTTCTTAAGCAGCAAATCGGCATATTAGAATGATTTCTGAAGGATCATGTGACACTGAAGTCTGGAGTAATGGCAGAAGTGTAGATTTAAAAAACAATTTAGTATGTAAAGTGATAGACAAAAACTTGGATCTCATAAAATATGAATCAAATTGTGTCTTCAGCTTTCTCTCCTTATTCTTTCCATGAACAGGCTGTGATGAGCATTGCGAGCAGTGCCAGGTCCATGGCCAATGCCAACTCTGCCAGTTGCCATATGCCATGTTGAATGGGCAGTGTGTGCTGGAATGCGGCAAGCGCTACTTTCTAGATGCCTCGACCCGTCAGTGCACCGGTGAGTGCTCTGAATCTGGTCTGAGCGAGTGATCGTGATTGCATAGATTGGCCATTTTGGCATCTTTACAAACCTGCTAATTTTAGAGGCGCTCAGTATGGTGTTACGCAGTTCCCTCGCGTGTTCTACCTGAATCTGATGACAGATTGTTTGCTATTATTTCCCAGCATGCTCAGCTGGTTGCTTGGAGTGTGTGAGTGCAGGTGAGTGCCGTGTCTGTGCTGAGAACTCCTTCCTGAAGGGTGGCCAATGCATCGTGGACTGTGGTCACGGATACTATGCTGACCGAAAAACAAGAGCCTGTCGGGGTAACCAGGACTTTCTACTTCACATATCTGATATAAATAAATGTTATAAATACTAGGGATGCACGATATTGGATTTTTGCCGATATCTGATATGCCGCTAATTTTCAACTCATTTTGGCCGATAGCCGATGCCGATATATAATTATTTTTTAATTTTAGTTTGTTTTTAACAAGAACTTATTTGTTAGAATTAAATAAACAATAATAAAGTTCTTTTATATTGACGGTACATTGAAGATTTGAAAATAACTATAAATAAACTATATATTAATCACTGCATTTTTTTTTTCAGAAAGATGCAGTGGTAACCTTAACATTTTGTTTTATGATTTAACATTTGTAAATGGTCTAAAGCAAAAGAGTTGTACAAATTCGGAAAATCTTTTAGAGCTCATAATTTGTTTAAAAAATATAACATTGCACATTGATGAATAAATCAGTATATATAAAATTATTTAATTTAAGTGTCAGAAGTAAGAAGTAAGCTTCTGACCTTTTAAATCAAAACATACTCATGATTTTATGGCATCAATTACTGCTTTATTTAATCAGAAACAGTCTAAACATTATTTGTGTATTTTGCTTTCATTTTATTAGAAGTAGGCCAGCAGCGCCCCCTACGGAATTAAAACTCCTTACTGAGCGGGCATTAGGACCCGGAGGTGGCTGCCGCTGCTGCCGCTGCACGTGCTATCACTGTTTACTCTATCATACACCAAAGGCTCATTCTGTATGCGCATTCTCAGTTTAAATGCAGCTATCCAAAACAGTGAATCTAATCATCATTCAGGCAAAACTTTGCTTCAAGAATGAGCCATGTACAAATTCGGAAAATCTTTTAGAGCTCATAATTTGTTTAAAAAATATAACATTGCACATTGATGAATAAATCAGTATATATAAAATTATTTAATTTAAGTGTCAGAAGTAAGAAGTAAGCTTCTGACCTTTTAAATCAAAACATACTCATGATTTTATGGCATCAATTACTGCTTTATTTAATCAGAAACAGTCTAAACATTATTTGTGTATTTTGCTTTCAATTTATTAGAAGTAGGCCAGCAGCGCCCCCTACGGAATTAAAACTCCTTACTGAGCGGGCATTAGGACCCGGAGGTGGCTGCCGCTGCTGCCGCTGCACGTGCTATCACTGTTTACTCTATCATACACCAAAGGCTCATTCTGTATGCGCATTCTCAGTTTAAATGCAGCTATCCAAAACAGTGAATCTAATCATCATTCAGGCAAAACTTTGCTTCAAGAATGAGCCACAATGCTGACGTGATCTAATCGCTAGCACACCCTGAGCACATAGGGGAAGTCGTATTCCTCTTATCGGCAAGACATATCGGCATAATTCTTTATATTGGGCCTATGCCGATATTTACATTTAAAGCCATTATCGGCCATTTCGATATTGGTCCGATAATATCGTGCATCCCTAATAAATACTCTTTTTTTTTTTCTTGCCAAAATTCAGGGAAAATCTGTTACTTTTTATACTGTTAAGACTGTAAGAGTATTTGAACATCACATCCACCTTTGTTACAGCAAACAGCCGTGCTCCATCTCTTTACATCAATGGCTCTCTGCTGGTTCCTATTGGTGGAGTTAAGCCTCTGGATCCGGCACTCCTGTCAATCAAGGATGCAGATAGCCAGTCAGAAAGCATGTTGCTCCAGCTCCTTCAGCCACCCAGTAACGGCCATCTCGTGGTCCTGGAAAATGACAGAGAGAGAGCACTGGGCAGAGACGACACTTTCACCTTGACTCAGCTCAAACGTAGAGCTGTGCGCTTCATTCACGATAAAGAGCAACCCAAGTGAGTATGTGTGTAGCATAGAGTGACGGAATTAATCCAGGGTTATTTCCCCAGGAAATTTATTTTATATTCAGAAGTCATTAAAAACATATAATTTATTGGCAGACCAAGAGATATGTCCTCTGTCACCAATAGCATTAAAATGCATTACTGTCATTAACAGCATTACAGTGCATCTCATAAATTGAAGAATGAGTGAATGTGTAATGTGTGTGTGTGTGTGTGTGTGTGTGTGTTCAGTATATATGAACTAGATGATATGTGGAAGTCTACAATCATTAATTACATATTGTTTACTCACTGTTTATAGTTCATGTAAAAGATTTAATTCCTCATCTCCTGAAATATCACTTTAGGTGGCAACTCTTGTTTGTCATTCCTGTGGGATATGGCCCATTTCTGCTTAGACAGACAGATTTTGCATGTTTAGATGTCGTGCAGGATTAAAACAACGTTATATTAAGGCGAGAGGGTTTCGAGTGTGTGTGTGTGTGTTTTGGGGGATGGACTGAGTTCAAGTAGTGTGCGCTAGTCATTAGCTTTAATTAACTCGGGGAAGTTGGTGAGGCATTTGACAGGACACACACACCCCACAGTGCTCATAACCCACAGCGTTTGTGATGATCACGTTAGGCAGTCACTAAGTCAGGCTGACTGCTGACCTTCAGTTTTCTCTCAACTTTCTCAGTTTATCTCTTTAATGGCTCCTCTCGCTCCCTTCAGCTCTGTGGTTTAATTAACAAGTGATCTGTGTGCCCTCACACTCTCACTTCTATTTTGTTTCTCATCCCTCTTTTTCCCAAATGTATCACTTTTTCAGTCTTTATCATTTCTCTTTAAAAGCCACTCAGTCTTTTTCTAATTTTGGTCTCTGCCTTTTGCTTCTCTAAGTCTTTTATTCATCGTGTCTTTTTCTGTTGTTTTCGTCCACTTTACACACATACACACGTTTGTTGTTGTCACAATGTGAAATAGAAACTACTACTTCCCATTGACTTGTATTGTTTAGAGACTGAGCTAAACATTTTCGCTAAGACATTATTTGCTGTGGGTATTTCAACAGTATGACATTATTTTGTATGTTAGCTGGTCCCCACAATATACATGATTTCAGATTTTGTAGCGAAATGTAGGCAAACCCTGACTCATTATTTATATCCTTGAATCTGTTCACAGCAGTGTAATGTTGGCTTGTTTTGCAGAAGTGGGCAGTTCATGTTAAGAGCAGCAGATCCTCAGCTGTTCTCTCAGCCTCAGAGTGTTCCAGTGCAGGCGCTCTCCCAGCAGGTAAACACACACACAGACACACACACACACACACACACACACACTTGTGTAAGAACGCTGAGTAATGGAGATTTATGCTGCAGTCACAAGACAAATACAACAAAATAGAGACAGGATTCTGTGATGACTATGGGTCTCATTTACTAATAATTGTATGAATTATTTCGTATTTGTATGCACAAGAGTAACCTTGTTCTAATGGTAATGAAGTTGGAATATTCTGAATGAGTGACCGTGTGCCCAAGGTTAGTCATTTGCATAAAACATGACCAGACTATCCCCATATTAGGGCTTTTCTTTACAGCCTTTCAACACTCACAGCAAGTATTTAACACTCTTTGACACATTAGCGCCTGTCGTTGCCTAGATTAAATCAAGTGCGTATTCACCTGGATTTTAAACATACTGTACACCTTTACATTAATAAGTTTTTAAGAAAAATATAAATTAAGTCAAGGCTGTCCAAATTTTTACTGATGGCTAGAGGTGCATAGAGGACAGTCTATTATGGGCAGATAAGTTTACTCAATGGACATTTTCATAACATCATTCCGTTTCTATAGTCGTCATATTGGGTGTCACGAAAGTCATGATTCCTTTATTAAAAATTTCTGGTTTTCGAAAAGTTATGATTTCGACTATGTAAAATAGAAATGTAAAATTGAACCCTTTCTGCTGTATACTCATCTTTGCTTACACCCATAGTCCACATTCTTAACATAGATTGATTGGCCATTATCCTCACTCTGAAGAGGGCATTATAGCTCATACTGAGCCAGCATCTCTTCCCATTCTCTCTCTCACTCTCTCTGTGTTGCTCATTCTTCTGCAGTATTTAGTTACACTTCATAGATACAGTCTCCAGAGAACTGTACAGCACACACACACACACACACACACACACACACACACACAGAAACCTGAGCTCCCCAACAGAAATCTAATGGATGTCATTGCAACAAATAACACCCAAAATACATTCCTGCCCCTCATGGACTGATAAGCTCACTTCCTGCTGTTGAGTGAGCAGTAATAGCTGAAATATAGAACCTGTATCTTAAAGTGAAGAGAGAGAGGACAGCAAATCTATTCCTACAAGGGAAAGAGAGTTAAAAAATATATGCAATAATCTCTCCCTGAGGAAAAAGATTGTATTTTGAAAGTATACCGTTTACTCTTGTCTTCCCTGTGAAGTGGTAAACAAAAGTGGCCTGATTTTCTCCACAGCTCTGTCGACAGCAACCTAATGAATGTTCATTAGTGTGAATTGCTTTAAACAAAAAGTGTATTGTGTATAAATGCTTTGGTGCTCATGTGGACAACAGAAGTTTGAATCTGCCTGCAGCATTTGCCATCTCTTTACTCTTGTCTTCCCTGTGAAGACAGCAACCTAATGAATGTTCATTAGTGTGAATTGCTTTAAACAAAAAGTGTATTGTGTATAAAATGCTTTGGTGCTCATGTGGACAACAGAAGTTTGAATCTGCCTGCAGCATTTGCCATCTCTTTTCTTTGACTATATATTAGAATTAGGCCAAAAATAACAGAATGAAGTCATGATAGATAAAGTAAGGTTGGATCCTTTGCACACTTGTCTTTCATTTGAGCTACAGTAGTCAAGCACTGATAGGATTCTCACCTCTGCATGCCTTAATTTACAAAATAAAAATGGGAAAATACTGTATGTAGATGCAAAAGAATACAGACTAAGGACATTGGGGCTCAAATATTAAATCATTAAATATTAAATATTTTCTCTTTCCTCTGATTTATTAAAACTGGGTTTGAATTCTATATTAATGTTTTTTTTTACCCCTTTCACAGCCACCCACTGTGATCACCAACCAAATTCTGTACATTAACTCTGGTGAGACAGCCGTCATCAGCAGATCTATTCTTCACATCAGTGACCTCGATAATCCACAAGACGTTTTCATCACGGTTCTGGATCCGCCTCAACATGGCCACCTGACACACGTGCATGGTGATGTGCAGGTGACCCATTTTAAACTGGAAGACCTGGATCGTGAGCAGCTGCAGTATGTACATGACGGTTCAGAAGGAGACCAGGACAGACTTCTGCTGCAGGTCAATGATGGGCACAGCTACCAGAACATCCTGTTTCACATCAGCATTGCGCAAAAGGTACGGCCATGACAAGTTTTACTCTAAAAAAGATTTGCTAAGTGACAGTTCACCTGGTCAAAAAGGATTCTTTCAAGATTAGGTAATCCTTCATGAAATTTACCAGACTTTTGTGAAGTGCTAGTCTGCTTATCATGGAGTTTTATATTCTTTGAAATGACATGCTGTTTTTTGTAATGTTCAGCTAAATGTGTTTAATTTCTCATTTTTTCTGTGATTGGGAATTTATTTAAACGTCATAAAATACTGGTTACCTATGATTGTTACCTATCAATCTGTCATGTACTTTGATGTTAGTGTAAAAAATATTAAGTGCAAAAAAACAGGTTATCAGCTCTTATGCACTTAAATCAAGGATTTTTGGCTAATTATGGATTCATGCGCTCCACCTGATGCTATAACACCTTGATGATTGAGCCTTAGACTACTGCTGCATTATTTCTTGATTTAGGTGTGATTTATGCCCACTGTCATGATGAAATCACTCAAAAAGAGTACACTGAAAAAAAATATATAACATCACTTATTAGACCTAAATAGATTTTTCCAGTGGTTTTTAAACTAAATTCTGGAGGATTCCAAGGTACTGCAAAGGAGTGGTGTGAAAATTTTGAGATTAAGACTTAAAACTTAAATTAACTTAAAATATAAAATCAATATCAATATTTTATATAATATATAAACACATTATTTCAAAACAGATGTTATTACTGTTTCTAAAGACTGGTCAGAAATTATGACCTATTGTTTTTAAACAGTAAGAAATTATAAACAAAAGTGTTTATTTTAAAAGTTTATTAGGTTAATATTTTAATAATGTGCTTACAGGGGATATTACAAAAAGCCAGTTATTTGATTTTGGAAACACAATGTTACAAGATTAATACTTATATTATTAATAAGTATGAATTAAGTGTAATTAAGTATAAATGAATAATATGAATAAATGAATGTATAAAAAATATATGCAATAATCTCTCCCTGAGGAAAAAGATTGTATTTTGAAAGTATACCGTTTACTCTTGTCTTCCCTGTGAAGTGGTAAACAAAAGTGGCCTGATTTTCTCCACAGCTCTGTCGACAGCAACCTAATGAATGTTCATTAGTGTGAATTGCTTTAAACAAAAAGTGTATTGTGTATAAATGCTTTGGTGCTCATGTGGACAACAGAAGTTTGAATCTGCCTGCAGCATTTGCCATCTCTTTTCTTTGACTATATATTAGAATTAGGCCAAAAATAACAGAATGAAGTCATGATAGATAAAGTAAGGTTGGATCCTTTGCACACTTGTCTTTCATTTGAGCTACAGTAGTCAAGCACTGATAGGATTCTCACCTCTGCATGCCTTAATTTACAAAATAAAAATGGGAAAATACTGTATGTAGATGCAAAAGAATACAGACTAAGGACATTGGGGCTCAAATATTAAATCATTAAATATTAAATATTTTCTCTTTCCTCTGATTTATTAAAACTGGGTTTGAATTCTATATTAATGTTTTTTTTTACCCCTTTCACAGCCACCCACTGTGATCACCAACCAAATTCTGTACATTAACTCTGGTGAGACAGCCGTCATCAGCAGATCTATTCTTCACATCAGTGACCTCGATAATCCACAAGACGTTTTCATCACGGTTCTGGATCCGCCTCAACATGGCCACCTGACACACGTGCATGGTGATGTGCAGGTGACCCATTTTAAACTGGAAGACCTGGATCGTGAGCAGCTGCAGTATGTACATGACGGTTCAGAAGGAGACCAGGACAGACTTCTGCTGCAGGTCAATGATGGGCACAGCTACCAGAACATCCTGTTTCACATCAGCATTGCGCAAAAGGTACGGCCATGACAAGTTTTACTCTAAAAAAGATTTGCTAAGTGACAGTTCACCTGGTCAAAAAGGATTCTTTCAAGATTAGGTAATCCTTCATGAAATTTACCAGACTTTTGTGAAGTGCTAGTCTGCTTATCATGGAGTTTTATATTCTTTGAAATGACATGCTGTTTTTTGTAATGTTCAGCTAAATGTGTTTAATTTCTCATTTTTTCTGTGATTGGGAATTTATTTAAACGTCATAAAATACTGGTTACCTATGATTGTTACCTATCAATCTGTCATGTACTTTGATGTTAGTGTAAAAAATATTAAGTGCAAAAAAACAGGTTATCAGCTCTTATGCACTTAAATCAAGGATTTTTGGCTAATTATGGATTCATGCGCTCCACCTGATGCTATAACACCTTGATGATTGAGCCTTAGACTACTGCTGCATTATTTCTTGATTTAGGTGTGATTTATGCCCACTGTCATGATGAAATCACTCAAAAAGAGTACACTGAAAAAAAATATATAACATCACTTATTAGACCTAAATAGATTTTTCCAGTGGTTTTTAAACTAAATTCTGGAGGATTCCAAGGTACTGCAAAGGAGTGGTGTGAAAATTTTGAGATTAAGACTTAAAACTTAAATTAACTTAAAATATAAAATCAATATCAATATTTTATATAATATATAAACACATTATTTCAAAACAGATGTTATTACTGTTTCTAAAGACTGGTCAGAAATTATGACCTATTGTTTTTAAACAGTAAGAAATTATAAACAAAAGTGTTTATTTTAAAAGTTTATTAGGTTAATATTTTAATAATGTGCTTACAGGGGATATTACAAAAAGCCAGTTATTTGATTTTGGAAACACAATGTTACAAGATTAATACTTATATTATTAATAAGTATGAATTAAGTGTAATTAAGTATAAATGAATAATATGAATAAATGAATGTATAAATTCTTTATACATGCTTTCAGCCTGATACGCTGAGATAGGCCCCAGCATCCAGCACACAGACTTTTCTTTATGCATAAAATTATATAGCTTCCGTTATAATTTAAGAAGGAAATCCCTTGCAAGTGAGGTTAATATTTTGGGTTTGAAACCCCCTCATTAAAGGGTTTTAAGCTAGAAAAAGCTCAAATTCAGTTACAGATGACCACTTTTACAGTGTACTGTTGGGGTCTGTTTGTGATCACATAGCATTCAACTACTGTGTCTGTTCCCTCACAGGATCATATTTACACCTTAAGGTACTAATATGTAACCTGTAGAGGTAGATATGGTACAAATATGATAAGTACCCTTAAGGGTACAATTTTGCACATTTGTTCTGACAGTGCAGGTGCATTGAGACACAATTGATGCAGTGCAGAGTGTGTTTTTCATGACAGAGTGAACACCTCTCATACCTCTCTCCATCCATACACACTTATACAAACATCATCACCCCTTTTACGCTTGAAATCACCCATTCCTGACTATTTGACATGCCCCCAGCCTGCTGATGTCTAGACAGATTGGAGCACTTTGTTTGCTTATCTGAAGCTCTGTCCCCCTTTCCATACACCCTTATCCTCACATCTCTCTGTAGTGTCATCCGATTACACCTGCCTTGTTCCCTGCTGCAGCCTGTTATCTACCATCCTAAGCGGACTAATGGAAACCGTTTCACAGTAAACACTCTGTTTTCAAATCAATAGCACTTCGTTTTTATTAGTAGGATAGCAGTAAGTTTTATTGGGCAGAATCGCATAAAGGCCTATTGCATTCACACAGCTACCAATGAGTGGAAAGGTAAAGTTACGTCCGCAACACAAGGTGTTGAGAGCAGACAGAGGTGAAGGCTGAGTAGGCAACACGACGACTGTGCGTTAATGCCCTCTTTATTGATTGTGGCTTTGGGTTTGGAAGCAAGCTTCCTGATCTCAAAAGATTTTAATATGTGGACTTCGGAAATGAAGACAAAGATGAATAAAAGAGGAAGCTGGCTTTCAATTAGCCTTTTCGAGAGAAGTCGCTTGGTGTTTGTAGTCCCTGATCCATGTAATTGGTCAGCACTGGTGAATGATCCTTGATTTAATGTGACCTGGAGACCTCAAAAACCCACTTTGAAAGAAAGAAAGAAAATACACTTTGCCATGTATCACCTTCACTGTACAAGATGTTTTGCAGGTAACCTAAAAAATGGTTTCATATGGTAACATCAAATTCCGATTGAAGTCAAAAATGTTATGTAATATGCATTAATCAACCTGAGAACAGTTGGTTACCCCAGCAAAAGTAATTTTTAAGGGTCAGATCAGGTAGAAATGCACTACATGAAATGTAGCAAAACTCTGAATTAAGCTATGGGACTCTTTAGAAACATACTATAGTTTTGACCTATGAGTGAACTCTTCCGTGAACGCTTTGCTTTATAAATCCGTCCCGCTCTCAGAGAGGTGATCAGGATCAGCAGGAAGGGTGCCAGGGTGTTTCCTCAGTGAATCGGGCCTTTCATCTCCCCACGTCCTTGAAGGTCTTTGATTATCTGTGAAGCAGAAGATCTTATTCACCACAATGAGCTCCTCAGCTAGCGCTGGGATGTTCAGAGCCCTGTTAGGATCTAAAGATTCCTGGCATAGCAGTAGCTGAGTATGTATGATTAGCATGTGTCTTTGTGATTTTCTTGTAGCTTTGATGTTTTTCAATGTAAAATGCAAGAAATACATTTTCTTGTGGTTTTATCATCATTAAACCGCTACACAAAATTCACAACTGCAAAAACTTCAACCTAATGATAAACTTTGAAAAAGGTTTGAAGTTACTACATTTTTTTAAAGAAATTAATACTTAGAAATATTTTGTACACATTTAATTTTCGTTTCTTTTGAGCTTTCTGTACGTTAAAGAATCCTGAAAAACATATCACAGGTTCCATAAAGTTATTAATAAACTGCCTTCAATATTTACAATAAGAAATGTTTCTTTATAGCAGCAAATCAGACTGTAACACTAAAGACTTTTAGATTTTAAAATATATTCAAATAGAAAACAGTCATTTTAAATTGTACTAATAATTCACAATATTACAATTTTTACTATTTTTCATCAAATAAATGCAGTCTTGGTGAGAGGACGTTATAACCTTAACTTATTTTTTATAAGGTACATGCTTGAAATAAACATACCATTAATCCTAATGGTGCATTATGGTTTCCCTGTAGGTTGGATTGACTCCTCACCTGCGTTCAGTGCCCAGGACCTGGGTGAGGGAGGGAGGAATGGTGCGGCTGTCTAAGAAGTGCCTCAGTGCTCATTTCCAAGGAACCAGTGACTCTGAAATCCTGTACACCATTCATTCTGAGAGCGGACAGCCCAAATACGGTATCATCATCATTTGTCTCTAGCATTCCTTACTTAATGTCTGTCTTTCTTTCTAAACTCGATTCAGTGCCATGAACTAAGGTAAAATGCTTCTTTCTAAAGGTATCTTATATGTTTATGTGTCTAGGAGAGATTGTGCTGGTGTCTATGCCCGCTGACGGTCCTGTGGAGGCATGGCAGTCCTTCCCAGATGCTCAGGACACCACACCAACCAGCTCATTTACACAGCAAGATGTTAATGAGGGGACTGTCTGGTACAGACACTATGGATCCGGATCACAGAGAGACACTTTTCAGTTTCAGGTGAGACGCACACAGTTGGCTTTTGGCAAAAGCCCTGTGGCTCAGTATGTAAAGCCATAGGTGCCACTCAACTTCTGACTGGTTAGAAATAATCTTTTTGTGTTATATATTGATTTGCAATTTAATGGCAAGGGTTCGTGTCTTAATCTGTTGAAGTTCTGCTCTGTTTCATTAGGGTGTTTTTTTGTTGATTGGTCCACTTCAGACATAAATCATCAACATCAACTTTCATCACATGCACATCCAGCAGTCACTGTTAAACTCTCTTCCATACTCGAAGCACCAGACAAAAGTTTGGGGTTAATAAGTTTTGTTTGTTTTTTTGAAAGAACTTAATACTTTTATTCATAAAGGATTCATTAAATTCTTTTAAAGTGACAGTAAAGTCTTTTACATTGTTGTATATTCAAATAAATGGTGTTCTTTTGAACTTGCTATTAGATATTCAGCTTTGCCATCACAGAAATAAATCACATGTTGTTTATATATTAAAATAGAAAACAGTTGTTTTAAATTGTAATAATATTTCACAATATTTTCACTAGGGATGCACCGAATGTTCGGCAACCGAAATTCGAATAAGCGAAAAGACCGAATAATTTGTACCGAACAATGATATGACGCGATCAAATAGCAGCCAGTGTAGAGTGGAAGCATTTAAACTGTCGGAGAAAGACGCGAAAATCATTACAAGCACCGACAGCGAGAGACTATTTAGGACTGCATCGCATGTCTTCAATTAGAAGAGGAAGGGGTGAATGTTGTTGGTTATGGTATGATGATTGAAATCGTGAAATGGCCTTAAACAATTAGTAAATAAACTGCAAAACGTCATGTTTTCTAATACACGCGCGCATTGCATTCTGACAGCACTACACGAACTCGCAGCAGATCTGCTTGTTAACCAGGGTTCAAAGTCCAAAGCTCGAGGAAAACCTGCACTAAAACAGTGTTGCTCGTCAGTTGCTCAGTCATATTTTTATAAATTTTTACAAGGCATGTGACAATGCGATATGTACGACGTATTCGTAATGAAACTCATTTATAAATCTGTTGTCAACAAAATGAAGCACTGAGGTCTTCCTGCGCGTTTCCGCCAAAATAAAAGTTGAGAAAAAGCAAGAACTCTTATCAACATTCATAAATGTTAGTATTGTAATTTTACTGTTGTTCTGTAAAATAAAATAAAGAGTAAGACAATAATAATGATAGTAATAATTACAACAGCTCTGTTAATACATTTATTATAACATTCGCACATAGTGTTCAAATTAGGATCTGTAATATTTTCTAATGTTTCAAAAGAAGTCTCTTCTCAGCAAGGCTGCTTTTAATTGTACAGTAAAAAAATAAATAATAATAATACATGCCTGATTCAAGAAGGGGGTCTGATGGCCAAAAATTATTATTTTACTAACTTGTTAAGTTAAATTGTGCTTTGTTGGTATAGTGTCTGCTAGAATGTTAAAAATGTTCAGTGTTAAATATTTTTAAATTGTTGTTTTGTAATTGATTTTTTTCTTTGAAAAACAAGAAAAAATAGTAAAAAGCACATTTTGGCTTTTTAATTTATGCAATGGTGAACATTTTTTTGGCAAAATACCTGGGGGAAAAATCTCGAAAAACCGTGTTCGGTATTCGGCCTTCGGCCCAGTGTTTCATTTTGTTCGGTTTCGGCTTCGGCCAAGAATTTTCATTTCGGTGCATCCCTAATTTTCACAGTTTCATAAAATGAATGCAAGGAATTTCGGTAACACTTTAGGATAGGGAACATATATTCACTATTAACTAAGAGTTTCCCTTAACAAACTCCTAATTAGCTGTTTATCAATAGTTAGTAAGGTAGTTGTTAAATTTAGGTATGGGGTCGGATTAAGGGATCTAGAATGTGGTCATGCAGAATAAGGCATCAATATGTGCTTTGTAAGTACTAATAAACAGCCAAAATGCTAGTAATATGCATGCTAAAAAGCAACTAGTTAATAGTGAGAATTGGTCCTTAAAATAAAGTATTACCAAAATTTCTTTCAAAAACATTATAAAAAATCTTGCCAACCCCTTGCCAACTAACTTTTGAACGGAACGTTTCTTTCTCTCTCATACACACACACAACAGCAGACTTTTAGATCAGCGTATCTCCTGTTATGAAGCGTACACAAATCTCTTTTGAGTACATTTACATGGACAACAATACTCCGATTTTAATACGATTAAGACAATACTCTCAGAGTCTACCATGTAAACAGAGATTTTTGATTACCTTAATCCGAAGTAAACAGAAATCGAATTAAGACGTGGAGTATTCCTATTTTAGTCGCATTACTGAAGTGCAGTATAGACATGTAAACACTTTAATCACATTATTACCGTCGTGTTGGACTTTTCACCGCATTTTGCGACAGGATACACACACGGCAGTGCTCAACCGTTTGACGGCAAATAAAAGAGCTTCAACACCGCCATCGTCTGTATGCACGTACAAATAATTAACTGCACTTGAAGCTTTCATAAAGTTAAAAATGAAACACCCAAAACTGTACATGGCATCATCACGAAGACGAACTATGTTTATTTGTGAAATTACGAAGGGGACGTCGTATGGCGTCACGTGGGACGTAATGACGTGTGCCATTAATCGAACTATGTACTATAACATGTAAAACAGGAACACGAAAGGAATATTCTAAAAGCAACTCATGTAAACACCATAATCATAATATTGGCTTATTTAGAATAAGGTAAATAATTAGATTACTGATGTCCATGTAAACGTAGTCATTGTTCCTTTCTCTCAACTTATTGGACTATTTTCTCTATTTTACTTCAGCTCTGTTTCACACGTTTAGGCCAATTTGTCCATCTGTCCTACTTCTCCTTCACCAACCTCACTGCATTACTTGGGTATAAATGAGCTAATTTGTCTTCAAATCCAGTTTCAAATCAGTGTAAGCAGCATTAAAGGACATTCAATCACATGTAATTCATCAGCTTAAACCCCTGATGACTCTTGACACAACAGTTTTTTTTTGACACAACAGTTTTTTTTTGTCGTCCTCGAGAAAATCTTTTCTCTTCTCGTCTTGACTGAGGCAGCACCCTGTGCCGCAGACTTCATTAAATAAGATTTGAGCTTTAATGGTTCGACACAGTTTAGTTTATGTCCTCAGGAGGGGGTTTTGTGACCGCGAAGTGCTTCAGCCTATTTGTTAGGTGTCTGCTCAAGACTTCACTGTTGAAATTAATTTGTTGTTGAATTAATGACAGTCACAGAGCGAATTAAAAATCTCAAAAATAGGATGTGTATTGATGTTGAGAGTGATTTTAGTTACGTAGTACATTGATTATTGCCAATTATTGACTGAGAACTGTTAAAATTTGTTTTTGAGAGCTTATATTTTATAGTGGGAACGAGTACATGTACACTTTGGTGTTTATTAATAATTATTTTTACATTTATAAATATTTACTTATGCATTTATTTACATCTGTTCATGCATGGGTGTGTGTGCTTTTGTTGGCAGGTTTCAAGTGAGGTCTATCCAGAGACTCTGAGTGATACGCAGACCTTCAGTATAGGAGTGATGCCTCAGACCCCTGGCCTACCTCATCTCTCACCTGGAGCCGACCTGCAGATCACTGTAAGATGTCTCTTTCGATTTTTAGTTAACATCCAGTGTATCCACTGCTTTAATTTGAACTTCTAAGTGAAATAGAAGTGTGTTTTTGTTTTTCCTCTGTTAAAATACTTTCTCATTCATCAAAGAATCCTAAGCAAAATTAATCATGACTTCCACAAAAATATTATTTTTATATTTAATATAATATATATAATATAATATAACTGCTTTCAGAATTGATAAAAGTAAGAAATGTTTCTTGAGCACATTAGGAAGGAATAAATGACATTTTAAAATATTTAAAAATAGAAAACTGTTGTTTTATATTGTAATAATATATCACTATATATCACTATATTTTTGATCAAATAAATGCAGCCTTGGGGAGCTTAAAGCGGACATAACACACACAGTTTCTGCCAATCTCATGTTAATCTTGAGTACCTATAGAGTAGTACTGCATCCTTCATATCTCTTTAGAGTCTTTAGTTTTATCAGATTTATAAAAGACAGAGACAGCTTTACGATTATCTCTGAAAACAGTCAAGCTCCTGGAGGCGTGCCGTGGGCGGAGCTAAAGAGTCACAAGCATGTAAAGCTTTTGCGAAGCGATTGTCTGCAAGCTGTGAGATCGACATAAATAAAACAGGAACAAAAACTTTATTGACTTCAATTTTATTTAATTTATTTATAAAACATTCGTCACCGAAATGCCGGGAACAAACAAACACATTTGCTGCCCTGGTGAAACAAACTGCTGGGTTATTTGGGAAGCTGAACAAGGTTATCTTTCACTCATAACCAAAAACACACTTCTTTAATGACACTGTTGATTTCGTGGTTTAAAAACAAAATGACAAATCTTTCTCAAGCAAGTCCTGTGCAGCGCTGCCGATGACTTCAGTAACCCCAATGAAGCACGTTGATGGAAATGAAATCCATACAATTTCCAAACGTTATTGTCTTCATCAGTGTGTAAATGTTTTTGGATCTCTGTGTGTGTGTGTGTGTGCAGGCACTGGAAGATCGCGTGACTGTGATATCTCCTTCTGCTCTCTCCTTCACTGACTCTGAGACGCCCAGCGACAAGCTTGTCTACAACACCACCAAAGCCCTTACCTCAGGCCACGGTAACTAAACCTCCATTATTGTCATGGGGTGAGGAGTAGGACACTTACAGGCATAATGGAAGCCTGATAGTTTTGCTTTCTTCTCCTTTTTGTACCATTAAATAGAGAGTAGAGGATTTCAAAGGTGAATGGAAGGGAAGACATTTCACATCTTAGAGCATTATGAGAAACTTCAAATTATGCATAAGGAAGCAGAATAAACTCAATTAATTTCATTTCTAAGCTTCTAATACTAAACTGATTGTTATATTAATATTAATATGATGATGTCATTCTCCTCTTTCAGGTACGCTGGAGCACAGGGACAGACCTTACCATCATGTGCGTCTCTTCACACAGGCTGATGTAGACCTTAAGTGCTACAAAGTAATAAGAGTGAATGAATAAGTATTTTAAAGGCCCAGTCAGTATCATTAAAAAAAAGTTTTACACATTAAAAATCGATTAATTCTTTTGAAAAATGTTTAAAATCATGTTTGCAAGTGATTTAGACGGCAATCATATCAGAATCAGAAAGAGCTTTATTGCCAAGTATGTTTGCACATACAAGGAATTTGTTATAGTGTCACAAGCTCATATCACATGAGATCACATGACTAGTTGAATAATACTTTTTAAACACATGTTTTTTGGACAGTTTTACGCATTGAATTAACAATAGTAGCATGCAAGAGTATAATGACACGTTCATTAATTTGAAATGTGTGCAGTTTGTGTGGGAAGTTAATTAGCGAATATGCCTGCACACTGTTGATTTAATACTAATCTGATGCTAATTGGTGCTTCTGAGCTGTCAAACCCAACATCTGAGGTGTTGTTAGCGATGCATAAGTCTGTAAAACTCACCTCTCCAGCTTAACCGTTTAATTATGAAATAATCTCTCTACCTGCGCACTAATTATTGTGATTTGTTAGCAGTTGATTGTGAAAGTAACCACTAACACTGTTTCATTGCTGCAGGTCTACCAGAGTCAGTGAGCCTCCATTTCACAGGTATATAATCACTTTTGGCCTCTGTAACCCACCCTGCGACTCTGCCTTATTCTCCCTTACCTTACACGCTTCCAGCAAACCCAGAATTCATTTCTTCCTCTATATCACATGAGATCACATGACTAGTTGAATAATACTTTTTAAACACATGTTTTTTGGACAGTTTTACGCATTGAATAAATAGATAATGTTTTAGCACAAATAGTGACGTGTGACGTGTGGCGACCCATACTCGGAATTAGTGCTCTGCATTTACCCATCCAAAGTGCACACACACAGCAGTGAACACACACAAACCGTGAACACACACCCGGAGCAGTGGGCAGCCATTTATGCTGCGGCGCCCGGGGAGCAGTTGGGGTTCGGTGCCTTGCTCAAGGGCACCTCAGTCGTGGTATTGGAGAAGAACAGCAGCATCAGAATTCGATGCTAAAAGAGCTTTTTATTCCACATATACTCAGCTTATACAGCTCAGCTGAAGGAAAACAACAAACACAGTGTCATAAAACACTGAGAATCTCGGCTCAGCAGCTGATATCTTTTAGCATGCACAATTAAAATTCAAATAATGTTTTCATTTTATTCTTTTTTTTTTCATTGTTCTGACAGGATCAAGGTCTTTGTTTTGTCTCATTGACCTTCCCATAGCGCATTTCTTGAAAATCTTAGTTACATCCACACCACTAGGTGCCAGTAAAATGTCAGTTAGCACAACATAAACATAAAATTTGCCCTTTTTAATCTTATATTTCCATGTCATGTAGGTGGGCAACAGTTAGCAGTGACGGATGCTGATACGGCCCCTGACGAACTAGAGTTTGAATTGGTGGAGGGGCCGCTACATGGGACCCTCCTGAGAGTGGACCTTGGTTCCCAGGTACAGATGGTCAATGGTAGGTACAGCATTTTTAGTTCTCCCAAGTGTATTATACTTTCTGGCTTCAGTTCATTTTGTTTATTTATCAAAACTCTCCTTCACCTCAGGGGACACCTTCACCTCCAGTGACGTCACCAGGAATGTTCTGCAGTATGAGCATGCGGGTCTCACCACTGAGGAGGACTCCATGACTTTCTCTGTGACGGACGGGATCTCCATGACCTCCATCACGCTGCAGGTCTTGGTGTCAGAGGTCAAAGGTGACGCACCCAAACGTGACCCTAAGGCCCTGCTGTCAATGGAGGTGGCGGAGAAGAGCAGCACAATCATTAGACGTTCCCAGTTAGCTTATGTGGTAAGGAATGACATGTTCTGACAATAACTGAAAATAAAAGTTAAATTTGGTAAACTCCAATTTGCTTAAAAGGTATTGTCAATGTCTTGTAGGATGACGAATCTCCCGATGAGAGAGTTTTTATGCAGTTAGTTTCTGTACCAATGTATGGGATCCTTACCAAAACCAAGGCTGAAACAAACCATGAAGAACTTAGTGAATATTCCTCCTTTACAATGGAGGACATCAACAACCACAAAATCAGGTAAACACCCTGCATCCAGTGTTATTTTAGTATGATTGAGATACTATTGTACTATTGTTTTATTTATATTTTGAATTAAATTAATTATTTTTACATTTTCTGTTTTCATTTTTAAGGTTTTAGTAGTTTTGATTCAAATCGATTAAATTGATTTTAGTTTCATAATAATCCTGCCTGCATCAGATGTATTTCATAATCTTAGCAGCTCTGTTACTCTCATATATTTTACGATAGTGACAGTGACATGTGACATGTGGCCAAGTATGGTGACCCATACTCGGAATTAGTGCTCTGCATTTACCCATCCAAAGTGCACACACACAGCAGTCACACCCGGAGCAGTTGGGGGTTCGGTGCCTTGCTCAAGGACACCTCAGTCGTGGTATTGAAGGTGGTGAATGAAGCACTCCCCCCACCTACAACCTTTGAGTTATGAGTCCGACTCTCTAACCATTAGGCCACGACTTCCCCAGTTAGATAGTTGAATTTAAATAGTATTGCTTTCATTTTTACCACAATTTTGCTGCATATCGGTGTGTCAGTGTGTTTTTAGATCATTACCAGTATTAATGTGTCATTCCTAGTTCAGCTTATGTTAATATTAGACTCCATAAATGAGGCATGTAAAATGTTTGGCGAGTTGAGAGCCTCAACATGCATTACAACACAAGCTTCTTTAATTGCTTTGAATTGTTGAGCCCTGCTGAGAAATGATGAAATGTAAAACAGTTCTCTCTGGCGATTACGTCTTTGCCCATTTTTGAGTGTTATCCTCTGGTGGTTTGCTTTTTTTAAGCAGATGGAATGTCTACCTTATGTTTACAGCAATTTTTCTAAATGTTTCCCAGCTCTCTTTCTTTCAGCATTTGAAAACGGTTGAAAATAGTGTGAAATATCTTTTTGTTGTTTTTTTAAAAGGTATGTTACATCCTTTGAAACGGGTAACCAGCCTGTCACTGACATTTTCCACTTCGTTGTTTATGATGGTGAGAACAATCGTTTGGAGAACCAGATGTTCACTATCACCATCACGTCTATCCAGAGGCAGCCACCTGTTGTCACCGTGCGCAGTGGCATTAAGGTGAGAACGGTTCCCACTTCACCTTCACCAATCAGCTAGTCTTAGATCTGGTTCTTTTAGCGTTCCGAAAATCTTTATGGTGTTTCTTGTGTAAAGGTTCAAGAAGGAGGGAGGGTCCAGCTCTCAGCCAATCACATTATTGCATCTGACCCAGACACACCCAGAAAGGATCTGCTGGTGTGGCTTATCAGCCCACCAAAGTATGGCTTCATTGAGAACACAAAACAAGGTGAATCACCTAGCTGTCTCCGTCTGTAATATATCACCTTGCACCATTGTATGTTAGCTTCCTTTTCCCAGTCACTTTGTGGATGTTTTTTTTTTTTACAACAGTTGCTGATGGTGTAATTTTATTCATGAACAGAGCACTCGTTTGCTGTGATAGAGATTTGTAGATGTGTGAAATTCAGATTGATGCAGCCATCTTCAGGGATTAAAGTACCGTCCCTACGACGGATTTCTGTCAGTTCATAAAGACAGTCACTTGCTTCATTCCTGAATGATTCAGCCGTTCGAACAAATCAATTGAATGAATGATTTTCAGTGAAAAAAATCAGTGACTTGCCGCCACCTGCTGGTGGATTTAGTTTCATTTTTAGCATATATTTAAATTATATTTCTGTATTCAGAATTTTATATTTAAAACATTATTCTCCACATTAATTTATTAATTTAATTGCACTCATGCTACCTCTGAGCCTCATTAAACGTCTGAAAATGTACCTACAAGCCACTTTTGTGGTCTTCTGTGCCACCTCTGTAGTACAAATTAATTTATTAATACTAATTTCATGTGATTGGTAACTTATTTGTCTTGTTCTACTTCTTATTATATTACAGGGGTTAAAGCAAAAAAAATATTTTGACTGAAAAATTTTCTTCGACCAAACCCCGTTCCTCAGCCATACCTATCACACACCCAGTTTAAGAGCATTTTTTTTTTCTTGTAATTAGGAGCGCTTGTCCTCCTAATTAAAAAATTTAGGAGCACCTTCTTATCAATAATCAAACATTCTGATCAAAAATTAGCCTTCCTTATACGAGGTGACATTTGACTCCTTAAAGTGACTTACAGGAGTATTTTTTTTTACCTTTATAATGGCATCCTTTTCATCTGTCAAATTAAAAAAATTATGTTTATAATCTTTTTAAAATTTCTATTTAAAACAATATGTAGAATAAGACAAATAAGTTACAATCATATGAAATTATTATTAATAAATTAATTTGTACTACAGAGGTGGCACAGAAGAACACAAAAGTGGCTTGTAGGTACATTTTCAGACGTTTAATGAGGCTCAGAGGTAGCATGAGTGCAATTAAATTCATGAATTAATGTGGAGATTAATGTTTTAAATATAAAATTTTGAATACAAAAATATGATTAAAATAACTGAAATTATACGCTAAAAATGAAACTGAAACCTCCAGCAGGTGGTGGCAAGTCACTGATTTTATCACTGAATCATTCATTCAATTGATTCGTTCGAACGGCTGAATCATTCAGGAATGAAGCAAGTGACTGTCTTTATGAGCTGACGGAAATCCGTCGTAGCGACGGAACTTTAATCCCTGCATCTATATTCAGGCTTCCTGTTTGAGTGGGGAAAATAAAAGCAGATCACGGTGGAACATAAACACCCAACGACAGTTGCACAAAATGTAGTTTTTCACCCAAAACACAGATGCAAACTCTGATGTCTGCTTTGATGTATGTACTTTAAGAACACACTTGTTTTATCTTCATGATTTTGGGTTGTGCATTTATTCATAAATATTAGCAATTTCTTGTCTTGCAGCTAACACTCACTCTCTCTTATGTTTTGTCTAGAAAGTTGCTTATTTGTTGTTTTTGTTAAGATCAATTACTTTTTGCTCAGTAAAAAATTGCTCAGAAATGTTGTTCCCAGTAAAATGCAGTCTCCAGAATTACGAGACTACACTCAAGCTCAAAGTGTTGTGTGTTCAACAGCAGCGATTGGTGGATCTCGCGTGATCAGCCCCGACGTTCCCTTCACTATAGAAGACCTCACCTCAGACCATATCTTCTACAATCAAAACATCCGCCAAGCTAACATCCGCCAGGATGTCTTCAGCTTTTACATCAGTGATGGATCAAGCCAAACTGAGGCTTTTGATGTCACCATAGACATCCAGGTATAATTGAAACAATAAAGGCCAAAGTACACTTCAATTTTTACATATATACGTAGTGTAGGTGTCACCTTCAGTAGTTTTTGCCAGGGCTAGTTTTGTCACCTTGTGGGCAAACAAAATTAGTGCCAAAAATTCAAGGCGCACATGTGAGTCTACAAAGTTTGCAAAATTAAAAAAAATTGGACTGCACACACCATGCGCATACAATGCCATTGACGATATTAACATCACATGCACTGTACACATACCCTAGTGTATGCGTAAAAACCTAAGTATTCTTTGGGTAGGGTTAGGGTTATATTTTTAATAAGGTGTTCCTTTAATGAATGTTTTCCAGAATACATTTTCAAAATCCATTTTGCTGTTACTTTAGATGACATACAGGTAATTAGATTTTTCTTCATTTATCAGTCGCTTAAAAGGGGTTGATGGTTGGAGCCGCTGACTCAGTGGGAAGCAGATTCAAAGCTAGTCTGCATCATATCCCCTTTCCCCTCTTTTTCCTGTCTCTCTTTCCTGACTTGTCAAGTTTATATTTGAGATGTTATTTGATGTTGTTTATAGCACACCAAGGAAGACAGAGTCCCAATTATCTCAGTAAACAGCATCCAAGTGGAGGAGAACTCCGGTGTGGTCATCACTAACTCCTCCCTGAATGTGCTGGACCAGGACACACCTGAAAATGAGCTTCTCTTCGCCCTCATCAAGAAACCGTCATATGGTCAGTGCCTGTCTTCCTCTTTCTATTACTCTTCATATGCCCACTTCATACCCCAATCTGTCGCTCATTCATGGCCAGCCTTCAGAAAACATCCATTATTTGCCACATAACCGCTCTGACCAGCTCCTGTGTGGCTGATTGATGTTCTTGTCATTGTGCCTCTACCACTGATTAGAGAGTCGGTGGAAAGGCCACGACCCACGGGGCTTCATTGGTTAAACTTTTATGGACGCATGTCAAGGTGTTCACAGCAGTTTTATTAGGAGTCGCAAGTGAGGAATGGAGCTGACAGAACTGAAATACAGTCATGGCATCAGAGTGCTATGACAGCAGTGCAGTTACACAAAAAATGACATTGAGCGACCATTAGAGGTCAAGTGCACATTTATTTGAAAATGGGAAGCAGAGCCATGTGTGTTTATTTTATATGTGGTTATACTATGTTTGATGGTGAAAAAAAATGAGAAGGAATGTAGCATTAATGTTCATTTCTTTGCAATGCTTCTGTGTGTGTCTCAATAGGGAAGCTACGCAGAAGGCAGTTCTACTCTCAACCTTTAGAGAATGGCAGGATTCTTCAGCAAGGATCCACCTTTACTTACCAGGATGTTCTAGATGAGCTGCTGGTCTACACCCCAGAAGGACGTGGCTCTGGGACAGACGAGATCCAGTTTTCAGTAACAGATGGCATATACACGGAGACCGGTCGTCTGGAGTTCAGCATGGATATTAGGAAGCGAGAAGGCCCTAGAGTTACAATCAACAGAGGACTGCAAATTGCATCAGGTCAAGATACAGCTACATTACATTGTCATTGCACACATCACAAACATCCCCGATTGGTTAGGTTGCTGATTTTTAGTAGTCGTCATTATATCAGACACAGTTCAGCACAGAATAATTTTTTAGTCTCTTAGCTTCTTCTGAAATGAGTGAAAAAACAGACTTTCTTTCTTTCTAGCATACAGTAAAATAAAAATCAAACAAGAAAAATTATTGCACCCCTTTATTGCCCCAACCCCTCACCATGAGCTGATCATCAATCAGTGTTATATGTGACCTTGGACCACAAAACCAGTCTAAAGTCGCTGGGGTATATTTGTAGCAATAGCCAAAAATACATTGTATGGGTCGAAATTATCGATTTTTATTTTATGCCAAAAATCATTAGGATATTAAGTAAAGATCAAGGTCCAATGAAGATATTTTGTACGTTTCCTACCGTAAATATATAAAAACTTCAGATTTGATTAGTAATATGCATTGCTAAGAACTTCATTTGGACAACTTTAAAGGCAATTTTCTCAATATTTTGATTTTTTTGCACTCTCAGATTCCAGATTTTCAAATAGTTGTATCTCAGACAAATATTGTCCTATCCTAACAAACCATACATCAATGGAAAGCTTATTTATTCTGACTGGTACCCTTATGACTGGTTTTGTGGTCCAGGGTCACATATACAAATGTCTGTACTTAATATTAAATAATGGAGAAAAAAAGCATCTAAATAATTTACGTTTATTCATTGCTTACCCTTGACCAAAGGATTTGAAAAATAAGGAAAAACACAAGCAGTTTAACATGAAGGAGCCAGTGATATTAGCACTGAAGTTTTGTTTAAAGTAATTTTTTATTTATTATTTTGGCTGTTTATTGAATGACAAAACAGTTGTGTGAAGAATTAAAAACACAATGAAAATTCCATTCGTTCTTTCAGTTTTCATTGCTTTGTTAAATAATAAAAAGTTACATTCTGTGATTTCCCTTTTGATTTTATTACAAAACCATTTTAATTATGGACAATGGCTTTTAAAATATCCAAAAATGTATTAACAAATAACAAAGCTTGATACCACTTTCCTGGAGTCATTTTAGAGGAATAGTTCACCCACAAATTTAAATTCATCATTCACTCAGCTTCATATAATTTCAAACCCGTATTTTTTCATCTGTCAAACACGAAAAGAGATGGATGAGAAGCACATACAATTCACATAAAAGAAGCACATAAAAGTCTTTTGAAACCATTCAACAGCTTTGTGTGCAGACCAGACCGAAATTATGGCATTATGCACTGATAATCTCTCTCTGCCAGATGTCTTCGTGAACTAGAGAAGCGCGGCACACTCTGAGAACTACTGCAGTCCAGTCCAAACAGATCTCACTTCATTATGATGCACCAGTTGAAACACTGAATAATTTAGGTTCCTATCTAGTTAGACTTGAGTTGATGTTAATAAATAACTGTATCATTTCTGTTACCGTTGCTCATTCCTCCCGACAGGTTCCTCATCTAAGATCACAGAGCAGCATCTGAAAGGGATGGACGTAGATTCAGATAACCTTAAGCTGCGGTTCACCCTCACTAAAGACCTGAGCGTGGGCTCCCTGCTGCTGAATACAGGCAGAAACAAGGCTCAGATATCCGTCAAAGGACCTGTCACCAGCTTCACCCAGGATGATATCAACAAAGGTTTTTCCTCCGTTGCTGTCTCTTTCTCGTACATAATCATCCATAGGGAATTTCTAAGCAGAGATGCATTGTCTCATGTGGTTTTGCACCTCATCTGTCAGGACATGTGGAATACATTCATGAAAAGGGAGAAAGTGGAGGCAGCTTCTCTTTCAAGTTCAACCTGGAAGATCCCGAGGGAAACCGAGTCATTGACCAATCTTTCTTCATTAGTGTTCTGGGTGAGCCGAGAAGTTGAAAGAGTCATGTTCAGGAATGTTAGAAGAAAGTTATTTTGGGACATCCTCATCTTTTTTTCTCTCTCAGAGGACAGACATCCTCCCACAGTGGTGGTTAATAAGGGTTTGGTTATGGATGAGAACACCTTGAAGAAGATCACAACACTGCAGCTGTCCTCTACAGATCAGGACAGTGAACCAGATGAACTCATTTACAGAGTCACCAAACAGCCCCAGCTCGGCCATCTAGAACATTCCAGCAAACCAGGTACAGACAAACTTGTTGGGAGTGATGAACCAACAGTAGAACTAAATTATTCAGTAACAAAACAGTAACTCAGCTTTCAAATTATGCGGCTGGCCAGTAGCAAGCTGCTTTTTCCATCTAGCAGCACCGTATAGTTACAAAAATTGTAAATCACTCTTAAATGTCAAATTGTAGAACCATTACCACTGAACAGGTTGAAAAGATGCAGCATAGCAATTCATTCTAGTGAATCCATTCATTCTGACAGTTCACATATGTGACCCTGGACCACAAAACCAGTCATAAGTAGCACGGGTATATTTGTAGTGATAGCCAAAGATACATTGTATGGGTCAAAATTATAGATTTTTCTTTTATGCCAAAGATCATTAGGATATTAAGTAAAGATCACGTTCCATGAAGATATTTTGTAAATTTCGTACCGTACATATATCAAAACTTAATTTTTGTTTAGTAATATGCATAGCTAAGAATGTCATTTGGACAACTTTAAAGGCGATTTTCTCAATATTTAGATTTTTTTGCACCCTCAGATTCCAGATTTTCAAAAAGTTGTATCTCGGCCAAATATGATCCTATCCTAACAAACCATACATCAATGGGAAGCTTAATTATTCAGCTTTCAGATGATCTATAAATCTCAATTTTAAAAAAATGACCCTTATGACTGGTTTTGTGGTCCAGGGTCACATATATCTAATAACAGTGCCGATTTTGAGTCGCTGTGCAGAATGTTTATTCATTTAGTTGATTAAACTTGTGTTTGCCAAATGTTTTCAATTAGGGTCAGTTAAATAAGTCATTCTAATAAATTCTTTTTTTAGTGTAATATAATATTATTAGAATATTATATTGTTAGTTTAATGCTATCAACCTAATTGATTAATAATTAATTGAGATTAATTAACTGAAAAAAAGTGTTTTTGCAAGCCAGTATGACCGATTTGCTCAAAAGTGAGATTCGTTGGCGAATTTGGTATCACTAGTTCTGATTCTTAAACAGCTGACATGATTGCTAAAATATTATCAAGGAAAATGGTTCTCGGGTCAGTATAAAATAATCTCCACTGCCAGACAAGGAGTTTTTTTACTAATGATGCTTTACTGGGGCACAGTGGTATTTCACTGGGGCTCGTATCCTAGTAAAAAGGGCTTAGCAACTGCCCTGGTTCTAAATATAAAAAGATGTGTTCCCCTTACATAGCTTCAATGCAGTTAGGTACTTTTTATTTGAAGCTTGTAGTGTCGAAAGAGTAGTTTAACTAAATTATGGATAGCTTGTATCTTGGCAAGCTACAGTTTGAAAGTAGCTTCCCCAACACTACGTCTTATTTAGCCTATAGCCTATACATATCTCTACTTATACACAAATACACATACTACACCATCATTGTTATTTGTTTCTCTATCGAAGGCTGATTATGAAAAGCCTGAGATATCAAAATATATATTTATAGTCTGCAGTCCTGATTCTGTATGGGCTGTTCAGCAGAGCAGCACATTTCTAAAAGCTGGCCACAACTGCCAGACAATGCCTGGAAGATATATAGTATGTTTTATATTTAATTTATGTTCAAATGAAGACTGATAACTCATTAGATGGGATCTAGCCTATAGATCTCTATCAGAGCATCATATAAGGGGGTTTCATGGGTGAAGATCTGTTTTTATTTTCCTTTCTGTCCCTCTTGGCGATGCAATTGCACTCAATTGGATTTCTGCAGTAGTGCATGTTTTATTCATTCATTTCAGTTGACATGTGGGATATTTTTAATGGTAGCAAGTGAGTTTACATTATTATTTAATACCAAGGGCAAAATATGAAGTGGTGAACATGGTCACTGGAGAGTTTTTCTCGGTTTGATGTCGTTGCAGGAACACGGATCAGCACAGCAAATGGCTGCAATATAACAAAGAGTGAAAAATTTAAGTGGGTCTGAATACTTTCCGTACCCACTGTATATAAATATATAAAACTGGAGATGAGCAGAAGACTTGTAGACTCTGAAAAGTGTAAAATTTCACTAATCAAATAATACAATTAGTGCCATTAATCATGTGACTCTTTGAATGGGCACTCAGATGTTCTTCTGCCATTGAAGCACAAGATGCTCTTCTCAAATTGTGCTGGAGAACATGGTCATCTGTTTTACACAAACTTGTATAGTATCTGCAGCTCATGTACTGCTCAGTGTTACAAATAGTTTTTGTTAATTATTGAACTAAATAATAAAATAAAAAATAATATACAGTAAATATTGAAAGAAAAACCTAAAAAACTTAAAAACGAAAATATGAAATGTTGTCTTGTTACTAAAGATTACTTAAAGTTACTGAAATTATAAAATAAAAGCTAATCCAAAATATTAATAAATACTATAGTAGTATATAAATAATATTAAAATAATAGTGGCTGTAAAAGAGGCACAAAATAAATACTAAAATATTTCAATAATTCATGTGATTTTTCAGCTGAACTTTTCATTCAAGTTGTTCTGCTAATGATAGAATTTGTTATAAAAAATGATTAAACACACTCATCATTCACGGTAACTAACATGGATATAAACACGTATATACCCACCCTTCACTTTCTATTTCTCATTCTACTCATGCTGAACACACACACTTCCTCCCACAGTCATCTCAATCCTCCCTCTTGTCTTTTCATACTCTCTTCCTTTCACTCCTTTTCTTTCCATTATAAACACATACACGCCCACACACACACTAATTAGGGCCGAAAGAGCTTGAATAAACACAGGCTGCCTAGTGAGTGTCTGAAAGAGATGAACACACAGTTATCCTACAATGGGCTTTTCTCTCTGCGGGAAACACTCTTCTGCCATTTTGAGTGGAAAATGCTGCGTAAATACACTGTTCTCCTTTTCTTTCCATTATAAACACATACACGTCCACACACACACTAATTAGGGCCGAAAGAGCTTGAATAAACACAGGCTGCCTAGTGAGTGTCTGAAAGAGATGAACACACAGTTATCCTACAATGGGCTTTTCTCTCTGCGGGAAACACTCTTCTGCCATTTTGAGTGGAAAATGCTGCGTAAATACACTGTGTTTTTGTATTGTGCTGTCAAATTAAAGGTGCATTTTTTATTAATGCTGCACTAGTCTATATACAGGTGCATCTCAATAAATTAGAATGTCGTGGAAAAGTTCATTTATTTCAGTAATTCAACTCAAATTGTGAAACTCGTGTATTAAATAAATTCAATGCACACAGACTGAAGTAGTTTAAGTCTTTGGTTCTTTTAATTGTGATGATTTTGGCTCACATTTAACAAAAACCCACCAATTCACTATCTCAACAAATGAGAATATGGTGACATGCCAATCAGCTAATCAACTCAAAACACCTACAAAGGTTTCCTGAGCCTTCAAAATGGCCTCTCAGTTTGGTTCACTAGGCTACACAATAATGGGGAAGACTGCTGATCTGACAGTTGTCCACAAGACAATCATTGACACCCTTCACAAGGAGGGTAAGCCACAAACATTAATTGCCAAAGAAGCTGGCTGTTCACAGAGTGCTGTATCCAAGCATGTTAACAAAAAGTTGAGTGGAAGGAAAAAGTGTGGAAGAAAAAGATGCACAACCAACCGAGAGAACCGCAGCCTTATGAGGATTGTCAAGCAAAATCGATTCAAGAATTTGAGTGAACTTCACAAGGAATGGACTGAGGCTGGGGTCAAGGCATCAAGAGCCACCACACACAGACGTGTCAAGGAATTTGGCTACAGTTGTCGTATTCCTCTTGTTAAGCCACTCCTGAACCACAGACAACGTCAGAGGCGTCTTACCTGGGCTAAGGAGAAGAAGAACTGGACTGTTGCCCAGTGGTCCAAAGTCCTCTTTTCAGATGAGAGCAAGTTTTGTATTTCATTTGGAAACCAAGGTCCTAGAGTCTGGAGGAAGGGTGGAGAAGCTCATAGCCCAAGTTGCTTGAAGTCCAATGTTAAGTTTCCACAGTCTGTGATGATTTGGGGTGCAATGTCATCTGCTGGTGTTGGTCCATTGTGTTTTTTGAAAACCAAAGTCACTGCACCCGTTTACCAAGAAATTTTGGAGCACTTCATGCTTCCTTCTGCTGACCAGCTTTTAATTTTCTATGTTCTCTTTCCACAATTTTATTAAGGATGAGTTTTTGCATTATTTGTCTAATTCACTTTAGCTGTCAGTGGTTTAAAGCCACTTTTCTTTATGGTCTCTCTGTTACTCTGATAGGATAATTACATAAACCTAATAAGTGGGAAATTAGATTGTGTGCGGCAGAACAATTGAGCCCATATCTAGATTCAGTTACTGAGCACTGCGCATTTAATTATTTCATTACTGTAATGCTGTTGTCCTTCAGATTTCACAGACATTCTATATCAGCATCCGGCCGGTGGACGATTCTCTGCCCATCCTGCAGGTGCCAGGGATGAGGGTGCAGGAAGGAGTGAGGAAGACCATCACTGAGTTTGAGCTGAAGGCTACCGATGCTGACACAGAGGTATTACTTATCGCAGAGTTTTACCCCGACTGTGCTTTCAATTTTGCTGTGGTTGTGCTTTATTTATTTTTTTTTTAAAAAAAGAAAAAGATGAAGCATAAGGATTTTCATCAAAGCTTGTTATGTAGGATTTAAATGCCATACATTAGATTTAAATATGGACTGTATGTTTAATGTTACTATAATGGATTTCTATGCAAATTTAATATAGTGCAGACCAGAGATTGCGCCGCTGAGTGGAAGTGGAATGTTTTCTTGATCCATCTCTAACATGTTAACAATAATGCAAATATTACATGTCAGCAAGAATTAAATTTTCATAATGATGGAATTTGTGAAATATTATTGTACAAATGACCATCACAAAAAGATTCAAGGATTTTGAAAAGAAACGTTGAGAAAACAAGTTCCTGTCACATATGGAAATAGGTGGGTAATACATACACTACCGTTCAAATGTTTGGGGTTGGTAATATTTTGAAAGAAATCTCTTACAGTACTCTCTCCAAAGCTACAATTATTTGATCGTAAATACAGTAAAAAAAATAGTTGTCAGCGTGTGTGCGGGGAGATGAAGCGAGGGTACACTGACAGAGAGCGGAACTTAAGTGGAGCCGACAGGGCGTGAAGCTTGAGCTTGGGCGGAGCCGACAGGGCGTGAAGCTTGAGCTTGGGCAGGGTGAGGAACTTGGGCGGCGCCGGCAGGGCGAGGAACCTGGGCGGCGCCGGTAGGGCGAGGAACCTGGGGCGCTGCAACCTCTTCGGTCACACCGGGAGCGCTGCAGCTTCATCGGCCGCCTCTGGGGGCGCTGCCACCAATGGGGGCGCGGCAGCTTCGTCGGCCACCTTCGGGGGCACTGCAGCCTGATCGGCCATCACGGGAGGCGCTGCAGCCCCCTTAGCTGAAGAACGTGCCACGAACTCCACAAACCTCTCGAAGGATACATGCTTGCACCCTAGCATGCTCCAGGGGCTAATGGGCTCATCAAGGGCATCATTTAATAAGTCCTTTAGCGCAGAGTCATTGTAGCCCAGCCCCTCTGCAGCCTTCTTAAACTCCACGGCAAACTCCCTCAGCTCGGTCCCTCGTTGCTGGAGGGAGCTCAGGGTCTCCAGCTGGAGCATGCGCTGGTAGAGGGGGCTGGAGAGAGTAGAGACCGGTAGGCGGTGTGAGCCCATTCTCCGCTGAGTCCCCATGTTGGCTGATCCGTTCTGTCAGCGTGCGTGCGGGGAGATGAAGCGAGGACTCAATTGCAGGAGAAATGGTTGTTTATTTGGAATAATAAAAATGAAACAAAAACAAACTCAAACCACCCCAAAGGGGAAAAACAGACAAGCAGGCTCAAAGCTGCACCACATGCAGACACGAAACACACACAATGAGAAATGACGGATCAGCACAGGATGATAGACACAAGGAGAATAAATAGGAACCAAACGAGGGAGACACAGGTGGAGCAACTTAAACAATAACGAGGTAACAAGATGGGAGGGGCCAGACAATAGACAGGAGAGAGCACATGGCAACAGACAAACACAACACAAGCCATGTGCTCCCAGAACACAGTCATCTGGTGGCCCTCCTGGGCACACCCGCTGAAGACTGTGACAATAGTAATCTTATAAAATATTCTTACAATTTAAAGGGGTCTTATAATGCTCTTTTACAAAGTCTTGATTTTGTTTTGGGGATGTACTAGAACAGGCTCTCATACTAGGTTGTTCGAAAAACACATTATTTTTCACATATTTTACATTATTACAACACCTCTCTCCCCAGTCTGGCATGAACGGCTCGAATAGTTCCTGTATCAAATGAAGGCCCACCTTCTAAAATACGAAATGTGCTGTGATTGGTTAGCTGGGCCAGTGTGTTTTGTGATTGGCACCACTCGGCGCCTGGTCAGGAAATGTCATGCCCCTTACCATAGCCGCCTGCGAGCTTCAGTGTAAAGACTGTGCTTTCAATTTTGCTGTGGTTGTGCTTTATTTATTTTTTGAAAAAAAAAAGAAAAAGATGAAGCATAAGGATTTTCATCAAAGCTTGTTATGTAGGATTTAAATGCCATACATTAGATTTAAATATGGACTGTGTTTAATGTTACTATAATGGATTTCTATGCAAATTTAATATAGTGCAGACCAGAGATTGCGCCGCTGAGTGGAAGTGGAATGTTTTCTTGATCCATCTCTAACACATGTTAACAATAATGCAAATATTACATGTCAGCAAGAATTAAATTTTCATAATGATGGAATTTGTGAAATATTATTGTACAAATGACCATCACAAAAAGATTCAAGGATTTTGAAAAGAAACGTTGAGAAAACAAGTTCCTGTCACATATGGAAATAGGTGGGTAAAAATGTGTTGTAGTCCAAACGAGTCATTCGTTGTAGTTTTTGAAAAGTGATTTCTGTTCAATAAAATATCTCCTTTTGGAGTGGACTTTGAGCTTTGTAACTTTGCAGACCTTTTTTATGCTCAAACAGCAACATTACAGACTAACTAAAGTTGAAAAAGTGAAAAAGCATAATAGGACCCCTTTAAAATAACTTTTCTATTTTAATATATTTTAACAATTTTATTTATTCCTGTAATGGCAAAGCGGTGTCACAAGATCCTTCAGAAATCATTCTGTGCCGATTTGGTGCTCAAGAAACCTTTCTTATTATTATGAATGTTGAGACAGTTGTGCTTCTTAATATTTTTTGTGAACACTGTGATACATTTTTTAGGATTCTTTGATGAATAGAAAGTTCAAAAGAACAGCATTTATTTTATGCAACAGTATAAATGCCTTTACTGTAATTTGATGAATTAAATGTATCCTTGCTGACCCCAAACACTAGTGTAACTCTCTCATCTCAGATGTTTAGTCTATGTAGACAAAATTATGAACAGTCATACTAGTGCAGAGAACGAGTGAGGAGATGGAAATGGAAAACCCAGAGTGAGTACAGAACACTTTGAGCGAGAGGGAAATTACTGTCGCCCTGCTCGACTCAAATATTCCGGTGCACACAGCTGACATCCGTTGCATTTAACATCAGTGCTCATGTACTTCTTAGTGGCAATTTCATTTAATTTCACACCTGTTTGATGATCTCTCTCCCTTAAATTCTCTGTCAGGAGGACTCTGTTACGTTCACTATCGTTCAGGCTCCTCGTCACGGGACCATTGAGCGCACAAGTAATGGTCAGCATTACCGTCAGACCAACACCTTCACTATGGACGACATCTATCAGAACCGCATCAGTTACAACCATGATGGCAGTAACTCCCTCAAAGACCGATTCACCTTCACTGTCGGTGATGGCACCAACATGTTCTTCATCATCGAAGAGGGTGGAAAAGAGGTCAGTAGACTTCCTGTTATTTGAGCTTGTCCATGTGGCCAGTTGTCATCAGTGTTATATTAATAGCTGTATGTAGAGGGCCATATATCTGAAAATATCCTCCAAATATAGTAAATACTCATAGAGATGATTTTTTGATCAGGGTTATACACCTACTGTACTCTTTAAAAGAAACACCCTGGGAATTTTTAATGACCACAGAGAGTCATGACCTCAGTTCAGCATGTCATCTGAAGGACAGTGCATTTTTAAAGCACAGTGGCCCCATCATTATATTGTGGCATTATGACCCACACAGACCACAGGGTGAGCGCCTCCTGCTGACCTCACTAACAAAGTTTTCAACAACAACCTCTGCTTTCCATCTTCATTGGGAAACTAAGTGAGAGCTGCTGGGTGATCTCCTTGTGGAAATAGTTTGTACATGTATTAAAAAAAACATATTTCACAACCAAAAACTAGTACAAGTTAGTTTGTAGTAGTTGTAATATATTAACATGATGTTTCTTGAGCACCAGAAGGATCTTGAGACTGAAGACTGGAGTAATGGCTGGAATAAATTTATTTTTTTCACAATATCACAATATTACATTTTTTACAGTAATTTAAATCAAATTAATGCAGTGTTGGTGAGCATAATAAACTTTTACATTACATTAATAAATCATACAATCAAACTTTTGAACAGTAGTGTATGCACACAAACTTACATTTTTGCATTTGAAAATGGCTCATTATATTTATAAAGGCATGAATATAAATTACCATATGAATCACTTGAATATATCCTGTCCATTTGTTTAAGACAGAGTCAAGCTCTCTCCCTCAATCATAATAAATCTATCCATCAGCAGTCGCTTTTTCCTCTTCCAGCTGCGTCAGTTGGCAATCAGTTGTTCTGGGAGGTAAATTATCTCTCGGTGGTCACTGAAAAAGGGGTACCTCGTCTTGTCATAAGATGACAAAATAGCAGCCCTATGACAGTGTTTAATCAGGAAGGCCTAGAACACCATTACTCAGCACTTTAGAAAGCTCGACTTCACATTAGAATTTAAATAGGTTTGATCTGAGATTGAATGGATATTAAAGTGAGCGTTGTTGGTAAATGAGAAGCAATTACTCTTCTGGAAATACATGAAACAGGGTTTGTATCAGCCAGGAGGGTTTACATTGTGTGTAAATACCCTTTGTTTCAGGTTGTCACCGCTGCTCCACAAAAGTTTAAAATCGATATTTTACCTGTTGATGACGGGACCCCTCGTATTGTCACCAACCTGGGCCTGCAGTGGCTGGAGTACATGGAAAATAAGGTCACTTTAGTAACACTATTTTGTATTTATAATCGCATAAGAGCCTAATTAATTCACCCGATGAGGTGTTGACATCTCAACTAACAGTACATTTCTGCCTCCTACTGGCTTTATCTTGCATTGGTGCAAAAGTGATATAATTTATTCTCTTTAAAAAAAGCATAAAATTACATTTTGATGTGAAATTGGATTCTAGGCCACCAATCTGATCACCAAGAAAGAGCTTCTCACTATTGATCCGGACACAGATGATGGACAGCTGACTTATGAAGTCACTACAGAAGCTAAACACGGCTACCTGGAGAGTAAACTCAATCCTGGCAAACCTATCACCTCTTTTACGCAAGGTATTATTGACACCTCCCAAAGCCAAGAGCACACTACAAGGCTGAAGCTGTTCTGTGACAAAACCCCCCAAAGCATAGCCAACAGAAAGACACAGCCACGATTTGGTCACACTTTATATTAAGTGGCCTTAACTACTATTTACTTCCATCAAAAAATAAGTACAATGTATTTATTGTGTTCATATTGTATTGCAAAACACATTTGCTGCTATTGAGGTGGGATATGGGTAAGGTTAGGGACAGGTTTGGTGGTATGGGTAGGATTAAGGTTGGGTAAGGTGTAAGGGATGGGTCAACAGTGTAATTACAGATGTAATTACATGCAGGTATTTTTAAAATACAAGTACAATGTAAAAACTTGTATGTGCACAATAAGTGTATTGTACCAAATGATTAATTTAAATGTAAGTACATAGTAGTTAAGGCCACTTAATATAAAGTGGGACCCAAAAAAAAAATCTGCACATGTCATCCACTGTCTTTTGTGCTTGTTTTTCCTGTCCTGTCCAAAATCAACCACAAGCCTTCCTCCATATTGTTCACTGACCTGTTTTCAAGAATCAGCTCTGGCACTGAATTAGTATTAATTTTGGGTTAATAACCACAGTAGGTGAGGAGAATGGTCTTGTAATTGACGCATATAGTCTGTGATTCGTTTCGTACAAAAACTAAAAACTGGGGCTCTAGATGTGTGCAGGACAACAAGCTTCAATCTTGTAGTGTACGCTTGGTGTTACAAACTAAATGCGCCTTCATCAAATTTGGCTAGTAAATTTGGAGTTGTAAAAGGTAACTTAATTTATTCTGTTTTGCAGCTGACATAAACCTGGGCCTTATCCGATACGTTCTGAGTGAGGACAATGTTCAAGAGACCATGGACAACTTCAGGTTCTTTGTGAAGGACAGCAAACCCAACATTGTCAGTGACAATGTGTTTCACATCCAGTGGTCTCTTATCAGCTTTGAGCACAAGAGGTGCGGCTGCCTCAGTTTTTGTTCTAGATGACTTCATCTAACCAACTACTCGTTCTCAGTAATGTGTTGTCTTCTGTCTGCAGCTACAATGTGAGTGAAAAAGACGGAACCGTTGCGGTCACAGTGAAGAGGACCGGGAATCTGAACCAGTATGCTATTGTGCTGTGTCGAACCGAGCAAGGCACTGCCACCTCCACCTCCAGCATGGGCTCTCGGGCCGGACAACAGGACTATGTTGAGTATGCTGGACAAGTATGTTCTAGTGTATTCTTTATTATTTCAAAGCGTTATTCTATAATAATCAAATTCCCTGATACTTGATAGACTGATGAAGTCATCAGTTCAAATGCTCTGTAATGTGGTTCCCCAGGTTCAGTTTGATGAGAGAGAAGACACCAAGGTATGCACCATTGTGATCAATGATGACCAGGTCTTTGAGAACACTGAGAGCTTTAATGTGGAGCTGAGTATGCCAGTGTACGCCCTGCTGGGGTCAGTGACCCGCGCTAAAGTCAATATCAATGACACAGAGGATGAACCCACCCTGAAGTTTGATAAGAAGACCTACCATGTCAATGAGAGCACAGGCTTTATCTTTGCTCCTGTTGAAAGAAATGGTCAGTGGAACCAATTTATTTATTTTTTTTTAATTAAAAGGTCTTCATATATGCATACGTTATAAATCCTATTCCATAAAATAATCATGCTCAAGAATATAACTTCATATGAAAGACTGAGGACAGTAAAATGTGTTAATTTAAGGATCAGCCCCTAATCTGAATATTGGGGGTGGTGTGTGTACTGATTACCTTGTATTTAAGGATGCAGGATCATACTTTGTATTCATACTTTGGCTTCATTAAATGCTCACTTATAGTTAATCTTTCAAAACACTAATTTATTAACACTGTTAAATGTAATCTTTAGCAAATCTCAAAATAAATATTCACTTTTAATACTGTACATTACATCCAATATTATAAATATTACACATTTTGATTTCAGCCGTCTTATTTTATTCTATTCTATTTAGACATAATAGTATACATTTTAATAGCAGCAATTTGTCGGTTATCAGCCTATAACATGAAAATAAATATCAGTTTATTGACCAGAATTTTAATATTGTCTTTTTTTTTTTGTAACATTCCTTTAACTTGTATAAATGTTCAAATGGCTCAACTAAATTGCTCTTTACATGGTTAATCCATAAAAACGTGCCAATTTTTCTGAGAAGCTTCAAGATCAAGTCAGTGAAATTTTATATGTACACACTACTTTAAAAAATATTGTATTGACTAGAAAGTATTATCCTTTTTAAAATGATGATCTTCATCATCGTGTGTAGCGAATCAGCTCAAAGGGGAAATATGAATAATTAATCATAACTAGTTATAATTAATTATAAATATTTAGATCCGCTGGATTTACTTGACCTCTCAGGATCAACTGTCTGTCAATTCTAAGAACGTTAATTTCCTGGTTAAGGGAAATAACTTTCTTATTGTACAATACTACACAGAGCATGTAGCAAAAATCTACATGATTAGGGACTGCGGTTATGAGCAAACAATGAACAACCTCAAGTGTGATACAAGTAAGACTTTATTAACTACATAAACACTTAAACTAGTCTAACATACACATACACCCACATTGGGTAAGGTGTAAGGGATGGGTCAACAGTGTAATTACAGATGTAATTACATGCAGGTATTTTTAAAATACAAGTACAATGTAAAAACTTGTATGTGCACAATAAGTGTATTGTACCAAATGATTAATTTAAATGTAAGTACATAGTAGTTAAGGCCACTTAATATAAAGTGGGACCCAAAAAAAAAATCTGCACATGTCATCCACTGTCTTTTGTGCTTGTTTTTCCTGTCCTGTCCAAAATCAACCACAAGCCTTCCTCCATATTGTTCACTGACCTGTTTTCAAGAATCAGCTCTGGCACTGAATTAGTATTAATTTTGGGTTAATAACCACAGTAGGTGAGGAGAATGGTCTTGTAATTGACGCATATAGTCTGTGATTCGTTTCGTACAAAAACTAAAAACTGGGGCTCGGGGTTAAAGCTTAGGCAGTAAAAAGAAGAGAAATAAAAATATGAAGCTATGGTACCATCTGATATTCAGCAGATCTACAGCCTGAAGGAAACATCATTTTCTTAGTTCAAACACACCTTTGTTAAAAAAGCACAAATGATACTTAATGTATCAATTAATTAGACTATATCCCGCCTCTTAGGATGGGCTTGTCCAATGAGAAACTGAAGTTTCAAGCAGGAGGTTGGATACTGGGGAGTTTTACGACCCTTTGTGTGAGGGCATGGTAATTTGCAGATAGAACTCGAATCAAATTACTAAAGATTCTTAGAACACTAATATATTGCGTATGTACCAACATATAATATACACTCTCGTTTAGATCATCAGAAGACGAATTCATAGATACTAAACATGGTAGGATTACATATAGGTAAGATTACATGAACGAGTGGTTCTATCATAAGCCTGCATAAAACAGTATACAATATAAAAGACAATATACAAGGACAGTAACAACATACACAATGACCTGAAGTATATGTGTGTTCATTCAAAGAAAGGTTTTCCTATGAATTAATTAGAGAAGAGTCCATTTTTACTGTGAATTATGTGTCTTTCCTATGGAAAACGAGAGGGAGAACTCTCAATATGCCATTAGGTCGTAAAGTGTATCTGGTCTAGCAAAAGGTGTCGTGGTTGCCATGGTGACCAGGGGCCTGGTGTCATTCGCAGACATCCTGGCACCCAGTATGTTTATTGGGTGAGGGGTCTGTGACTATTTGTTAATCTAATGAATAATTGATTTGTTAAATCTAATGAAAAATGGTGAGTCTGATTGGTCCATATGCTACATGTGTTATATACTAAAGGTAATCTCTTGTCTTTTAATTAGGTGACACCAGCAGCACAGTCTCAGCCCTCTGCTACACTGTGCCTAAGTCAGCCCGGGGCAGCAGCCTGCACGCTCTCGAGTCCGGCTCTGACTATAAGACCCGTGGCATGAGCAGTGACAACAGAGTCATCTTTGGCCCAGGTGTGAGCATGTCTACCTGTGATGTAAAGCTGATTGATGACAGTGAGTATGAACTCTCTGAGGAGTTTGAGCTGGTGCTGTCGGACGCCTCGGAGAATGCACGGATGGGTGATGTCACTGTGGCTAAAGTCATTATAGATGGGCCAAATGATGCCTCCACTGTCTTCCTGGGCAACGCGTCCTTCACCTTCAGTGAAGATGCAGGTTGGTGGAGTTTGGCTGTTGTATGTAGTATCATGGGCGTCAGTTTTGTTTTAAAAATGTGGTAGTTGATTTATTAATTATAGATTGGGAATATTAATTTGAAAAAATTATTTAAAGTAGTGAAGATTTTGAGCATTATTCAATCATTGTTATTATTATTAAGGATGGAGAGCATCAAGAACAATTCAAAATCAAAAATACCACTTTGGGGTCAGTAAGATTTTTTATTTTTTTTTGTGATTTTGAAAGAAGTCCCTTATGCTTACCAAGACTGCATTTATTTAATCAGTTAATGTACAATAAAAACAGTAGTATTGTAAAATATAATTACAATTTGAAATGACTGTTGAATATATATTTAAAATGTAATTTATTCCAGTGATGGCAAAGCTGACTTTTTAGCAGGCATTACTCCAGTCTTCAGGGTCACATGATCCTTCAGAAATCATCCTAATATGCTGATTTGCTGCTCAAGAAACATTTCTTATTATAATCAGTGTTGAACAGTTGTGCTGCTTAATGTTTTTGTGCAAACTGTGATACATTTCTTTCAGGATTGTTTGAGGAATAGAAACAGAACATAATTTATTTTGGTATAGTAATCTTTTGCAACATTGTAAATGTCTTTACTGTCAAATTTGATCTATGCATCCTTGCTCAATTAAAATGTATTAAGTTCTTTTCAAAAATAATATTACTTAACTCACATTTTTGAACAGTAGTATATTTTGTAATTTGTCCAATACTTATGCCATATTTATAGTCTGAAACATCTTCCCACAGGCACCATTGAAATCCCTGTTCTGCGGCAGGGCAGTGACCTTTCCTCAGTAACCTCTGTGTGGTGTGCCACACGTCCTGCTGAACAAGATTCGGCCACGCCCAGTGTTGACTACATCCCGAGTTCCAAAAAGGTGGAGTTTAGACCAGGCAAGACCGAGGAGGTAATGAAACTAGTCTGTTCTGACGTACTGTAAGACTATTGGTGTTTACAGGCTTCATTTCAATAAATCAAGTAAGAAATCTAAGTAAGAATTATTCCACCAAAAGCACGTTTATCATTTGTTTACTCTTACTCCTAGACATGTAGTTTGACCATAATGGATGACATTCAGAACCCGACAATCGAAGGGAAAGAATGCTTCATTGTGTTTCTTAGTTCTCCCAACGGAGCGGTCCTGACTGAACCATATGAAGCCTCTGTCTACATCACTGACACCACCCAAGACAGTGCGTTTACTTGTCCATTACACTCGTAATCACAGTCGTAACGTCCATATAACATAATATAATGTTCATATAAACATACTTATGGAGTAAATGCTGTCTTCTTACAGTACCTAGCATGCAGTTTGAAAAGCTGGCGTATACGGTGAAGGAAAAAGATGGTGTCCTGCACATCCCAATTTTTAGGACAGGAGATCTGTCCTATAAGTCTTCTGTCCGTTGCTTCACACGCACAATGTCTGCTATGGTGATGGATGACTTCGAGGAGAGGAGAAATGCTGATGATTCCAGGATCACCTTCCGGAAAGGGGAAAAGGCATGGTTTCTTTTAGTCACTGATTCACTTCACCAGCATTCTGTGAATTTAGTCATTTTATGATATGGTATTGTTTTCATATGGCCTCTGTTTTTTAGTAGCTTACAGACGATGCTAGACAAAGCATTTGAAAGCCTCTTGCTTCTGATTGGCAGGTGAAGAATTGTACCATATTGATCCAGGATGACTCTGTGTTTGAGCCTGAAGAGGAGTTCCAGGTCCACCTTGGAAGCCCACAGGGTGACCACTGGATTGGAGCCATGATTGGAGTCAACGACATTGTGACTGTGACCATAACAAATGATGAAGATGGTCAGTAGTTAGCTTGTTGCTTAACACACAATAAAACAATTCTAACTTTTAAAGAAAGCTCTAGCAGAGCATGGCTCTTGCAACATGAAGCCATGGGTTCGATTCCCAGGTGCGCGTTTACTGATAAAATGTATAGCCTGAATGCACTGTAGGTTGCTTTGCATAAAAGTGCCAAATTCATAAATATAAAAGCGCACATCATGCTTTTCAGCACCTACGATCGAGTTTGAGCAAGCCTCATACCAAGTTTGTGAGCCCCCCGGTCCAGATGGAATTGAGGTTTTGAATATCAAGGTAATCCGTAAAGGAGACCTTGACCGCACATCCAAGATCCGATGCAGCACAAGGGATGGATCAGCCCAGTCAGGCGTAGACTATAACCCCAAGAGTCGAGTCCTTAAGTTCAGCCCTGGTAAGTATATTTATTTAGCTCTTTTTGTCCTTTTTTTATTTTAAGACTATAACTTCATTCTAATCTGTGATAATTCTGTTGTTCCTCAGGTGTGGACCACATCCTGTTTAAGGTAGAGATCCTGTCCAATGAAGATAGAGAGTGGCATGAATCTTTCTCATTGGTCCTTGGTCCAGATGACCCTGTTGAAGCGGTGCTTGGACAGATCACCATGGCAACAGTCACCATCCTAGATCAGGAAGCTGCAGGAAGTCTCATCCTTCCAGCCCCACCCATTGTAAGAGATGTACAGTAGATGCTTGGGCGACTGATATTTAGTATGTCAAAATCTGAATACTTGTCAGCTGATTAAAAAATTGAATGGCATCTTATTAATTAATCAAATCACATACACTACTGTTCAAAGGGTTGGGAAGTCTTATATAAATAGTAATATTGTGAAATGCTACTAAAAACTGTATATAATATTTTATATATTATAAAATGTAATTTATTCCTCTGATGGCAAAGCTGAATTTTCAGCAGCCATTACTCCATTCTTCAGTGACACCGTTATTTTTAGGAAAAAAAATTATAATAAAATGACTGACCCCAAACTTATGAATGGTAGTGTATCATTTTTCCCATGAAGTTTTTTTTTTTTAGAAAAGTCCTGAAATTTAGATAATTTAAGACACTGGCCTACGTTATTGTGACAATCAAGTAAAATCATTACATGCATGTTACAAAGGTTTTTAACAATCAATTGTACTAAAATAATGAAGATCCTATTCAAGGAGAGCTGTAAGATCTCACAACTCTCTTTTGATTTTGAATCAAGTTTGGTTTCATATGCACTCTCCTCACAGGTGGTGTCTCTGTCAGACTATGACTATGTCCAGGAGGTCACTAAAGAGGGCAGTAAGAAATCTCCATCTCCTGGATATCCTCTGGTCTGTGTGACTCCCTGTGACCCCCATTACCCCAAATACTCAGACATGAGAGAACGCTGTGAGGAGGCAGGCATCAACCAGACCTCCGTCCACTTCAGCTGGGAGGTCGCAACTCCCACAGACACCAGCGGAGCACGATCACCCTTTGAGACAGTGACGGATAACACACCTTACACCACAGTCAATCACATGGTTAGTCTGATATTTAGATTGTTATCGTCTGTCATAAATAGAATATTACCAACCAGTGTTTTTAATCTAGCTGTTAACTAAAACCTCACATACTGCAATCAGCCATGTGGTTTGCCATATGTAATAAGTTCATAAGTAATATGATCAGGCAGCATTTTCACTTTTGCTGAGTTTTCTGGGGTTAATTAAATACTTTTAATCTACAGGTTCTGGACAGTATCTATTTCAGCAGACGTTTCCATGTGCGTTGCGTAGCTCAGGCCAGAGATAAAGCTGGGCACCTGGGAACACCACTGAGGAGCAACATTGTCACTATTGGCACTGAGGGATCAATATGCCACACTCCCGTCACCACAGGAACCGCTCGGGGATTTCAGGCCCAGTCCTTTATTGCCACTCTAAAATATTTGGATGTCAAACACAAAGAGCATCCAAACAGGTCAGGAGAGACTTTTTGTAAGCAAGTGATTGAATACAGACGTAGAAGTTTTAACTCATTTTTCGACTGAAACTGCAGCTGTAGGGTCCACCTTGGAAGCCCACAGGGTGACCACTGGATTGGAGCCATGATTGGAGTCAACGACATTGTGACTGTGACCATAACAAATGATGAAGATGGTCAGTAGTTAGCTTGTTGCTTAACACACAATAAAACAATTCTAACTTTTAAAGAAAGCTCTAGCAGAGCATGGCTCTTGCAACATGAAGCCATGGGTTCGATTCCCAGGTGCGCGTTTACTGATAAAATGTATAGCCTGAATGCACTGTAGGTTGCTTTGCATAAAAGTGCCAAATTCATAAATATAAAAGCGCACATCATGCTTTTCAGCACCTACGATCGAGTTTGAGCAAGCCTCATACCAAGTTTGTGAGCCCCCCGGTCCAGATGGAATTGAGGTTTTGAATATCAAGGTAATCCGTAAAGGAGACCTTGACCGCACATCCAAGATCCGATGCAGCACAAGGGATGGATCAGCCCAGTCAGGCGTAGACTATAACCCCAAGAGTCGAGTCCTTAAGTTCAGCCCTGGTAAGTATATTTATTTAGCTCTTTTTGTCCTTTTTTATTTTAAGACTATAACTTCATTCTAATCTGTGATAATTCTGTTGTTCCTCAGGTGTGGACCACATCATGTTTAAGGTAGAGATCCTGTCCAATGAAGATAGAGAGTGGCATGAATCTTTCTCATTGGTCCTTGGTCCAGATGACCCTGTTGAAGCGGTGCTTGGACAGATCACCATGGCAACAGTCACCATCCTAGATCAGGAAGCTGCAGGAAGTCTCATCCTTCCAGCCCCACCCATTGTAAGAGATGTACAGTAGATGCTTGGGCGACTGATATTTAGTATGTCAAAATCTGAATACTTGTCAGCTGATTAAAAAATTGAATGGCATCTTATTAATTAATCAAATCACATACACTACTGTTCAAAGGGTTGGGAAGTCTTATATAAATAGTAATATTGTGAAATGCTACTAAAAACTGTATATAATATTTTATATATTATAAAATGTAATTTATTCCTCTGATGGCAAAGCTGAATTTTCAGCAGCCATTACTCCATTCTTCAGTGACACCGTTATTTTTAGGAAAAAAAATTATAATAAAATGACTGACCCCAAACTTATGAATGGTAGTGTATCATTTTTCCCATGAAGTTTTTTTTTTTAGAAAAGTCCTGAAATTTAATTTTAAGACTATAACTTCATTCTAATCTGTGATAATTCTGTTGTTCCTCAGGTGTGGACCACATCATGTTTAAGGTAGAGATCCTGTCCAATGAAGATAGAGAGTGGCATGAATCTTTCTCATTGGTCCTTGGTCCAGATGACCCTGTTGAAGCGGTGCTTGGACAGATCACCATGGCAACAGTCACCATCCTAGATCAGGAAGCTGCAGGAAGTCTCATCCTTCCAGCCCCACCCATTGTAAGAGATGTACAGTAGATGCTTGGGCGACTGATATTTAGTATGTCAAAATCTGAATACTTGTCAGCTGATTAAAAATTTGAATGGCATCTTATTAATTAATCAAATCACATACACTACTGTTCAAAGGGTTGGGAAGTCTTATATAAATAGTAATATTGTGAAATGCTACTAAAAAACTGTATATAATATTTTATATATTATAAAATGTAATTTATTCCTCTGATGGCAAATTACTCCATGTAATTACTTGCCACCAAAAAATGGCCATTACTCCATTCTTCAGTGACATCGTTATTTTTAGGAAAAAAAATAATAATAAAATGACTGACCCCAAACTTATGAATGGTAGTGTATCATTTTTTCCCATGAAGTTTTTTTTTTTAGAAAAGTCCTGAAATTTAGATCATTTAAGACACTGGCCTACGTTATTGTGACAATCAAGTAAAATTATTACATGCATGTTACAAAGGTTTTTAACAATCAATTGTACTAAAATAATGAAGATCCTATTCAAGGAGAGCTGTAAGATCTCACAACTCTCTTTTGATTTTGAATCAAGTTTGGTTTCATATGCACTCTCCTCACAGGTGGTGTCTCTGTCAGACTATGACTATGTCCAGGAGGTCACTAAAGAGGGCAGTAAGAAATCTCCATCTCCTGGATATCCTCTGGTCTGTGTGACTCCCTGTGACCCCCATTACCCCAAATACTCAGACATGAGAGAACGCTGTGAGGAGGCAGGCATCAACCAGACCTCCGTCCACTTCAGCTGGGAGGTCGCAACTCCCACAGACACCAGCGGAGCACGATCACCCTTTGAGACAGTGACGGATAACACACCTTACACCACAGTCAATCACATGGTTAGTCTGATATTTAGATTGTTATCGTCTGTCATAAATAGAATATTACCAACCAGTGTTTTTAATCTAGCTGTTAACTAAAACCTCACATACTGCAATCAGCCATGTGGTTTGCCATATGTAATAAGTTCATAAGTAATATGATCAGGCAGCATTTTCACTTTTGCTGAGTTTTCTGGGGTTAATTAAATACTTTTAATCTACAGGTTCTGGACAGTATCTATTTCAGCAGACGTTTCCATGTGCGTTGCGTAGCTCAGGCCAGAGATAAAGCTGGGCACCTGGGAACACCACTGAGGAGCAACATTGTCACTATTGGCACTGAGGGATCAATATGCCACACTCCCGTCACCACAGGAACCGCTCGGGGATTTCAGGCCCAGTCCTTTATTGCCACTCTAAAATATTTGGATGTCAAACACAAAGAGCATCCAAACAGGTCAGGAGAGACTTTTTGTAAGCAAGTGATTGAATACAGACGTAGAAGTTTTAACTCATTTTTCGACTGAAACTGCAGCTGTAGGGTTTGTAGGGCACTAGATCTTTTTTGCCTCTGGGCAAAGCAAGATCAAAATTAATTTATACATTTGAAGGAACACCAAGAAATAAACTTGTTAGACAACTACAGATCCAAAACAACACATTTCCCAGCCTATGTTCAGTACGTCAAAGAAAATAGCATTTTATAAAGCGAGTAATACTTATTTTTCTCTGAACAGGATCCATATCTCAGTGCAGATCCCTCATCAGGATGGAATGCTTCCATTGGTGTCCACCATGCCTCTGCATAACCTACACTTCCTGCTCTCTGAGTCTATTTACCGTCAGCAGCACGTCTGCTCCAACCTGGTCACACTTAAAGACCTGCATGGCATCTCTGGTGAGAGAGACCCCATATTAGATTAGATCAACTTTATCACCTATCTTACCCACCTTGTTAGCAACAAAAGCCGGTGTGACCATCTTTAACTTGAATGTGCAAGGTTATTTTAGCTGTATAAAAACTCTCTGTTATGCTGCTTGATATCACAAACTGGTATTTATGATATTATTTTAATGTAGTATTGTAAACATAAATACACTGGTTTGTAGTGCAGTTAGTTTTACTCTTTACTGCACTTTGTTATTATTATAGTTATTTACTTATAGCGGCTAATGAATCAGAACTCTGAATCATTCAACTCAGAAAATACGTTGTAAATTCTCCCCCAGAAACCGGCTTCTTGGATGATGTGTCGTATGACAGCATATCCCTGGGTCCCGGATATGACCGTCCATACCAATTCAACCCTAGTGTTCGAGAACCCAGAAGCATCCAGCTATACAAGCATCTCAATCTGAAGAGCTGCATATGGACATTTGATGCGTATTATGACATGACAGAGCTTATTGATGTATGTGGAGGATCAGTAACTGCTGACTTTCAGGTTTGTGTGAACACATGACTTGTATCCCACCACAAATGATATATAAATATTCTCGTCTAGACAAAATCTGATGTGGCAGATTTAGTCCATACAGCAATTCAAATGAGTGTGTGGCTGCATTTTTTCAGGTCAGAGACTCGACTCAGTCGTTCCTGACGGTGCAGGTGCCGCTCTACGTGTCCTATATCTATGTGACGGCTCCTCGTGGATGGGCCTCCCTAGAGCACCACACAGAGATGGAGTTCTCCTTCTTCTATGACACGGTCTTGTGGAGAACAGGTACATGTCGCTTCATCGCCAGCCCCAAAGCCAATGGACATACTCGGGCGCAAACTGCTGTCATCACCTTACTGTGTTAATGTCGTAGCTGATGTTAACTGATTGCTTATGAACATTCCTCTAGGCATCCAGACAGACAGCGTGCTGTCAGCTAGATTACAGATCATTCGGATCTTCATTAGGGATGACGGACGACTGGTGATTGAGTTCAAAACCCACGCCAAGTTTAGAGGTCTGTAACTTCTGTTTTTAGCAATTTGTTATCATTTCATTTTATTTATGAACATAACCTGATGTTTTTACCTGGAGACATTTAAAATTGTATTTGGCCATTATTTACCATTAAAAAATGAATGAATGTCATTGCATTAGAACAGGATTTCCCAAACAAGGGTTCATGAAGGAACTGCAGGGGATTCGTTAACATTCGTTATTTGTTCAATTGAAATAAATAAATAAATGCAGCTGCACAATTCATTAAAATAAAATATAAATTGCATAATAGCTTAGTGTGAATCAAAAATGTAAATAACAGTAAATCGAAGGCTGTGATTTAATGAAAAATTATGTAATCTGTTGCATTATGTGTTCCAGAGTGAAGAGTGGCATTGTGTTCATTTACACATGAGCAGCTCGTGAGCCAGTATTTTCAGATTTTAGGTTTACTTTATTTACACAATCGCATAATTTCCAATGCTCTTGTGGACAGAAGTTTACAGCATTTAACAAGTATTCCCCCCAAAAATTTTTAATAATAATAATAATAATAAATGCTAGAGAATTAGAGAAACGTTAAAATAATCTGTTGCATTATGTGTTCCAGAGTGAAGAGTGGCATTGTGTTCATTTACACATGAGCAGCTCGTGAGCCAGTATTTTCAGATTTTAGGTTTACTTTATTTACACAATCGCATAATTTCCAATGCTCTTGTGGACAGAAGTTTACAGCATTTAACAAGTATTCCCCCAAAAAATGTATAATAATAATAATAATAATAATAAATGCTAGAGAATTAGAGAAACGTTAAAAGCTTGAGGGTTTGGACATTTGAAAGTGAAGAATTTAAGACATAAATATTAGTGTTGTTATTTATAAAATAAAAATGATGATTATTATTGTTATTATAATACAAGTGTAATTGACAACAGTAATATATTTCTGTCTTTATTTTTGATAATTAGTGTTAAAACTACTAAAAACCATCATAGAACTGTGAACATGCAAATATGTCATTAAATGATTGGAATAGTTACTTAAAGTCTCAGCATCTCTGCATTAGAATATCCAACCATGTGGCATTTTGAAGTGTGGCATAAGTGTCCAAATCTGTTTTTTGACATCTTGAATTGTGAGTGACTGATAAAACTTTCCTCTCCCTCTAGGTCAATTTGTCCCTGATCATCACACCCTCCCTGGACAGAAATCTCACCTGATGGCTCCAGATCACTTGGGAGGCATTGAATTTGACCTGCAGCTAATGTGGAGTGCACAGTCCTTTGATTCACCCTACCAGCTCTGGAGAGCCACAAGCTCCTATATGATTATTATTGTTATTATAATACAAGTGTAATTGACAACAGTAATATATTTCTGTCTTTATTTTTGATAATTAGTGTTAAAACTACTAAAAACCATCATAGAACTGTGAACATGCAAATATGTCATTAAATGATTGGTATAGTTACTTAAAGTCTCAGCATCTCTGCATTAGAATATCCAACCATGTGGCATTTTGAAGTGTGGCATAAGTGTCCAAATCTGTTTTTTGACATCTTGAATTGTGAGTGACTGATGAAACTTTCCTCTCCCTCTAGGTCAATTTGTCCCTGATCATCACACCCTCCCTGGACAGAAATCTCACCTGATGGCTCCAGATCACTTGGGAGGCATTGAATTTGACCTGCAGCTAATGTGGAGTGCACAGTCCTTTGATTCACCCTACCAGCTCTGGAGAGCCACAAGCTCCTACAGCAGGTAAGCAGTGTGAAGTCTAATGCTCTCACATTTAGGAAGTGAATCCATCTTAATGCCGCTGACCGTGTGCTTTCTGTTGTGCTTTAGGAAAGACTACTCTGGGGAGTACACAGTCTTCCTCATCCCCTGCACAGTACAGCCAACCCAGGCATGGGTCGACTCTGGGGATAAGCCTCTTTCCTGCACGGCCCATGCTCCAGAGAAGTATGTTACCATGGTGCTTTTCCATTGATAACTCCTTGAGGACACTAGAGTGACTTTTTGTGATGGAGACATTTTGCTGAGCAGAGCCAGCAGGGTTGAATGATATTGCAGTTGTCATCCACTTTTAGTGGACTCGTTATACAGGTTTCATCAGGAGAAGACTGTTAGTGTGAGTCAACAAGAATATTCAACAACATGCAAGGGCTTGTAACACTCTCTTTCAATCGGTAGATTCCTGCTGCCCATCGCCTTCCAGCAGACGAACCGCCCTGTTCCTGTAGTCTACTCCCTGGATACTGAGTTCCAGCTTTGTAATAATGAAAAAGTCTTTCTAATGGATCCTGCTCTCGCAGACATGTCTGTTGCTGAGATGGACTATAAAGGAGCCTTTTCGATGGGTAAAATTAGCAAAGTAATGAAAACAGTGAGCTCCCTCCACTATTATGCTTTCACTCATTCATTGTTTGACATTATGCAGGTCAAACGCTGTATGGCAGAGTGTTGTGGAATCCTGACCAGAACTTGAATTTGGCCTACAAGCTGCAGCTGGAGAAAGTATATTTGTGTACAGGGCGGGATGGCTATGTACCCTTCTTCGACCCCACAGGCACCTTGTATAACGAAGGCCCTCAGTATGGCTGCATTCAACCGAACAAGCACCTCAAACACAGGTTCCTGCTTCTGGTAGGTGTCTATTGTAACAAGTCCAAACCAGTTTAACCAGTCTAGCAAGATTCATTTGGTGTGGTTAAATTTTAACTGATAGTGGATGGAAATTTTCAAGGGGTATTTTGAAGATCAAATTGTTTTTGTATATCTTGGAACTAATATTGAGACTGACAGCTCTAATGATTTGACAGCCATTCCTCCGGTCTTCAGTGTCATAATCCTTCAGAAATCATTCTAATATGCTGATTTTGGTGCTCAGGAAACATTTCTTATTAATATCAATGTTGAAATTGGAAACTATGACATTTTTTTCAGGATTACTTCATGAATAAAGTTCAAAAGAACAACATTTATTTGAAATAGAAATGTTTTATTCAATTGTTATTTTGTTATAAAATTGTATTGACCCCAAACCTTTGAATGGTGAAGTATATTATCTTAAAGTTTCCTATAAGAAAGACAGTTGACAGTACAAATATAGCACGAATTCAGTGCAAATAATAGATCACAGGATGCTATGATTAACCAATCAGTATTAAGTATTCCAGAGAGCTGGGTAATAATTGTAAATAATGTATCACATAGGACCGGAAGCAGCCTGATGTCTGTAACCGCTACTTCCATGATGTTCCATTTGAAGCCAACTTTGCATCTGACATTCCTGATCTCCAGTCCTTGTCTGCGATGCCTGGTGTAGACGGTTTCACAATGAAGGTGGATGCCCTTTATAAGGTCAGTGGCTGCAAGATTCACCAAAAAGTCAAGTTGTTAAACAGACCTTCTGTTTGACACATACTAGAAATCCTGGCAAATGTCAAAGCTGAAGCTATTCAGTTGTACCCTTCAGGGAAGTGCCTTGATCTGTTTGTTTAGGAAAAGATGCCGGGCTGACAATGTGCCATGACTATAGGGAACTGGGCTAAAGGACAAGATTAAAAAGGGGTTATAATATATATAAAGGGGAGGGGATATAATCATATTTGCATTTACTCTTCTTTAGGTTGAGGCAGGGCACCAGTGGTACCTCCAGGTCATCTACGTTATTGGACCGGAGTCCATATCTGCTCCCAGAATCCAGCGCTCAGTGACCTATGAGCTCAAGCGAAGTCGCCGAGATCTGGTGGACCGTTCAGGTCATCTAATGCTGGATGAATCACTGATCTACGACAATGAAGGTGACCAGGTAAAGAATGGCACCAACATGAAGACCTTGAAGCTTGAGGTGGAACCATCGGGCACCTTCAATCCCCAGATGGGAGGATCCATTGGGGGGGGCATGGCAGCCATCGTCCTACTTCTCCTGGTCCTTCTAGCCTTCTGCTTCATGGTCAGAAAGTGCCGCAGGGTTGTAAAAAAGAGGCCTACGAAGGCAGCGGAGGATTATCCTCTGAACACGAAGGTGGAGGTCTGTATAGAACGTCTGGAGAAAAACCTCAACAGCAAGTACTGCTCTGTAAAAAATGTCAATGTCCTCAACAAGAACCCAGAGACCTACAAGATCAATGGGGTCAAGGTCAAACAGGTCAACCTGGAGGTCAAACTACACAACAACCTGAATGACGGCACTGAAGTCTGACCTTCTAGAGTATTTAATGAGAAAAAGAAACATTTTCTATGAATATTTGTAATGACATTAATGTATTTTTGTATGGCCATGAGGATAAAAGGGAAAGTATGCTTGCCAGCTATGCAGTGTAAATCATTTCACAACTGAGCTACCTCAAACATTAATGAGCAACACATTATGGGGTCATCAGATCTTATGTTTCAAATCTCAGTTTTAAATCATAGCTCTGTCTAAGAATCATATAATGGCTCAGTGGTAGCTCAGCCACTTTGTTTAAAGGGATGGAGAGTTTGTATCGCTGCACCTGCTGTTTTGTCATGTCAGTAAAAACACATGAAAGTATTAAAGGAAGGATGAGTGCCAACACTTTTGACAGGGTGAGTGATGTAAATATGTTTATTAAGTGCAATTATTGGATGACATGGTCATCCCTGTATTTTAATTTGGCTTTTGATGCTCTGCCTCATTGTGTAATTTACTTTTGGCCTGATCACCGATGTGCCATGCTGATATTTGTCAAGTGCGATTTATTTAATTCCAAATCCGAATAGACTGCCCAAAGTGATGCATTTGTCAGTTCATGTAAGTAGTTGGTACATGTAAATGATAAATTGTATGAAAATAGATTTGATAACCACTATTGATTTGTAATCACTCTACTGACTCAATTGAAATGCTGTAACCTCTATTATTTTACAACATTGGACAACAAAATCTATTTTTGTTTTATATGACTGCTGTCTATACTGATATAACCAAACACTACCAAAAATCTTCACGTTTTTTTTTTAAAGATTATCCACCTCATGTTATCCTGCATTATTTAGTCTTGTATTAATGTCACATCATGTATTACGTAAGGCACATCTATAGTTTCTATCATTTATTTACTCAAATGTTCTGTAATGTTGTATCAAGTCATCACTTGTTACATGGTGCTGATTTGATCAAGAATATCCAGAATCTTTAAAGCACTGGGTGTAGGGTGGGTAAAGCTACGATTATTACTTCATGATCAGTCTAAGTGTCTCAGTGAGTGCCTATCAAACAGACAGTTTTTGGATATATCAGATTTTGGTGCTATCATTTAGGGTAAAATAACATGATGCCTGTACTTGTGCCTTTCTAGCAATAAAATGAATAAACCTATTCCTAATGCGTGGCACGCTTTGTTCAAAGTTAATGTATGTGAGGTGAAATAACTTCACGCGTTACAATAATAGTAGCCTAGTTGTAATGGTAATACAATTGTTTTGGAAGAACAAAATAAGTACATTTTACTTTTGAGTTATGTAGAAAGTGAATAGCAGCTTGTTTTTCCAGAAGGGAGAGGCTCCGTAAGAATGCATTCCTTTAGAGATCGTAACATCAATGTCTCTCACGCCCTGAAAAAGCAGGTGGTGAGAAGTTCAACCGGAGAGAGAGCCGTCGTCTATTACTTTGTATCGCGAAGGTAAGAGCAAAGACTTTTAAAAGTATACAGAAACCGTAGGTACTAGTTATTAATGAGTGCTAATTATAAATGTTCGTTTAATTAACTTAACTTGTGCATTGGGTATACAATTGATGACCAGCATATTTTAAAGGCAGAGAAGTGCTTTAAACTGATTACTGCAGTCGATTCAGTGATATTACGACAGCCTTTGTCAAAACTTGCTTATTGTTGCGTTTTTGTTTTTGCAACTATTTTTGGAGGGAAGTCCTCAACTTTCTTTCTTTTTTTTGTGAATGAAGTGAAAACTAGAAAAGTAAATGTAAATGCATGACTGTGTAACCGCAAAGATCATGCATTAGTAATTGATGAACTGAATCGAATCTGAACTGTGATTGTGTTTGTTTATAGAATCCTCCCAACCAAAAATGTCAGACTTGTGGGTGAGTACAATTTTGCAAACGTGTGCACCCCCTGAAAGTGATATCGAAGAATATTACTGAAACCAAATTTGCTGAGATGTAATTTTCCTGTATTGCAGGATGACTTGGAGAATTTTGCTCGTGCCCCCTCTTCTTCCACAGCAGCGGTAAATCACTTGTTTGAATGCATTTTGGTTGTAGGCTATGTATAATTTAATATTTAATACATTTGCGTTTGACCACCACTTGGATATTTAATATTTTCAAAGTAATTTACTTACAAACCAAGAAGAATTGGATACTTGTTGTCCTAATGGAACTTGCCATTAAACCGCCTATATAAGCAGCCTTCTTGAGCATGAGAGACATAAATAAAGAAGTACTTGACTTGTAAGAGGACTTTTGACTTAAAACCTTATAATTATTGAGATACAGCCCTTGTGATGACAACTAGTTTCAAATACTTATAGCATTTACAATTTTTTGCTCATTCTTCTTCAGCCAGGAGAGAGAGGCACCATTAAAGCCAAAGCTAACTTCAACGTCAGTGAAGATGTTGCAGCTCTCCGTAAAGCAATTGAAGGCATAGGTACATAATTTACATATCTGTATTGTATTGTGCATGTAATATATTCCTGTATTCTCCTTGTTGCATTCACTTCACATATTGTATGTTCCATCAAACTACAGTAATTTCACTTACCAGGTACAACTGAGAAGACATTGATAGACATTCTGACTCACAGGAGCAGCAGTCAGAAGCAGGCTATTTCAAAGGCATACCTAGAAACCACAAATAGGGTAAATCTGTGACCTCTTTCTCATGATTATTTGAATGTGTGTGTTTTTGTATTCACATGAAAATCTGCCTAATTTCTTTGTCTAGATTCTTGTTAATGACCTGAAAGGCGACACCCAGGGCAGCTTGGAGGACCTGCTTGTTGCGCTCGCAAGACCGCTTGCTGTCAATGATGCTAAATGGCTAATTGAAGCAATCAAAGTAAGTTATATTTCCTAATTTTCCCTTGTGAAGAATGTAAAGTGTTTCTCCAGAGTCAAACTTCAGCTATTCATGTGAGCAATTTGAATATTCTGAACCAATGTGAGGCAGATTTTTCTTTCTTTTTTTCATGACATTCATGGGTTGGTTTTCAGGGGGCTGGGACGGACAACAGCATCCTGATAGAAATACTTGCCTCACGGACAAATAAACAGATCAAGGAACTGTCTGCCGCATATGCTGAGGGTGAGATGAGGAATCTATTGTAACAAAATATGAAAGTTACAAAAATGTATAATTGCTTCCCTTCCCTTTGCCCAAAAGAAACAAAGAAAACGCTGATACAGAACCTAAAGACAGAGGTTTCAGGGGATTTTGGCAAAGCCATCCTTCTGCTTGCTGAGGTGATTCAATACACATGTATCGCAGTCTATTGTAATAAAGGCAGCTCTGGAAAGTAATGATATTTCTCACTCATTATAAGGGTGCGAGGGATGAAAGCACCAATGTGAATGCAGACAAGGCTAGAGAGGATGCAAAGGTATAGAAAACTCGTTTCATAAGGCTGTATCAAAGAATGTTATTTATATGATTAGATGTGAGCATCTACATGTTCTCTGTTTCCTCCATAGGCTCTCTATCATGCAGGCGAGAAGAAACTGGGAACTGATGAGTCCAAGTTCATTGAGATCCTCTGTAAAAGGAGCATCCCTCACCTGAGACAAAGTACCAACTTAATCATCCAAATAAACACAAACGTTTCACATAGGAACTGAAATGGCATGTGTTTTGAATATAATTTGGCATTTCCTGTTACAGCAATACTGGAATATAAAACCATCAGTGGCAAGACTTTGCAGAAGAGCATTGAGAAGGAAATATCTGGAGATCTGGAGGAACTGCTGGTTGCCATTGGTACTGTCAATTTGTATTTATACATTCTAAATGCAAATACACACAACAATCACTTAGAATTCGATGCAAAATTATTTACTTCTACATATTTTGTAATCAAATACACTTTTTCTTCTAGTAAAGTGTGTGATGAGTACTCCTGCATACTTTGCTGAAAAAGTCTACAAAAGCATGAAGGTACAGATAGAAACACATTATTGTCTGTCACTTAGACTGGAAACTGAACAATTCTGGTGACTCCATTGAAATGCCAAAGGATTTGTTATTTTAACACTTATCAACAAAATGTATTTTTTGTTTCATGTGGGTTTCTTTTTTCTTTCCCCCCATTATTATCAAAAAAAGTTTCAAAAGTTTTTCAAATGTCTGTTTTTGGTAAAATAATCAACATGAGGCCTGTATTTGTACCTTTTAACAATGAAATCAATTAATAAACATATACCTAATATGTGGAACGCACACTGTGCTCATATTTAATGTATGATTATTTAATCTATCATCAGCTTAATTTGACCCAATTTCTAAAATTGTGAAGGACACTTGAGTTTGTGTGCAATATCTTGTTTATTGCCAGAAAACCTGAAACCACGTGAATGTTATGCGTTACAACCGGCTACCATCAGTCATTTTAGTGTGTTTTGGATGTTTATTAAAAGCTGATACGACCTTGATTGGGGTTAAATGATCGCTACAAAATATTAGGAAAATAAGGAGCAATTTTCCTAAATGGTAAATCATAGCAGCGCGTTGTGTGTTCATGAAAGTAGAGGCTCAGTAAGAATGCATGTCTTGTGTGAAAATGATAAATCGCATCACGCCCTGAGGAAGTAGAAGAGGAGAAGTTAAACCGGACAGGAGGAGGCACGTTCAGTGTTGATTCGTGTCACACAGGTAAGCGCAAACTGTAGGTAGCACTTTCAAAGCAAAGTCTAAGTTTGATTAACATAACTTTACATTTGCTTTTGATATACATTCGAATTAAGTAGATAATAGAGGTACAGAAGGCGGTAATGTGATTGCTGCAGACAGTCGACCAGGAGTCGCGATAATTATACGAGTTTTTGTCAAAGCTTATTTTACTGATATCGCTGAGTCTTTAAAATCTGTTTCCTTTTTGTACATATAAAAAGAGTGAAAATGAAAAACAATGTAGGCTAGGCTACCTTGTGCATTCTGAACTGTAAATCGATGAATTGTTTATCACAGTAGAATCCATCAAAAATGTCGGACTTGTGGGTAAGTCAAATCTTAAAGCTACATTCAGTCATCTCTGTTGCTTAAGTGAAGAGTATGAATTTGAAGAGAGTTTATTATTTATTTAATTTCTTGTGTTGCAGGAAGACTTGCAAAGTGTTGCGAATGCTGCTCCTGCTGCATTCACAGCAGCGGTAAACAAACTATTTTGTTATACTTATATAGGCCTACACACACATTGTATATGTTTTATATATATACAGAGGCGTCCTGCCCATTCAAATTGAGGGGGCACGTGCCCCCTCAGCTTTCTGAGCCAAATGGATTTTGAATGCAGCTTTCAAAAGACAAAAATAGCCTAATAATATATATTTTTATATTTGATACAATCACACCGGTGTGATTAAATCGTTCAGCTCGGCACATCAAATCTGCGGTCGCTGGCTGGCGCTGAGCCAGAGACAGACATGTTTGTACAGCGCTGCATTATAACCAATCACGCACGATTCTGTTGAGCTTATGAATGCAATAGCCAATCAGAGGCGTCCAGATGAGTCATCGCTGAAACGCGGGCTGAGTCCGAAAGCTTAGGCAGCTGATTTGCTGCCTCGCTGCCTTATGAGGCATTGACTTTGCAGGCAGCGTTTTTGCACGAAGGCACCTCATGAAACTGATTTCGGACAGGCTTCTGAGGCAGCGTAACAGTTTAATGATCTACAACAAAATAGAACGAGTTTTGATGATAACTAAATTAATATTTAATTATTATAATACTGAAAAGTGCAAAACGTTAGTCAGAAACATAAATTTAAACACAAACTGTCCACCAAACGCAACTTTCAGATGCCATCTTTATTTTTTTTATCCCAACCGTCACGGAATGGAACGCACAGGATTGTGGGATATCAAAGGCAGCGAAGGATACATCTATGCTGCCTTCAAAATTCGATTAGAAGGTGGTACCTCCGGAGACAGGAAGTAAAGCAGAATTTGTAGTCGGACCATAGACTGTATAAAAACATGGACGTAGTGTCCGTGACGGCACCCGTAGGTTTCTGAAGAGCGTTTTTGAAGCCTAAAGTGGGCGGAGCTGGCCGTCGCCATCTTGGCAGCACGTCACTCCCGGATAATCGAAAATGGGCAAAGAGGCGGGAGCTGGTTGCTGAAACCACGCCCACCTAGCTCGACGGTGGTGACAGCAGCGGCAATCCACTTTTCACTCAAGTGGCCGTGCCCTTAATTATGCAGAACTTTAAGGCTTAATATCATTTAAACGGATGAGTTATACAAAAATTCACCCCCCTCACAGTTGTCATGAAGGGCAAAATTAGCTATATAGACCAAAATAATTTTTTGAACCAGGCTGGCTTCACGAGAGAGAGCGGGAGGTTGCCGCTTGATTCGGACGTGCCTTGATTCCTTCAGGCCTTGATTCCTTCAGGCCTTGAAATGCTGCAGACGCAGCGGCGGTGTTTTGTTCACTTGCTCGCTGACTGAATTCTCTGGCGAATTCTCTCATCAGAAACAATAAAGTGCAGATTGCGTACTAATGTAAGTAAGATATTCATTTAACAGTGTAAACAGCTTCAGTGATTTAACTGGGAGTTTTTGAGAGAGCCTGAACTCTGGACTGAATGAAAATGTTCTCTGATAATGTAAATGTTCTTTGCTCTCAGTAAAATGAAACTGTTATAATTAGTAACTTACAATATTGTTATTAAATTCACATTAAATACAAAGTCAGTCGTATTAAAAATATTTTACGGCATGACACCCATATCTGGTAGGCTACTTAAGACAGGTTTTTATGTGTAGTTAATAGATCACTCTATTAGTCTACTTTGTCCATCACCCATTATAGATCAAATAATCTATAAAGGTGCAAAACGCATTTACTTGCACATATTTGAGAAGATATTTCCTGATTGGAAATATTTTGAATGAAAAAAAAACCCCATAAGCCTATATCAGTTATACAGTCATATTGTGTCTGCTGTATGTCACATGACGAGCACAACCCCCCTGTATCAGCGTCAAAGATTGTTTTATTTGATTAGATACACACACACACACACACACACACACACACACACACACACATATATATATATATATATATGAATGCCAACATGTACTGTGACATACTGAAGTAGAGCATGATCCCCTCCCTTTGGAGACTGGGCCGCAGGGCAGGATTCCATCATAATGACCCCAAACACACCTCCAAGGCGACCACTGCCTTGCTAAAGAAGCTGAGGGTAAAGGTGATGGATTGGCCAAGCATAGGCATCCTCAAACGGAAGGTGGAGAAGCGCAAGGTCTCTAACATCCACCAGCTCCGTGATGTCATCATGGAGGAGTGGAAGAGGACTCCAGTGGCAACCTGTGAACCTCTGGTAAACTCCATGCCCAAGAGGGTTAAGGTAGTGCTGGAAAATAATGGTGGGCGCACAAAATATTGACACTTTGGGCCCAATTTGGACATTTTCACTTAGGGGTGTACTCACTTTTGTGGCCAGCGGTTTAGACATTAATGGCTGTGTGTGGAGTTATTTTGAGGGGACAGCAAATTTACACTGTTATACAAGCTGTACACTTACTACTTTACATTGTAGCAAAGTGTAATTTCTTCAGTGTGTCACAAGAAAAGGTATAATAAAATATTTACAAAAATGTGAGGGGTGTACTCACTTCTGTGAGATACTTTATATATATGTATATGTATGTATTATATACACACACACACACCTAAATATGTGTGTATAATTGGTTCTTATTTAATACACTTTGGAGAGACTGGACTGGGATTAGTTGTCTCACACTTTTAACATTTTTGTAATACTGATTGATTGATTTGGTTGGCTGGTTGATTGACTGCTTATTCTTCTTCAGCCAGGGGAGAGAGGCACCATTAAAGCCAAAGCTAACTTCAACGTCAGTGAAGATGTTGCAGCTCTCCGTAAAGCAATGGAAGGCATAGGTACATAATCTATCTGTAGTGTATTAAGTATGTATTATGTAATATGTGTATTCTGAGTATATACTGTACCAGGTACAACTGAGAAGACATTGATAGACATACTGACTCACAGGAGCAGCAGTCAGAAGCAGGCTATTTCAAAGGCATATGAAGAAACCACAAATAGGGTAAATCTGTGTCCTCCTGCTCATATACATTTGAATGTGTGTGCAATGTTATATGATGAAAATCTGCCTAATTTGTTTGTGTTTTGACCAAAGATTCTTGTTAATGACTTGAAAGGCGACACTCAGGGCAACTTTGAAAATCTGCTGGTTGCGCTCGCAAGACCGCCTGCAGTCAATGATGCTAAATGGCTAATTAAAGCAATGAAAGTAAGTTGCATTTCCTAATTTTTCATTTTAAATGTTAAAAACATTTATGCATTTAGCAATAATCTCAGACAAATTTCAGGATTATCTGTGTGAACATATTTTGCATGTTGTTTACCAGTGTTTGTGCATATTTTTCATCGTTTTCCTAATACATTCATGGGTTGGTTTTAAGGGGACTGGGACAGACAACAGCATCCTGATAGAAATACTTGCCTCACGGACAAATAAACAGATCAAGGAACTGTCTGCCGCATATGCTGAGGGTGAGATGAGGAATCTATTGTAACAAATATGTCATTTACAAAAACTTGTTATAATTGCTTCCCTTCCCTTTGCCCAATAGAAACAAAGAAAACGCTGATACAGAACCTAAAGACAGAGGTTTCAGGGGATTTTGGCAAAGCCATCCTTCTGCTTGCTGAGGTGATTCAATACACATGTATCGCAGTCTATTGTAATAAAGGCAGCTCTGGAAAGTAATGATATTTCTCACTCATTATAAGGGTGCGAGGGATGAAAGCACCAATGTGAATGCAGACAAGGCTAGAGAGGATGCAAAGGTATAGAAAACTCGTTTCATAAGGCTGTATCAAAGAATGTTATTTATATGATTAGATGTGAGCATCTACATGTTCTCTGTTTCCTCCATAGGCTCTCTATCATGCAGGCGAGAAGAAACTGGGAACTGATGAGTCCAAGTTCATTGAGATCCTCTGTAAAAGGAGCATCCCTCACCTGAGACAAAGTACCAACTTAATCATCCAAATAAACACAAACGTTTCACATAGGAACTGAAATGGCATGTGTTTTGAATATAATTTGGCATTTCCTGTTACAGCAATACTGGAATATAAAAACATCAGTGGCAAGACTTTGCAGAAGAGCATTGAGAAGGAAATGTCTGGAAACTTGGAGGAACTGCTGGTTGACATTGGTAAATGTTTAATAATGAATTCAAATACACAATATTTATTTGGGATTTGAATTTTTGTTTTTGTTTTTACCTCTACATATTTTGTAATCAAATACACTTTTTTCTTCTTCTAGTAAAGTGTGTGATGAGTACTCCTGCATACTTTGCTGAAAAAGTCTACAAAAGCATGAAGGTACAGATAGAAACATTATTGTCTGTCACTGAGTTTGTCCAACACTGACGTTTATTTGTGAACCTGCAGGGAGCCGGTACAGATGAAACCACTCTGACCAGAGTAATGGTCAGCCGTGGAGAGATTGACATGCTGGACATCAGAGCTGAATTCAAGAAGCTCTATCAGAATTCACTCTTCAAGGAAATAAGTGTAAGTATTCTCCACTGATGTAAACACTTTAGCACAAGTTCAGGCCATTATTCTTTAATTATGCTCGAGGCCAGTAGTACATCACTTCCTGATCCTCAGGTTTATTAGTTTAATCATGCCATCAAGTCCATTCTTCATGGCCAAAAGGCTTTTTTCTCATCTGTGTCACTATATTCCATGCAAATGAAACAAATTTTTGATGATGACTAAGGGTTTTGTATTTGATGTTATGATAAGTGACTTTGCTCTTTTTTATTTCAGTCTGATGTGTCTGGCAACTACGGTGATTGCTTGAATGTGATTTGTGGAGGAGAAGACTAACCCTGAAATGCTACTAAAGATGTCTTGTTTAGTTATTTTGCAGTGGGTCAATTCGATGTCTGCTAAATGAATACATGTAAATGTAAATTGAATAGATTTTTTCAGGCTAAATTACTAAATTACTCATAAGGCTTTAATGGCAAGTAAAAAAGCTAATAGACAACATGATTTAGAAAATTGCAATGTTGCAATTCTGATAAATCAGTATCAGCTATGAATATTCCTGCATTTCAATTAGTTTATTCAAATGAAAAATATATTTCAGCATATTACCTTTTTGGCATTTTGTCCTTCAGATATTATGTGGATCAGCAAAGTGTTTTTACATGTTGTCTGGGCAAAATAATATAGTAAAATACCACTTATTGATTTCTTAATCATTGGCCTAAATGTCAATCTGTTCTTTCCATGTCTGTTTCTGCCTCTGTCATTTAATTGAATTTACCTGCCGCACTTTAATGATATCAGTATTGATGGCAGTTTGCCAGACGTAAATGTCATTAAGAAAAACGTCTGTGAGACTCCAGTAGCCTTTTTGCTTTAATTTTGACCTTTTAAAAAGCCTTTACTCTGTCCATATGGTTCCTGCTTGAGCTGTTTAGTCTGACCTTTACCCCTTTTATTGCACATTTTAGATTAAATTGTAGCCAGATTTTCCCGCAGATAGTGTAGACCTATAGTTACCTTACTTTTGGTAAAAAAAAAAAAAAAATATATATTTGAACTTGGGTTAATTGAATAAATATGACAATAGATTCTACTTGTAATTAGAAATATGATAATAAATATGCAAAATCACAGCTCCCAAAAGTGTTATATAACAGCCAACAAGGTGTAGTATATGCCTTGTTTGAAAAAAAAAAATACAAATCATAACTTAACACATTATGATAAAGATAACCAAGATATCTGGGCATTCTTGTGATGTACACAGCGTTGAGTCATCTGTTTAGGGAGCTGCTGCTGATGAAACTGCACAGTCAGGGGAGTTGATCTGTATTGAGGTGGAGAAGCGCCTGAGGGAAGAGAAGATCCTCATTAATCCCATGTAATAATCCCAGACTCCAGTTCAGTCCTCTGTTTCTCCATCGACCTACATCTGTAGCTATTATCAGATAGCACATTTGTACAAGCATTATGTACATTTGCTTCTAAAAGCCCTTGATGTTTTTCTTTTCTGGATATCACAATTTAAACAGGTCATGATTTTCTTGCGCTTCTTCTGCAATTAACTGAGCATAAGTTAGTCATTTTTCATATGTTGAATTGCATATATTAATACACACTTACATAGACAGTATCTACACTTATTTCCTGGGATAAGAAGGCACCTGATCATTTTGCAGGGTTTGACCATTAGAGGGCAGGACATTTTCATGAATTGAAGAGCAGATGTACCTGAGGACCCTCAGAGGGTCTTGTGTTGTCCACCCAGACTGGTTAACATCACATTACTGTCACTATCTCAATCTGATGTCATGACTCTGTCAACATTACATGTGCTGGATCTGTGTCCTGATTGCACATAAATTAAATTATGAGTGTCATGTTTGAAATTTATTGAAAGATACATGTAGAGTACAAAGGAAATCTCAAATTAAAACATTTTTTTTCCAAAAACTTATTTGAAAAATAAGTTGAAGACGAAAACAATATTAAGTAGATGCTGAATATTTTCTTTTATTATTATATGTAATTCACAGTTTTTTACTTCAGAGAGAATATAATATCAACTTTAGGCAATTTACTATGCAAAACATTGAGTAGGGTTCAAAATATGGCCTGAAACTTAAATTAGGTGGTTAAATGTTGAGGTCTCTAGTCTGTGTGATTTTGTTATTTTCCAATAATAAACATTAAATAACAATCCAAATCGAACAGACATGTATTAAATAAATATGAATGTAACAGGGTTGAAAATTAATAACACCAGTAAACAACAACAAAAATAAATAACATCAGTAAATAAAATAATGACTAAATAACATCAGTAGAAACTGGCAAATGATGGCTTGTAGTTATAATCTCAAATTTCCCATACATTGAAAAATGTTTGTTGTGTGGTTGAATTTAACAGATATAGTCAACACCATAATTTGTTTAATAATTGAGAAAATGAGATTGTCACCCTACCATGCTGTACAAAGGGTCCACATAATGAACCCTTTAAACAGCACATAAATAAATAAATAGAATGTTACACTATTGTAATACATATTACTAATAAAAATGAGTTTATTAGTCGATTTAATCCCAATCTTAAAGACACGTTGCTTTTCAAGTTAAGTTAAATGTTATGTTAAATAGTTTATCCAATAATTCTCACAACAAAAACATTGGATTCGTGCCTCTGGTGCTTAAAAACCATGCGACACGAAGGTGTGCCGTGTTCGTGGAACGTGCCAGTTGCACTTCTTAAGCACCTCACTCTCCCAAACAACCCATTCACTTCTTTCAACTGACTAACACATTGGTTAAGCTCTTTATCAAGCAAACTGCTAATCAAAACGCTGAGAGACAGTCATCCATTTCATCCCATCAGAGAAGAGTATCTACAGGACGCATCTCGCTCACACCAATCATGACAATGGGAAGGAATCGGACAAAACCAAAGTTAGGTTGTCAGACAAACCTCCCACCAATTCTACGGCGAGTCACGAGAGTTCGAACTTTATCCCTGTGACGGGGGACTTCCAGAGCACGAGGAAGCGCTCTGCAGTTTCAAAAAATAACCGACGCTGTTCGCGCATCACCCGAAACGTTTGGCCGCTCGGAAGATTTCTGGTTTATTTTTTGTAGTGACACATTTTAACTATGATACAGGGGTCCTCTTCAAGCAGATAGAGGAAGAGTCAGCTAGCGAGCTGGCTAACTAAACTATCCGAGGGGGAAGTGGCAGCAGTCACCGTTTAGCCAGAGTTTCGCTAGCGTAGCTTCCGCCTAACACACCCACTTTCTGCCTGTTTGTTGTTCACGTTGGTTTCAAATAACCTGGACTTCAACCGACTTCAGCTTTTCGCCGAACACAAAAGCATGCTTTGGCTAAACAGAGCGTTTCGCCGTTGTTAGCCAGCCAGCTAGCGAGGCGAATGGTCTCTCCAGCGCCCGTACAGGCTCGCTAGCCAGCCGAAACGAGTCGGCCTGAAAATATAGCGGCGTGGACGGTCTCATTGGTGTGGTTACCACGCATTAACGACAAAACACTGCACTGCACTGGGTTTGGTGGAAATAAGGAAGCATTCAGCTAACGTTACGCCTTTCTGCGTCCCTCGAGCACTGAAGTGCCTGGCGCATCTCGGGAGAGCAGCTCTCTCAGCATGCTGGACAGAAGAGCGGAGATGAGCAGGTTGGGTTTTTGAGCGTCTTAAGCTTGTTTGGAACTGTCCGTTTGGGGGAAGGCGGGAACACAAGAGGCAAGAATGAAGAAGTTTTCGCGTATGCCGAAATCAGAGAGCGGAAGTCTCGGGGGTGGGTCTGGATCTGGTACTGGAAGCAGCAACTATATCGGGAAGGTGTTTGCTGTCGGTCGATACCAAGTGACGGTGGAAGAGCTGATCGCTGAAGGTAATGGATCCATTTCTGTGGGCCAATAATAACGAGGTGGCAAAACTTAGTGGTGAAGTTTATAAACCCCCCCCCACATCCCTCAGACATCTGTTTCATAGAGCCATAAGCAGTTCAGGAAGGATATATCAAGGTAAACAGGCTGCTTACTAGAGGTTGCACCAAGCCATATCACTGCTTTAGGTTCTATCAGTGATGTTGCTCCTTGCCATGAAAAAAGGAACTAGCTTGGTGCTGGTCCTTCCCATAAATTCATAGAGAGATGATGCTTCCATATAATCTGATGTCATTTTTTTTTGCCTTTGTCACTGTCAATGATCACATGGTTTTGGATAGAATTTTCAACTGATCATTGCAGTGTCGTAGTGTTCAGTATGTTTTAGTGTATTGTTTTGCTCAGTGTCATCTAAAATGCTTGATCATTCTCACAGTTCTGTCATGTAATGTGACTGTAATACAAGTACTAGGGTGTTTGTTTCCCATGTAAGTGTTGTCAGTTCTGTGAGTTTGACTGAACAGCAACTTGGCAACTCTGAACTTGCTGTCTGGACACAATTATATAATTTGCCATTGGTGCAAAAGTTCACCCTCACAAACAACTGTTGAGTTTGAAAAGTGCTTTTATTCTTACTTTCCACTGGGTTGTTTTATTACATTTTTACATTCTCCCAGTCTCATCATTTACTCACCCTCATGTGGTTACAAACCTGAACTTCTCTTTTCTTTCTTCTGTGAAATGCAACAGAAGGTTTGTTGGTAGTTGTTGAAGGTAATGAAGAGTGTTGGTAACTAAATAGTTTTGGTGACCATTGACTTCCAGTGTATGAACTAAAAACACCCTGAGACATTTCTAAAAATATCTTATTTTATGTTCCACAGAAGAAAGTAAGTCATGTTTGAAACAACATAAAGGTGAGTAAATGATGACAGGGTTTTTTCCTTTTTGGGTGAACTATCCCTTTTAATTTGTCTACCTGTACAAAATAACTCCACTCCACAATCCAAAATTGTCTTCTCAGTGTCTCATTAGTGAATGTTCTCCAAATAGCCAATTTTTTAATGTATATTTTGAGTCATGCATGGGCATATTTATTTTCAGTAATCACCCATTTAGCTGTAGTCAACAAACCTGGCTTAGTTATGAATGTCTACTGTTAATTTGAATGTCTTAAAAGGATGGTTCACCCATGAATAAAAGTTCTGTCATTTACTCACTCCCATGTCATTCTAAATCTCATTTCATTTTTTCTACCGAAATTAAATTGCAAAGGCGATAAATCGTGATTAGGCAGAAGCTGCGATTGTCATGCGTATCTTTCAGTGAAGCACGGTTCTGTGATCAGCAGTAAATCTCCATTCAAAGGCCAAAGGGCGCTCTCGTGCGGAAACTCCAAATACGCCTATCAGAAGAAATCCAGGAAATGCATTTAGCGGTTGCTTAATAAACAGATGATTTAACTGCTTTCATTAATTCAGCGTGACTAATAAACACAAGACTACGACAATATATGGTTTATCTGAGTTCGTCTTACTATCATTTTTATTATAATAAAGTATATAATAATGCAATGCTAATCGACATAGACTTTAACACTGCTTAAAATGCTATGAAATATGTTGCGTGCCTTATTCTGTGTAAGAAGCCACATCATCTCACAGAAGGATTTATTTCAAATACCATTAAATGTGGTATTTTCACGTGCTTTCAGATGGAGCAGCATTTGCTACACAGAGCCGTAGTTCCCTGACAAGCTACGCAAACCGTTTTCATAATCACAGAACGATTTCATAATCGCGCGATTAAATCGTCTGAACGCGATTTTGCATAGCTTGTCAGTGAACTACGGCTCTGTGTAGTAAATGCTGCTCCATCTGAAAGCACGTGCTGGAGATTTACTACTAACCACAGAACCGGCTTTACCGACAAGATGCGCATGACAATCACATTCGATTAATCGTGCAGCCCTATTAGTGCTCATATTTTTTTTATAAATGAGCACTTTTGATATAGTGCAGAAATGAAATCTTTAATGCAGTACAACAGCTGATTTTCATCTGTCAGGGCAGTTTTTGTGTCTTGAAATAGAGTAATTTAGTGAGCGTTCATTGTTTTCATGTGTGTTAAATTGCAGAATGCATCATCAACAAGCTTTTTGTGGTCACTTAATGGTCGGTTGGTCATCTGCTCACCTTTCTATCAACAATCCCTGCAAGGACTACTTTCTTTTGTCAACAAACTTGACTTGAGTGACTTGAGTGTTTTGCCTTGTTTCACTTCTTAATTATGTGGCTGGCAGAATCTGCTTTGGTCGTTGATCTCTTACTAAAGCAATATCTGTTAGAATCATTTGACACCAGACCGGTTCAGAGCGGTTTCTAAGGACATTCTACTGCACTTTTGATTGGAGCATTACTGGTCTGACCTTGAATGAGTTGTGTGCGGAGGTGTCACCCCACTCACTGAGCATGTGCTGGGCGAATGACTGTGCTAAGAGCCACTCTGTTTTCCTTATCATCTTTACTACTCGCTATAGGGCCTGTATGTCCTAATGACAGTTAAGGGTGTTAAGGGTCTGTCAACACAGACATTTCAGCTTTGGTCTCTTTATGTTGATGTTATGGCCTCTGTTGTGTTGAGTTATTGGAAACTATCCTTTCAGTTTCTTAGAATCGAGTGCATGTGTGTTTTGTCACATGGGTAGGCATCTTTCAGTATCAATACTGGCATAGACCGTCCCTGTCAGTTTTATTTTTCTGGCCTAGTTTCACTTTGTTACATGCACCGATACATTAATAACTTTGACCTTGTCTCTTTCTCATCGGTTTAAAGAGGTCATGAAATGCATTTTTTAAATATAATTTTTCCTGATGTGCACTTGGTATGTTGTTTTTCAAAAACGGTCATAATTTAGTTATTAAATGGATTGCTTATGATGATGATGCATGAGGGGCATGTCGAGGGGAAATCATGACGTGATGTCACAATTCTCCCGATTTTAAATCCAGGCATTTCAGAGGGGTAGAAAAGAAGAATTCATAATTTGAACTAGGGAGTTAGTTTTTAGTTTTAAAGCATGAAGCATGTTTTTATTGTAGAGTTACCTCTTATATGTGTAATTATCAAGAACATTTTGATTCTCCATTAAAAGAACAACCAAAACGGTAAATTGTTTTGATCTTATTGCCATTCTGCTTGAGTGAAGCACTTATTCTTTCATTTTTTGCACAAAAGACATCACAGCTAAAGATTGAGATAAGATTAAATAAAAATGCCTTTTAACCATCAATTAGTCTTACAGCACGTGTGACTGTGCAAAGATAATTCTTGCAGTAGGCTGCAAGAATTAGAATTTTGTGACATATATTATAGGATAAAATTTAGTGCTCAACCGATATATCGCCAATGCCAATATTTGGCATTTTTCAAATATCGGCATCGGCCGCTAAGTTTTTCTGTTTGGCCGATGTGTTAAAATGTATACAAAAAAGTATTATAACGATTGCTTTAATATTATTAGTAATAGAAAGGCAAACATTATAATACTTTCTCTTTTGCCGTCAGCATTCAGCAAATACGCATTTATATAATTTAAACAAATCTTTGAATGACTAATGAACATTTAATTTCACAAACCTTGCAAACTTAGTCAAATCTAGTTGAGTAGAGCCCGACCGATATGGGTTTTTTGGGGCCGATACCGATATTAGGGAGTAAATGATACCAGATACCGATATATTGGCAGATATTTGTGTATATTATGGTACAGTACCAACCAAAAGTTTGGACACTTTCCCATTCGTGTGTCCAAACATTTGACTGGTACTATATATAGAATACAGTATATACATAAACAGAATATATAAACACATTTTTTGCAATGATCACTCAAATGTGGTGATGAAACACTTATAATGACGTGACCGAGATACGTAATGGAGGCAGGGCATTTAACAATTTAACAATAAACTTTACTATCCAAAATGAGTCTGACATCAGTGCACTGAACGGTAAAGTTGAAGTTTATTCAACTTTAATTCAATTAAATTCCATTCAACTTTATTCCGTTTAAGTTTATTTGACTTCGGAACATTCATTCACGGATTTGCGCTACTGTCTTCACACAGACGAAACTTACTAGAGAAGTGTGACATAATATAGGGGAGTGCTATGCACAAAGTAACGGGGGGTTAGTTGTAACACACGTGGTTTGAATATTTATTTTACCATAGTAAAAATTATAATCCTGGCTTAAGTAAATTTTTATCTCAGTTTTTATTATTCATTTAAAATAAGACAAATCTGCTTTTATTTTAATTTCCAATCTGTTATTTATCAGTTCAGATAGTTTTTAATGCTTTGATTACTAGCAGAAGACTCTAACCAGTTTTAAATTCCAGTTGCGCAGATGGGGCACGTTATAACACTGCGTTACAATTAGGGATGCAACGATTATAGATTTTGTTGGTACGATTATTGTCTGAGGAATAATCACGGTTTTACAATTATGACAATTATTATGCATTTATTCATTTCCCAACATTACTAATGTATAAAATCACATGAACACTCTTTAGATATTAAAGTGTTATTTATTGCTGGCTTTTGAAAATAACACAGTAACCAACAATACAGCACAAACTAATAATAAACAAAAGACAAACAAAAGTCCATCTCTCCCATTGGAATTAAAAAAAGGTGACCTCTGCTCTGTAAACATCCATGACAGTATTTCTCTTTTGAAATTAACAAATGGAAATGGATCACAAAAGTATTTAATGTTTTCAGTGTGTACATTCTTTACATTTCTTTTGGACCTGGGGTAGAGAATTTGGAAACATGGTGAAAAAAAATATTGTTGGTTTTTACTTATGAATAATACTACACCAGGGATAGTAAATAAAGTTAATGAAGTAGCCTATTATTAATATACGACTAATATTAACTTTATTTGTCCCACAGGGGAAACTGTTACTAATAATGGAAATATACTGAAATATTA